CCCCCTTGGGTGGCGGCGTACTTCGCAGTCTGCCCGCCCCAGAGGCCCACCTGCCGGCCGGCGCGGTCTAGACGGGAGACGGCATCCCGAAGCATGCCGGGCCCTACCTCGCCTGCCAAGCGGAGGGCCTCGACCTCCCCGGCGGACGAGTCTAGCGCGCCCTGCAGATCGGCGATGGTGTGTTCGGCAGTTGCGAGGCGAGCGGTTAAGTCGCTTTCGCCCGCGGCCGCCCCGCCGATCCGTGCCCTCGCGTCCAGCTCCTTCTCCCGCGCCTCGAGCTCAGCGGCCCGCTGGTTCAGCGCGGTCCTCTCGGCGCGGGCATCTTCCAGATTACGGCGCGCCTGTTCCTCTTGCGAAGCCTCGCGGAGGGACAGGCTGTCCGCCAGCCGTTGCGCCGCGGCCTCGGCCTCCTCGAGAGCTCGCTCCCGCTCGGTGAGCGCGTCCTCGCGGAGGCGGAGTGCGGACTCTTCTTCGGCACAGGCGGCTTCGTGCACCGCTAGTGTGACCTCCCGAATAGCAACGGCGGCCTCGCGATCCGCCAGGTCCCTCTCCACGGCGCAGGCACGCTCTTCCAGCGCCATGGCACGGGCCTCAAGGGCTTCGTCGCGCCGCCGGGATGCCACCTCGGTCTCCGCCGCCCGCCGTTCTCGGGCAGCGGCAGCGTCAAGGACCCCCTGGGCGGCATCGAGTTTTTTCTCTAGCTCCGCCTCCCAGCTCCCGTATTGAAGGCGGAGGGAGTCCTGCGCCTCGTTCATCACAGTGGTGGCGATGAGGGCAGCCCCCCGCTCCTCCTCCACCTCCTTGGCGATCTCCTCCAGCACCTTCCGACGGGCTTCGAGCTCTGAGACGTGCCGACGGTGTGCCTTGCGACCCACTTCCACCATGGCCTCCACCGAGCGTCGCCCCTCTTCGACACGCACCCATGCGGCGTCGAGCTCCGCCCGCTCTGCTTGCAGGGCCTCCACTTGGGCACTTAACCCGTCCAACACCGTCGTGTTTGCGACGGCCAAGGCCCGCAGAAGGGGTTCTGCGCTCAGTGGAGCAGCAGAAGGCGTGGGGAAGAGCCGTCTCGGTGAGGATGCCGCGCGGCTCGGCCCGCCAATGGACGTGCCGGACTCAGGGATATCCCCCGGACCTAGCTTATCCTGGGCGTCGCCCGAGGAATTGGGCCCAAGCGATGCGCCCGCGGCCTCGTCGCAAGCTGCCTCGGAAGTCGTCGCCGCCTCGGCCTGGTGAAGTCTGACCTCTTCCCGAGCGGCTTCTTCAGCTAGGCGAGCTTGGACGGCCACCTGAACAGCTTCCTCGGCTTCTCGAAGGCGATCCGCGGCCTCTTGCCGGTCAGTTTCACGGGTCGCCTCAGAGGATGTCGTCGCTTCGGCCTGGCGGAGTCCGGCCTCCTCCCGAACGGCTTCCTCGGTCTGGCGAGCCAGGGCGGCCTCCCGAGCGGCCTCCTCGGCTTCCCGAAGGCGGTCTGCGGCTTCTCGCCGGTCAGATTCCCGCCTCCGGGCCTCTGTGGACGCCGGGTCCTCGGACTCAGACTGGCCGGACTTGGAATGGCGGGAGGGACGCGACGGGATCTCGCTGAAACAGAAGAAAGACCAGAAGACAAAACAAGATGGATGAGTGAAAACTCGCGTTAAAGGAATGAATACGGCCATGATGGGCGTGGGACGAACCTGCGAGGGGGTCGGTTAAACGACCACCTTGGAGGGGAAATAAGGTTTCCCCGGGATGGTTCTGTCCCCCTCATCTTGCGGGGCCGTTTCTTCTTCCGCTCCCCCTCGGGCTGCGACGTCGGCGTGGCCCCCTCCGGGCGCCTGCTGCTGGCACGCGCCGCCCCGCCCCCTCGGGGAGGAGATGAGGGAGGGGTTCCTTCCTGCTTCCTCTTCCCCCGGGCGTCGGCAGGGTGGCCGCTCCCCGGGCCCCCGTCGCGAGGCCCAGAAGCACGACCCCCTCCCGGGGTAGATCGTTCCCCCCTGCGGCTCCCGACCGCGCCATCGTGGCCTCGAGGAGCCCGCTCCTCCGATGCCCCGACCGCCTGCATGATGGTCAAGATGGAGGCACGGTCTGGATCACTGCAGAGGGGGAGGACTCCTTGAGGAACGAGGGATGCCTCCACGGAGCTGAGATTCAGCACCCGTTGGACCACTATCTTGAAGTCCTCAGGAGCCCAGTCCCATCGGACCCCCTGGTGGGTCCTCATACAGTCCTCGGACCCGGTGTACTCCCAGGCGCCCCGGGCGCGCCGCTGGAGTGGCGCGATCCGGCGACGAAGATAGTCGCCGAACACCATGGCCCCTGTGAGCCCCTGAGATCGCAGGCCCGCCAGGCGGTCGAGGACGGCGTCGTAGCCATCTCCCAGATCTACCGGCGCCCGCCAGTTGGAGGCCTGCGCTGGAGGCTGGCTTGGGAGTCGGAGGCGCGATTCGTCGGCGAGGGGGGTGTAGAACCAGTCGCTCTTCCAGTCATCCCACTTCTTGCGGAGGACGCAGGGAATGTAGCGGTTCAGCACCGGCCCCCGCGGCTGGAAGTAGCAACCACCAACCACCGACGGCGGCGAAACCGGCTGTACGGTGAAGAACCACCGGAACAGCCGAAGGGATGGGCGCACCCCGATGAACATCTCGCACAAGTGCGCGAAGATGGCCAATGTCATTACCGCGTTGGGGGTGAGGTGCGCCATCTGGAGATCGTAAAACTCCAGAACATCCACGAAGAAAGAAGAAAATGGCGGAACCAGCCCTGCCATAGCAAAAGGGAGGAAGAAGACGGACCGCCCCGGGTAGCGTGGCGCCGGGCATCCTTCGCCCAGCGAGACTATCTCCCGGCCGGTCGCAGATTCCGGCATGAAGCGGCGCAGCAGCCCGGCCTGTCTCTCGCTCACGATGCGGGAAGGCGGCAGCACGCTACCGTCAAGCGGAGCGGAGCCCCGTGCCATGACGCCGGAAGAAGAGATGTTTGAGAGCGAGCGCGTGTGGCGGAGGTAGGGCACAGGAAACAAGGAGTTAGGGCGCAAGCGGCGAAGACAAGGGGAATAATGGCGAAAGAAAGGAAGCAAATCTCTTCCTCGGCAACTTTATACCCTTGCCAACGCTGTGCCCGGCTCCTCGTTTCTCGCGCCCACTATCTTGCCCCCTCGTTTCTCGCGCCCACTCTTCCACTAATCCCATTCGCCCGTTTACGGTGCATGAGGTGGATATGCGGCTGTGGCAGTCGAGATGGAACATCTCGTGCGCGCGTTAATTACGCTCGCCGACCGAAGCGCCATCACCATATCTCCAGGCAAAACGAACCGGCACGTCCCGATTCACACGTTACTCGAGTAATGTGGCAGTCTTGAAGAGACCGTTCATTATTGACAGCCGAGTAACCGTTGCCGATGTGCGTGATTTGCGACTGATGGGTTTCTGCCCAACTGTGGAGACCGGTCCCACCTGTCACCAGGCCTTAGGAAGTGGCGTCACGCCCGACCGCTTCCCTCGAGGAGGGTAATCGCCCCGGCATAACGCCGGGGGCTACTGTCGATGACATGGGACCGGGAGTATCGTGACTAGAGGCTTGAGGCAGACACAATCGCCCACGTGGCCTGGCACCCACCGGGGGGGGGGGGGTCGGGCCCGAGGGTGGTGTGTTCGCCCTCCTCTTTGTCTCCCCGAGGGGGTCGGACCGCTCCCGCCTTGGCCCCGAGGGCTGGGGCGCCCCGACCCCTTGTGGATTTTGCGCCGCGTGTATGGGTTAGGTGAGCACAGCGGCGCTCACCTAACCGCATTTATTGCGGTTTGGACGAACGCGTCACGCCGCGTGTAATACGGTGCAGCGCGCTCGTTTATCCGGTCTGTGACCAGTCACAGACCGGTCAGATCGTGGGTTAGGTGGCGACAGGCGGTCTGACGCACGCCTCGCCCCGTCCAGTCAGGACGAGAGCCTCCAAGCACTCGTCCCTAGCCGGAGCCGGCGTGTTACCTCCTGGAGATGACACGTTGGTTCCGGTCAGATATATACCAGGCTTCATCCTAACCATTACAGGCAAGATGTTGTATGAAGAAGGGCGAACATGCAGATTGTTAAACTGACACGTGATGGACAAGAATGACCGATTGGTGACCGGTCTGACAATGGTCATGTCGTCAGCAGACAGCCATCTCCCACGTCGCGCCTGCTTCCGGTGAAAGTGGAGGTAGGTATGGGCCGTCCCGTCAGAAGGTGATTCGGATGGCAGCGATACAAATCTCCGTCCATTAATGAAGAGAAGTCAAGTTGAAAGAAAGGGAGGGAGAGATGGTGCATGTGGGATCCCCTTGGGATATAAAAGGAGGACCTTGCCCACTTAGAAAGGAGAGGAGAAAGCAATCCCAGAAGAATCGGGGGCTGACTGGCACTTTGTAGCTTCTTCATACGCGAATCCACCAAAACACAGGAGTAGGGTATTACGCTTCTCAGCGGCCCGAACCTGTATACATCGCCCGTGTCTTGTGTGTTTCCGCTCTTGCGAACCTTCCACAGATTGGGAGCTTAGAACCTCACCCAGGGCCCCCGGCCGAACTGGCAAAGGGGGGCCTGCGCGGTCTCCCGGTGAGGAGCCCCACGCTCCGTCAGTTCTAAATTACCCGATGAGAAAGGGAGGGGGGGGGGAAAATCTGCCTTGTTTATTTACGATCCAACGGATTTGGTCGACACCGATGAGGTGTCTTACCAGTTACCACGAGCTAGATTATAGTACTAATTACTTGAGGATTCGGTTCCTAATTTTTTACCCGATCGACTTCGCCATGGAAAATTTTTTATTCGGGGGAGAATATCCACCCTGTTTCGCTCCTAATTAAGATAGGAATTGTTACGATTAGCAACCTAATTCAGATCAGAATTGTTAGTTAGCGGCGTTGGATCCCTCACCTCATCCCATCCCAATTCCCAAACCCAAACTCCTCTTCCAGTCGCCGACCCAAACACGCATCCGCCGCCTATAAATCCCACCCGCATCGAGCCTATCAAGCCCAAAAAACCACAAACCCAACGAAGAAGGAAAAAAAAAGGAGGAAAAGAAAAGAGGAGGAAAGCGAAGAGGTTGGAGAGAGACGCTCGTCTCCACGTCGCCGCCATGGCCGCCCGCGCCGCCGCCGCCGCGTTCCTGCTGCTGCTCATCGTCGGCGCGGCCACCGCGGCGCCGGACATGTCGATCATCTCCTACAACGCGGAGCACGGGGCGCGGGGGCTGGAGGAGGGGCCCACGGAGGCCGAGGCGCGCGCCGCGTACGACCTCTGGCTCGCCGAGAACGGCGGCGGCTCGCCCAACGCGCTCGGCGGCGAGCACGAGCGCCGGTTCCTCGTGTTCTGGGACAACCTCAAGTTCGTCGACGCCCACAACGCCCGCGCCGACGAGCGCGGCGGGTTCCGCCTCGGGATGAACCGCTTCGCCGATCTCACCAACGAGGAGTTCCGCGCGACCTTCCTCGGCGCCAAGGTCGCCGAGAGGAGCCGCGCCGCCGGGGAGAGGTACCGCCACGACGGGGTGGAGGAGCTGCCGGAGTCCGTCGACTGGAGGGAGAAGGGCGCCGTCGCCCCCGTCAAGAACCAGGGCCAATGCGGTAAGGAATTTCTTCTCTTTCCTCATCTCATCTCCCTTGTGCGATTATTTACCATTGAAAGCTTAGATGCGATTATCTATTTGTCACGCTAATCTCGGATCTAAGTAGGGCAATTTCACAACAGTTAATTCAGGTTCACAGCTAGTAATCTTTTGCCCCTACTTGCAAAACAGTGCAGATTTCCTTCTGATATATACATAATATAATAGTAGATTATGATTATATAGTCACACACCGTCTAGTCTCTAGAAAAGATGGGTCATTTTTCTAGCTAAAGCTGACTTTCCCCCCTGAATGAGCATATCTGATTTAATGACAGAGTTATTGTTCTTTTAATACGATGATAATTTACTGGACCGAATAATTGTTTGGAATTCTATGGTAAGGATTTATTACGTAGTGGATGCAGGATGTATTCTTGGAAAATCCTCTCATTGGGTTAACTGTGTAAGGTATTTGTTCTCTTCGTTCTTTGCTTCTGGAGTTGGCAACGGCTGTGACTTGTGAATCGTGCAGTGACAGCGGTGTGGACTTGAACAGATTCAAAGCCCGCCGTTGGTTGGGGCTGACTTGCTCAGTGTGGTTTCCTTGTTTCCAGGATTGTAGTTTAGCTTAGCTTGTTTTTTCCTGATTTTAGGACTGCCGTTTCTGTGGTTGTGCTGCTTTTGTCTTTATATTTTTAAAGGTCTTTTTCGGTGCATCTATCAGTCAAATACTTTGGACAAGGTGACCCTGTAACCAACTACTAAGACATTAAACCGATTTGATGATGTTGCTTTGCATTGCAACTATTTTGGGCCTTTAAGACTTTTAAGGGATATCACACCTTATCAACCTTTCGTGTTCAGTCGAGCAAACTTTTTATCCTGTGCTGGGAGCTGTTTGCTGATATTAGCCTACAGGTGTCTTCAAACTGCTTTTGTGGGTAAAAACAGGGGTGAAACAAATGTCTGCAAATATCTTACTATCCATCTTGATCTTGATAATATTGATACAATTAAACAGTTTAGGGTTCTTGCCTCATATTACAATTGGTTGCTTGCGGTATGATTGCAGTTGTTGCTCTCTTGGATGACACTAGTTATTTTGATGGTTACTGACATCTTTGGTCTTGAATGGTGGGATGCAGGAAGCTGCTGGGCCTTCTCCGCAGTAAGCACAGTAGAAAGCATCAACCAACTTGTTACTGGTGAGATGATCACATTGTCGGAACAAGAACTTGTAGAATGCTCAACCAATGGACAGAACAGTGGCTGCAACGGTGGGCTCATGGATGATGCCTTTGACTTCATCATTAAGAATGGAGGCATTGATACTGAAGATGACTATCCTTACAAAGCTGTAGATGGCAAGTGTGACATCAACAGGGTATTAACTTATTTTCTGATGAATAACTTCATACATTCATCTTTCAGTTCCCACATTATGCAAATCGCTAATGTTTCAACGGGTGCATTGTTTTAGGAAAATGCTAAGGTTGTGAGCATCGATGGCTTTGAGGATGTACCTCAAAATGATGAGAAATCACTTCAGAAGGCGGTTGCTCACCAACCAGTCAGTGTTGCTATTGAGGCTGGTGGCCGCGAGTTCCAGCTCTATCATTCGGTAAATGAACTTGCAGATATCACCCCATGCATATAGGAGGTTTTGGTCGTAACAACTATTGATTTTTACATTACAGGGCGTCTTCAGCGGTAGGTGTGGCACAAGCCTTGACCATGGTGTGGTTGCCGTCGGTTATGGCACTGACAATGGCAAAGACTACTGGATTGTCCGCAACTCTTGGGGCCCGAAGTGGGGTGAGTCTGGATACGTTCGCATGGAGCGCAATATCAATGTGACCACGGGGAAGTGTGGCATTGCCATGATGGCATCATACCCTACCAAGAGCGGAGCAAACCCACCCAAGCCATCTCCGACTCCTCCAACTCCTCCAACACCACCTCCCCCATCCGCCCCTGACCATGTCTGCGATGATAACTTCTCTTGCCCAGCGGGCAGCACCTGCTGCTGCGCATTCGGCTTCAGGAATCTCTGCTTGGTTTGGGGCTGTTGCCCAGTTGAAGGTGCAACCTGCTGCAAGGATCATGCCAGCTGCTGCCCGCCTGACTACCCTGTCTGCAACACCCGGGCTGGAACCTGCTCAGCGGTAATCTCCTCGCTTTCTTGTTCGTTCTTACTGCAACTTTATACTGCCTACATTCTATTCCAAAGATTGTTTTCATCATAGTATTCTGCTCCGACAAGCTATACGGTTTTGAAAAGGCACGAGGCTTTCATGATCTGAACTCAGCAAATATTTGTCATCATGCTTTTTCTGAAAAAACTAGACATTAAGGTTGCTTTGGCTCCAAAGATAGTTCAGATAACTGTAATGCACTAACTGACCTTTCTTCTGTTGGAATTGTGCAAGATATTTGAACGTACGAACTGACCTTCCTTTTGTTGGAATTGTGCAGAGCAAGAACAGCCCATTGAGCGTGAAGGCTTTGAAGCGCACGCTCGCTAAGCTGAACACCGCATGAGCTCATCGATAACATGTAATCGGCGAGGAGAGGGGATGAGGCAGCGTGGAGCCTTTCTGAAATTTCTGCTTCCGTGCCTCCATATATCGTTGTCGCATTTTGAGGGGACAGCTTATTTACTCTACTGCCTGCCTTTTATCTTACAGTGATCTGTGTACATAGCTCGATCCAATTTGTACTCTTATTTATCTTCTCCAATTTGTACTCTATATAATTTATCATCTCAAGAATACATTAACGAAGATCCTGTTTTACCGTTCCAAATTCTCATTATTCACTTCTGTCGAAATATAGCTACAACTAGTACATCTGATCAGTGAATTTCAGAACACTGATTACTTGTAAGGATACAATGGAAGGATGCAAGAATGTTCGTGTTTGCATCCTTCCCTCTTATTGCGATGTGATATCAGATTGTTGTCAGCAATGCGTCAGGCTGAGATTTGCGGCACAAATTGGTAGGCCGTTTTCCGTTTATTGACCAACAGTTACAAAGTTTGGAATCATGCGATCTGAACGACAAAACGCTGACAAAGTTGGTGATCGCTGATCAGTTCAGTTGCCACCACCTCCGCCGCCGCCGCCTTCTTCAGCTGCCACAGCCGAAGGCAACGCCGCCGCCGGCGGCCTGAAGCCCGGCAGGTCGCAGGGGATGTGCGGCACGAAGGGGCAGTGCTGCGGCGGGTCGGCGTAGAAGCGGGCGCACTCGAGCGCCGGCCGCTGGTGGGGGAAGTTGGGGATGCAGTTGAGGCGCACGTCGAGCACCTTGCTCCGGACGAGCTCGAGGCAATGGCGGCGGCCGACGGAGTGGAAGTAGTTGTCGGAGAGGGAGAGGTTCTGCAGCTTCCCGGTCTTGGCCAGCGCGCAGAGCACGTCGGGGATGTGGCCGTACAGCTGGTTCCCGGCGAGGTTGAGCTCCTCGACGAGCCCCAGGCAGCCGAGGGAGAGCGGGATGGGTCCGGTGATGTCGTTGCCGCCGGCGTCGAACACGGTGAGCCCCTCCACCAATCCGATCTCGTAGGGGAGGCATCCCGAGAGGTGGTTGTTGAGGAAGAGCACCTCGGAGAGGTTCGCCGACGTGTTGTAGATGGAGCGCGGGATCGGGCCGGTGAACTGGTTGTTGGCCACCACCAGGTACTCCGCCGTGGTGCTCCCGAAGTTGTCCGGGATGTTGCCGTAGAAGCCGTTGTTGTTGAGGAAGAGCGCGACGACGGTGAGGTCGAACACCGGCGGCGGCACCGTGCCGACGAAGCGGTTGAAGCGGAGGTCGAGGAAGAGGAGGCGGCCGAGCGGGACGACGGTGGCCGGGAACGCGCCGGAGAAGTTGTTGTTGGAGAGGTCGAGCTCGTAGAAGTACGGGAGGCCGGTGAGGTCGGGGACCTCGCCGGAGAAGTTGTTGGAGTTGGCGTGGAAGAGCGCTAGGTCCGGGAACGCGTCGACGAAGCCGGAGAGGCTGGGCGCGCCGAGGCCGTAGCCGTTGAAGTCGATGGACGCGATGGTGAGCGTGGTGTTGTCCTTCGGCGTCGTTGCACCCGGCGGCGCCGGCGGGTGCTCGCAGTAGAAGCCCTTGTACATGTCGCCGCCGAAGTAGCTGTCGCAGAGGTTGGGGCCGACCCACGACGCCGTCACGCCGCGCGGGTCGCTGGTGATGGTCGCCTTGAACGCCTGGATCACCGGGTACAGCGCCTGCAGGTTCTCGTTCAGGAAGTCCTCCGGCGACGGCGCCGGCTGCCGGCGGGCAGCCACACTTATCCAGCGACGCCGCCTTCAGGGGGTCCGCCGGCGCCGGCGCCGGCCCGCAGCCACACGTATCCAGCGACGGCGCCGATACCTTCCCTTGTCCACCGCGATCGGGCCTCCACGACGGCGCATTGCGCGACACCATGGCGAAGTGAGTATGGCTGGGGTCACACACCACGCCGTGCAGGTGCAGCGCGGCGAGCAGGAGCGCGAGCGCGAGCGCAAGCAGGCGCGCATTATGGCCTGAAGCCGCCGCCATGGACGCACGTTAGATGGTGGTGAGACGTGGGGGGGAAGACGAGTTTTAAGGAGGAGGAGGAGGAGATGGGTCCATGGCTCCATGAACTCCATTGACATGGAATGGATCAGCACAAGTGGAGCGTGCTTTATGGGAAAAACTATATTCATTTTTTAAGGGGATATCATCTCGTTTTTACATGTCACTCCCAAAATAAGTGCAGTTTTAACACCGTTCATGCTCAACGTTTGACCGTTCGTCTTATTTGAAAAACAATTATGACTAGTATTTTTATTGTTATTAGATGATAATACATGAATAGTACTTTATGCGTGACTAATATTTTTATTTTTTTTATAATTTTTTCAAATAAGACGGACAGTCAAAACGCTGGACACGGATATCTATGGTTGCACTTATTTTGGGACGGAGGTGGTAAAAAATTTAGTGTAGCAGATTATGGCTCGGTTTAGTTCCAAACTTTGAATCCCAAAAACGTCACATCGAACTTTTCTACACACACAAACTTTCAACTTTTCCGTTACATCATTTCAATTTCAATCAAACTTTCAACTTTAGCGTGGAACTAAACACACCCTATATGTGATATGTCACTTCAAACATGCATATTCAAATTCAACTTATACAAGTAAAAACAAAAATAGCAAATTTAACTGTGAAAAGAACACGTAATTTACGGTTAAATTTGTTTGTTATTTTTGTTTCAAATTACATATGTCGAATTTTAACTTGCATGTTTGCGAAAAGATATATCATATATTGATCACAATATATATCTTGATAATTTTTTTTAAAAAAATTTTGATAACTTTTTAAACGATACGCACAAAACGAGAGGATGTCCCGACAAAAATCCACTTCCGCTTTATGGGTGAAAAGAGGTGGGAATAGGAGAGAAGTTGTTTTGCCGGGGAAGAGAGGAGGCAATGGCAGCCAGCAAAGAGAGAGGCGGTAGTGGGGTTGGCGGTTAATTAGTCGTCATCGACGGTAGGAGTGAAGAAGAAGAAGAAATGAAGCAGCGCTCGTGCGTGCAGGCAGCGGCGGCGTGCAGCTCGCGACCACTGGCCGAGCCGAGCGGGGCGTGCACTTGATTCCAGGGCGAAGTGGCTACGTGCCTAGCTCGCGAAGTGAATACACACATAATAGTATGGCAGTGTGCGGTCAAGGCGTTTTGTGATTTTGAGTTGAGTTGTTGATGATGGGTCAGTGCGGGGAAGGCAATAGCGTCGGCTTTCCTCGGCAGGAGGGCAGAGGCTGCCTCACGACCGGGCTCAGTGCTCTGTAGTCTGTACATACCGGTAGTATATGATTGGGGCACTGGGGCATGACAAAAGGCACAATGTGTGTATGTAGCAAGTGGAACATCATCATCTTCTGGGCCAGGAGCAAAGATATGTTCATATAGCATATTAGCGTTTGCTAAACATGAAGTCAGCATGACATGACTCGGCCGGAAGCAATATTTGCCGTCTGATTCATAATAGCAAACCAGAAAAAAAAAGGTGTCTTCTCTTTGCCAGAATAATGCTTACTATATTCCATATCACAAATAAGTGTGCAGATATGTGTACTGTGGAGTATAGAAAAAGAATGTTGGAAGATGGAGAACTTATCTGCTTGACCCAGTGAGTAGTGACCCTACAATTTGGATACCCACCCAAGTTTTTATGTTAGTGTCCCAAAAAGGCTCTGCACTGGTAGTCTTGTACCATAATGCTCACACATATTGAATTGCCAATAGGCGTCCCCTTTCGGATATGCCTAAGCCAATTTGTCCACTGGTGCCCGTAATGGCCTTAGCCCCTCTAAAGAGAGGTGTTGCATACTGGAGCCTGAGCAGACAACTTAAGTTTGAAAATATGTTATCAAGGCTGGCTCATGCATAATTTGTTTCTACAATGAACTGCACAGAATTTCCAAATATGCATGTGGTTGCTCTGACTTGTCTTGTTAATTTTTCTTAATTTCTAGCATAGCGATTTTACACCAACACAAAATACTTACATGATACATAAGTTTTGCAGCAAATTAATACACCAGAATAGTAAAAACTGAACACAACGGTTCATAAGTAGTAGAGAAAAATGGCTGGCCCTAGACGATTACCAAAGATTCAGGTATGCATGTGTGCAGTTTGGCATCGAATGAGCTCACTAAAGTTTATTAGGGAACTATTTAACAATGAGAATCAAGAACACTAAAAAAACGGTTTAGTGCACCAGCAACCAACATATTTGTATATGCCGGCTACAGAAAATGATTTCAGGGGAAAAGTATATATCATTATCCACAAGATATGTGCCCATGATAAACCTCAGCATGTGTCATGTTACTTGAAAAAATATACAAAGCATTCCATTTCTCAAATTGAACAGAGTGCATGTAAACTACATCAGCAGTCAAACATGACATCTTCGATATCCAAGAATATTTCCAGTGGTGGTTCACAGGTATGGAGAGTAACTGACGAGGTTCATGACCAACCACATATGACAAAAGAGGTTCCTGATAAGACAAAAGATGATCATTATAGAGAAGTATCATTTCTCAGGAACAACAGAAGATGGTCTCAGAACATTTGTAAATTTCATGTGTGGTAACAGTTCAACTCCAGAAAAACAAACTTCTGAAAGTGATTACTTGGTTGTATTTAGAGTGCCTTGAATGCCATTCCTGGGCTGGTGGTTTCTCTTTTTATTAACAAAGGGAGGACATCACTGCCTCGCCTTTCTAAGAAAGACCATTTTTGCCTTAGAAAAATACAACAGAAATACAGAATACGGTGAGAAGTAACTCTATCCATTTGTTCAACGAGAATTTATCTCATCTTTGCTGCCCTTAGCCCTTAGGTTTTTGTGGGACTTTTCGAGTAACAAAGATCCACTGGCATTGCCGTTATAGCATCTTAAAGGTTTTTTGAACTATTGCAACATTATGTAAACTTGAGATTGCAAGAGTTAAACAAAAATGTTGTCCATGCTATCATGTTAACGAAATGTGTAGCATACTAAATATGTGAAACACAAAAGCTATTAGTGGTTTGTTGGATTTAGAGTATACCATGAACTAGTAAAAAAGATTCAAACCGTCTTAGAAGCTCACCCAATGTAGCAAAAACACCGGTTACTCAGTCTTCTTTTGCTTGGTTGATTCTCCAGTCTTGCTAATGATGGTATCTAAGTGCCTTGATAGTACACTGTGCGCCATACCAATCTTTTCATCGACTTGGTCCTGGTACTTCTCATACAATGGTGGAACTAACAGAGAAAACATTACACCTAGAGAAAAGCCAGAATGATACAATTATTACATATGAGCTATCATAAAAGAACGATTGATCCATACATGAATAGGTCCAGGAAGTTAAAGAGAAACAAATTCAGTAGTACTCACCAATGTAAATGAGCGTAAGGAAGTTGAAGAGCATTCCAATGTATGAAACCACCCATAAAATCAATATAACCTATATGACCAAACAAAATAAGGGGCATAAGAAGAAAGCATACAAAGGCAGGTACAGCCATATAGACGTACAGTTGTGTGTGTACTAGTGGGCATGGATGTGTGTGTATAAGAGAGAGACCTTTATAAAAACACTCCTATCTCTCTTGATGGCAATATCATGGCCAACAGCCAACACCTTGTTGATCCATACAAGAGCCCGATCTGCAGCTTTCTCAACAACCACATCTGAGACCTCTAGTTTAGGGAGTGGTGGAAGAGGCCTGCAAAAATCACAACTTTGTGTCAAACTTGGATAGATGATATGGGCAATGGAAGTACAATGCCAGTCACAGAGAACAACATAAAACAACCAAAGTGCCAAAAACAGCTCTTTCTTTTTCGGTTTAGCGATACAATCGCAGAGACACTGCATAAATGCATATCAATTCTAGGCAACAATCAAGTCAGATGGGGAACACAAACTCATAAATGAGCCGATAAGGAATGGCAAGCGCGGTGATTGACCATGTAATGTAAATCTAGGAAAAAAACCTTGTGGATTGCTTGCAGAAGAGACCATATAGCACAGTTACAAGCTCTAGAGAAAATGACACATGCTAGCAGAATTAACTTATCGAACTGCTATCGCGGCTTAGCTTTAAAGTAAAGCAGCCTCTTTACTTTGTAGATAAGGGATCGGATAGATGCATTATTGGTAATGTAATAAAAACGAAATATGCAGGTTTCAGGAAAAGGGATAATTAGGAAACCCCGACATATGCAGAGTTCAAACCTTTGAACAATCTCTAATCTTAGGAGATCATCGGATCACTTCCAATTACAAACTGCTCTGGCCTGAAGTTTAGTTTCTTACTGCAACCCGTAATTCAAAAATGCTAAGCAAGTTAGTGTATGAAACAGTTTGGCAGTGAGCTTCTTGAAGCCAAAAAGATGCAACAACCAAACGGTTGGGGAAAAGAAAGTCCACATTATTCAGCAAAACCTCATACACATTACAGTGAACACCGCAGTTACAACTACAGCGAATCAGGGCCGCAGGGCGCGGCGCGACTCTACATGAGATCAGAAACACGCGGTGCTGTAGAGCCAGGGCAAAAACCCACCTGTTGAGCAGCGAGGCGGACTTGGCCCAGAAGAAGAGGATGGCGACGAGGAGGAGCAGGGCGTTGGCCATGACTGACGGGAAGCTGTACCCCGCGCGCTCGAAGAGGAACCACACCGCCGTGGCGCCCGCCACGGCCGCCGCGGACACGTTCCTCCGCCGCCACAGCACCAAGTCGGCGACTGCGAGACGAGAGAACACGAGTGAGGAGAAAACCGAACCCAAATTCTCGACCCGGATCGGAGAGCGCCGGGAATGCGCGTGCGTACCTGCGCCGCCGCCGAGGAGGGCGTGGAGGGATCGGCGGGAGGTGGTGGCCATCGGGATCGCCGCGGGGAGGGTTAGGGTTTGGGGCCGCGGCCGAAGCGAGGAGAGGAAGTGGGGTAGGTGAGTGGAGCTCACGAGGCGGAGGCGACGAGGACGAGATGGGATCTCTCTCTGTGTCCTTTGCTGGATCAGGAAATGGATTCGGTTTCGGAGACGGCGCGAGCGAATGAATTCCGTCGAATTATTTTGAAATATTATGGTGAGTTATTGCAATTTTGCGGGCAAGTGATGCCCGATGGTGTTGGAATAACTCCTTCCATTTCTATACTTTTAAGATTTAAATTTTACACCATAATATTCTTATTTTTCACTGATTTTTGTGATTCCCATCATTTCAATAATTTTAAAGCTAATCAAATGCTTGGAAAGAGAGAATAAGTAAATTTCATTTAACCACCCGTATTATGATCTACCTCTTAATCACAAATAATAATAACCTATAACTAGATGGGATACATTATAGTACTACGAATTTGAACATAGAGCATATAATACCCAACGAATTTCTGTCGAGATTTATAGTACTATGATGTGTCCTATCTAGTACTAAATTTTAGAACAAATTGAGTAAATTAAAAAAACATACGATTTTTTAGCACATAAACATATGTATTATGGTCATTTCAAAAAACACAATATTTATCATTCTAACTTTGAATTACCATAATTTTAAGTTATACAATCGCATCTCGAATTTATGAGTTATTTATCCATCATATAAATGTTACATCCATGGCCTTTTAAAAATTTGATATATGAGTATGTCAAATTGGTTACAATGTGGTTTTGTGGAACTTTATATCCATAGTACCTATGGGTCATGTGCTATGTGTCAAAATCCTTGTAGTTTTGTGTAATTTTGATCATAACGAGTGTATTTTTACAAAATTTCCCAAAAGAAATACAAGTAATTCGAAATTCAAATGCTAACAACTGAAGTGAAAAAAATAAATTATTTATTGTAACAATCCTTATATTTTAAAATTGATGGAGTAATTATGTGCTTGGACCTTCTAGTACATTCAGTAAATATATACTGTTTAGAATGATTTTTTTCTCTTAAATATATCATGGCCATAAATACGTTTGGTCATGCAAGCTACTAGTTTCATGCCGTTCAATTTGGAGGACTGGCACTTTCATGCTGCTTTGTTTAGATACGATGTCATTTCGAAGAAAACAAGTATCCAAACCAACAGATTAGTGGATGCTAGCATTTGACGACGACATGTTTAAATCAAGCCGAATTATGGGTCCAAACATGGACATATTCTTCCTATTTGTTGAAAACAACAGCGTGGAACATGAGTACCCGTTCCAACGCCAACCGAGTAATCGGTCCGATGCTACCTTGGCTGTGTTTAGTTCAGCGCAAAGTTTGGATTTTGGCTGAAATTGAAGATGATGTGACTGAAAAGTTACGTGTGTATAACAGGTGGAGGTGGATGTGATGGAAAATGATTGAAGTTTGGATCCAAACACAGCCCATACCAACTCACATAGTTCGTGGAAGGGAGACAATAATTGTGATCCTCTAAAATATCACAGTAAATTTCTATTTTTATAATAAACACACAAACGAACCTGAACAGTAACCGTTTCATATTAAATGAATATACGGTCCTTACCTGAGACCTGTTTTTTCAGCAAAACTATATAGTCATGGCATGTATCTATATATAGAAGAACAAGATGCACTTATAGAATGGAATGTGTGATTTCAATTTTGAGACCCCGTGTTCAATATCTAACGCGCTTACAATTTTTTTTAAAAATGTGTTTGGAATCCAAATATCGTCTTTTATCTATAGAAGAACATTTTGTTCAGTACACCATATTGAGTCTGGTGGATATCCTAGAAAATTCCAACTCCAACTGACGGTACGCCAGTACACCGCCATTGGCAGCTAGCCTGAAGTGATCCAATTTTTAATTTTTAATTTTTCTGATCTTTTTAACTCTTATCTCATCATACTTTAAGTGAACAAACACTTATCCAAAATTATATCAGAAATGCTATTACATTTTAAAATGGAGAAGGTATGGCACGAAAAGCACCAAATCCAATAGCTAGAAGCCGCATTCAGTTCAAGATTTGAAGCAATATATTCAAAACTCAAAAATAGCCTGAACTCCTCAAGATTAGCTCACACGATGATGACATGACTCAACTGAAGAATCCTGGCCTTGTACCAAAAACAAGTCCAGGTTCAGAGAACCGCCCCCTTCCGCGGAAACGGCAGCTGTTACAAATCCCACCCGAGCAGCAGCCACTTCCAACACACACGCTCACCCGATTCCCCGCTTCGCCGCCGGCGCTCGCATCGGTCAAGTCAACTCGACGCCCACACACGCACCGGCCATGGCCGCGGCGGCGGCGGAGCAGCAGCAGCAGGGCTTCCGCCCGCTCGACGAGGCGTCCCTGGTGGCCTACATCAAGGCCACGCCCGCCCTCGCCGCGCGCCTCGGCGGCCGCCTCGACGCCCTCACCATCAAGGAGGTCGGCGACGGCAACCTCAACTTCGTCTACATCGTCCTCTCCGACGCCGGCTCCCTCGTCATCAAGCAGGTCCCTATCTCCTCCACGCGCCGCCACCGTCGCCGCTGCCACACATGTAGTACGCATCTTCTGTCTCCGTTCTTTCGCTGACGACGCTGCAATCCAGGCGCTGCCGTACATCCGCTTAGTGGGGGATTCATGGCCGATGTCGAGGGAGCGCGCCTATTTCGAGGCCTCCGCGCTGCAGAAGCACCGCGCCCTCTGCCCGGACCATGTCCCCGAGGTCTACCACTTCGACCGTGCCATGTCGCTCATCGGGATGCGCTACATCGAGCCGCCGCACATCATCCTCCGCAAGGGCCTCGTCGCCGGCGTCGAGTACCCGCTGCTCGCCGAGCACATGGCGGATTACATGGCCAAGACGCTCTTCTTCACTTCACTTCTCTACAACTCCACCACTGATCACAAGAAAGGAGGTTGGTTGATTTATTACAGGTTTGGTTTGCCTGTGAAAATTGAGAAGGGAGAAAAATGAGAACCGAATTGATGGCATGTTGTGTTATGTGAATTGCAGTTGCTCAGTATTGCGATAATGTGGAGATGAGCAGGCTCACAGAACAAGTTGTATTCTCAGATCCATACAGGGTCGCCAAATACAATCGCTGCACATCACCCTTCCTTGATAATGATGCTGCAGCGGTTCGAGAGGATGCTGAGCTTAAGTTGGAGATTGCTGAATTAAAATCAATGTAACTAGCTCTCCTGATTAAACCAGCGTTTCTCTTTCCTTTTCATTGGAGATGATGGACATGATTTGCATATGCAGGTTTATTGAGAGAGCACAAGCTTTTCTTCATGGAGATCTCCACACTAGTTCCATCATGGTGACACCAGATTCTACTCAAGTGATTGATCCAGAATTTGCTTTCTATGGCCCAATGGGTTACGATATTGGGGCCTTCCTGGGGAACTTGATTTTGGCATATTTTTCACAAGATGGACATGCTGATCAAGCAAATGATCGTAAGGTGTGTATGGATTTATTGGCTAATAATAGTAAATGAAAGTGCGTAATCTTACCTGGGTGGTTAAGTTGTTTTGCGTTTGCTAAGATAATGGCAACCACATGTCTTCCTGTGTACTAATTTCGATAGGATAGAAGTTTGGAACATGATACTTGTATCCTATAGAATAACTAGCAATTGATATTGTTGATATATGCCGTATGTAACAGAGGGAGGAGGGTGCTCAGCAGACGATGAATGTCCCTGAGTATTACTCCCTCCGTTTCATATTATAAGTTGTTTGATTTTTTTCTTAGTCAATTTTTTTTAAGTTTAACCAAATCTGTAGAAAAATAGAATAACATTTTCAATACAAAACAAACATATTATCAAAATATATTCTATGTTAAATTTAATTAAACTAATTTGCTGTTGTAAATGTTGCTAATTTTTTTCTATAAATCTGGTCAAACCTAAAGAACTTTGACTAAGAAAAAAGTCAAACGACTTATAATATGAAATGGAGGGAGTACTTAATGGGAACTGCAGAAATGACAAGTTATGATATGGCAAAGTGCAATTGCAACATCTAGATTCTAGAAGGTATTTTCATGATGTTTCGCCAGGCATAAAATAAGTTCTATGTCTGTACATATTTTGCAGGCTTACAAGAAATGGATCTTGAAGACAATTGAAGATTCATGGAATTTTTTCCACAAGAAGTTTGTCGAATTATGGAATAAACACAAAGATGGGAATGGGGAAGCATACCTGCCCCCTATATACAACAGCTCAGAGCTTTTGAGCCTTGTACAGAAGAAGTACATGACAAGCCTATTTCATGACAGTCTTGGATTTGGTTCAGCAAAAATGATCAGGTAATTAAACAGTACAATTATGTAGAGTCTGTACTACTAAGTCAATTTGCTGAATCTTATTTACGTCTAGACTATGAAGATATACTAGACCTGCCCTTTTTAAATGTAAGAAGCTCAAAGGCACAGTAAGTTAGTCCAAAGTAGAGGTTTCCGATGCCAATTTTGATGCAGCACTTCTTTTTCATAAATGTATATCAGTATGTGCTATCCTAAAAGAGATGTTCCAGAAGACCACCTTTGACGATTATAAGTATGACTGAAAACCGTCATAAATGGTTAAATTGGAGGCTATTCAGGATATTATGTTGTGAGAAGCTAAGTGTAAAGAACTTAAAATCACATTTAAACGCCATTTTCAAATTTTTTATCTGTGTTCCGATGCCTTGTGCATGATCCTCACGCGACTTCTGTTTACTAAATTGGACCATACATATGTAGGAGAATTGTTGGAATTGCTCATGTTGAGGATTTTGAGTCGATTGAGGATGCCAGCAAGAGAGCTTCGTGTGAGCGACGTGCCCTTAATTGTGCAAAGGCAATCCTGAAGGGAAGACGCCAGTTTGAAAGCATCGAGCAAGTGATTGTGCATGTACAATCGTTTGATCGGGACTGATAAGGCTAACCATCTACACAACCTTTCTGATTGAGGAGACAAAAGTTTTCATCTGTTTACCATCAGCGATTATCTGTGCCTATTATAAAGCAGAATTGGCCGGTTATATGTGGGCTGGGCAACAACAATGTATATAGCCAAAGTAGTCCATACAGATGGACCCACATATGTGGGATTTACCTATTGTAACCTTCATACTCCCTCCGTTTCACAATGTAAGTCATTCTAGCATTTTCCACATTCATATTGATGTCAATGAATCTAGACATATATATCTATCTAGATTCATGGACATCAATATGAATGTGGGAAATGCTAGAATGACTTACATTGTGAAACGAAGGATGTAATATATATAGGTAGTTAGTAGTATTAGAAGGAGAGAGAAAGCAGAGATAAATAATATATTTTATTCTATATAGGCAACTCATATGTTTATGGGTGACTTTTGCTATTTGCTTGATATGGACTAGTTCTACAATGTTGTTAGGTGGCTGAATGAAATATTGTATTCTTTATGGACTAGTTCTACTATACATTATGCATGCTCAAGTGTGGACGCTCTGCAAGATTGATGTTTTTTTTTCACCACTTGGCTAAGTTTGTAAGAATCAGTCGGTTGAATGGCAAAAGCTTCCCCAAACAATTTAACTTTTTATCTAGATTCAAAAGAATCTTAATAAAAGCTAAAAAACTGGTTTTCCCTGCTTTTTTATGCTCTCACAACTAGATTTCCATTTCTCAGAATTTAATCTACAAAGTAGGTTTTCCTTAGCTTCCTCGTAGATTTTTTTTCGAGTAAAGTGTACGAGCGGTACTTAAACTTGTAGCGGTATGTCATCTAGATCCCCCAAACTCTCAAAATGCATATCCAGGCCCTAGAACTTATCAAAGTGTATCATCTAGGTCCCAAATCGACACATCCCCTCTTGGATCCTACGTGGCGCTGATGTGACCTGCCACATGGACGTGACATGTCCTTTTTTTTCTTCTTTTCTTTTTCTTTTCTGTTTTCTTCTTATTCTTGTTTTTTTCCCCTCTCTTTTGCTCGGGTCACAGACAAAGGAGAAGAAAGGAAAATGCAAGAGAAGAAAAAAAAGAAAGAAATAAAATTTTTAAATGGGTCCTATTTGTCAGTCAAAATTATGCCACATCATGTTCGTGTGACATGCCACATCCGCACCACGTAGGATCCTGAAGGATTTGTGGTGATCTGGGACCTAGATGACACACTATGACAAGTTCTGTGACTTGGATATGCATTTTGAGAGTTTAATGACCTAGATGACACACCGCTATAAGTTTAAGGACCGCCCGTGTACTTTACACATTTTTTTCTGGATTCTATAGCTATAAAATCTCATAATATGATTATTTAGGGAATTGGAGATTTTGGAAGAAACTGTACATGCTAGAAGTTCTCCAAAAGACCTATCTATACTTTGAACATTCTAGTTCATCCGGTGAATATAATAGAGTTTGTCAACTTTCTCACTATGGTTCGCTTGGTCATGAGAATACTATAATGATTTTTGTCTTGTGAGCTAGTTTCATGCCGTTTAATATGGAGGACTGGCACTTTCATGCTGCTTTTATTTGGATATGATGTCATTTTGAAGATACATGATGCTAGCATTGACGGCGACATCAAGCCGAAGTATGGGGCCAAACACAGTCGATATATTCTCCCTGTTTGTTGAAAAGAACAGCGTGGAACATGCGTACCAACTGATTAATCGTTCGGATGCTACCTTATCAACTCGCAGAGTTCATTGAAGGGACACAATAATTGTGAATTGTAATCCTCTAAAATATCACAATAAATTTCTTTTTCTAATAAACACACAAACGAACATAGTAACCGTTTCATTCTATCAAATGAATATATGGTCCTTATCTTAGAGCTGTTTTTTTCAGAAAAATTATGTAGGCATGGCATGTTTCTATATATCTATATGAGAACATTTCGATTATGGTTGATTTGCTAGAAAATTCCAACTTCAACCGAAGGCACACCACCATTGGTAGCCTGAAGCATGAGTGAAAGATTCATTAGTTTTTTTTTATTTTTTCGAGAAAACAATTTTATTTATTTCATCCGTCCTAAAATACTGCTATAAGTGAACAAACACTTATTCAGATTTATTAGCAACATATATTCATGCATTATAACAGATCGAACATACAATTGAGACGAGTAAGAAAGGGCTAGGAAGGTAATTGAGGATAAAGTACCGTATCATACGGAGGTTGTGTACATGATTTGAGAAGGAGCGGACAAATAGACTGCACGAGCGGTGGGAGAAGGAGATGAACGGAGGATGACTCAACTTTAATACTTTCTCCGTTTCATATTATAAAATTTTCTAGCATTACCCATATTTATATGGATGTTATGTCTAGATTCATTAACAATGGTCAATTGTAGAAAATTTTTACAATATGAAACAGATGGAGTGGTAATATAGAGATAACATAAATGATGGTATATTTTGGAACAGAGAGGAAAATTCACCAAATCCAATGACCAGAAGCCACATTCAGTTCAAAATTAGCAGTATACTAGGATGTGTTTAGTTTGTGTGCCAATTTTTTTAAGGATACAGACACATATTTGAAGTATTAAACGTAGACTAATAACAAAACAAATTACAGATTCCGCCTGTAAACTGCGAGACAAATTTATTAAGCCTAATTAATCCGTTATTAGCAAATATTTACTGTAGCATCCCATTGTCAAATCATGGTGTAATTAGGCTCAAAAGATTCGTCTCGCGATTTACATACAAACTGTGCAATTGTTTTTTTTCATCATATTTAATCCTCTATATATGTGTCTAAATATTTGATGTGATGAAAAAGTTAAAAAAAATTTAAAAAATTTTGAATCTAAACACGGCCTGGATTGAAAACTCAAAGATAGCATGAACTCCTCAAGATTAGCTCACACTGATGACACGACTCAACTGAAGAATCCGCCTTGTACCAATAACAAGTCCAGGTTCAGAGAACCGCCCCCTTCCGCGAAAGCAGCAGCTGTTACAAAACCCACACACCTCCGCGCAGCGCAGCCTCCCACACACGCGCACTCGATTCCCCACTCCTCTCGCGGGTCGCGGCCACTTCGCCGCCGGCGCTCGCATCGGTCAACTCGACGCCACGGCCACACACGCACCGGCCATGGCCGCGGCGGCGGAGCAGCAGCAGCAGCAGCAGCAGCAGGGCTTCCGCCCGCTCGACGAGGCGTCCCTGGTGGCCTACATCAAGGCCACGCCCGCCCTCGCCGCGCGCCTCGGCGGCAGCCTCGACGCCCTCACCATCAAGGAGGTCGGCGACGGCAACCTCAACTTCGTCTACATCGTCCTCTCCGACGCCGGCTCCGTCGTCATCAAGCAGGTCCCTATCTCCTCCACGCGCCGCCGCCGCCACACATGTACGCATCTTCTCTCTCCGTTCCTCCGCTGACGACGCTGCAATCCAGGCGCTGCCGTACATCCGCTGCGTGGGGGATTCGTGGCCGATGACGAGGGAGCGCGCCTACTTCGAGGCCTCCGCGCTGCAGAAGCACCGCGGCCTCTGCCCGGACCATGTCCCCGAGGTCTACCACTTCGACCGGGCCATGTCGCTGATCGGGATGCGCTACATCGAGCCGCCGCACATCATCCTCCGCAAGGGCCTCATCGCTGGCGTCGAGTACCCGCTGCTCGCCGAGCACATGGCGGATTACATGGCCAAGACGCTCTTCTTCACCTCCCTTCTCTACAACTCCACCACTGATCACAAGAAAGGAGGTTGGTTGATTTATTATACAGGTTTGGTTTGCCTGTGAAAAGGGAGAAAAATGAGAACCAAATTGATAGAATGTTGTGTTCTGTGACTATGAAAAGGGAGAAAAATGATAACCAAATTGATGGAATGTTTGTGTTCTGTGAACTGCAGTTGCTCAGTACTGCGATAATGTGGAGATGTGTAGGCTCACAGAGCAAGTCGTGTTCTCAGACCCATACATGCTCGCCAAATACAATCGTTGCACATCACCCTTCCTAGATAATGATGCTGCAGCGGTTCGAGAGGATGCTGAGCTTAAATTGGAGATTGCTGAATTGAAATCAATGTAACTATCTTTCCAGATTAAACCAGCGCTTTTCTTTTCTTTTCATATTGGAGATGATGGACATGATTTGCATATGCAGGTTTATTGAGAGAGCACAGGCTCTTCTTCATGGAGATCTCCACACTGGTTCCATCATGGTGACACCAGATTCTACTCAAGTGATTGATCCAGAATTTGCTTTCTATGGCCCAATGGGTTACGACATTGGGGCCTTCCTGGGGAACTTGATTTTGGCATATTTTTCACAAGATGGACACGCTGATCAAGCAAATGATCGTAAGGTATGTATGGATTTATTGGCTAATAATAGTAAATGAAAGTGTGTACTTTTACCTGGTCCACAAATGTCCTCTTTTTTTTTTATGTGACAAAAAGATAGTTTTTCTTTTTGGGTGGTTAAGTTGTTTTGCGTTTGCTAAGATAATGGCAACCACATGTCTTCCTGTGTACTTGTATCCTATAGAATAATTAGCAATTGATATTGTTGAGATATGCCGTATGTAACAGAGGGAGGAGGGTGCTCGGCAGACAATAAGTTGAATAACTTGCCTTACTCATCACTTGAATGTCCCTGAGTAATGGGAACTGCAGAAATGACAAGTTATATGGCAAAGTGCAATGGCAGCATCTAGATTTTAGAAGGTATTTTCATGATGTATCACGGGGCATAAAATAAGTTATATGACTGTACATATTTTTCAGGCTTACAAGAAATGGATCTTGAAGACAATTGAAGATTCATGGAATTTGTTCCACAAGAAGTTTGTCGAATTATGGAATAAACACAAAGATGGGAATGGGGAAGCATACCTGCCCCCTATATACAACAGCTCAGAGCTTTTGTGCCTTGCACAGAAGAAGTACATGACAAGCCTATTTCATGACAGTCTTGGATTTGGTTCAGCAAAAATGATCAGGTAAATAAATGTTGAATAGTATAGGAAGAGGAGATTACTGCGAATATTGGACACATTCTATTGAGCCTTAGGAGCCCGCATATATAGGAAATAAATAGGGTAGAGATAAGGAAGTATTATATTTAACATGGTATTAGAGCCTCAGGGGCCAGTATATAGATACATGAGATAAGGAAGGATTACAGATATGGAAAAAATCCACATAAATCAATCATATCCTAATATGACTCTAACTACCATATACTCTAATATTAAACAGTACAATTATATAGTCTATACTACTAAGTTAATTTGTTGAATCTTATTTACGTCTAGACTATGAAGATATACTAGACCTGCCCTTTTTAACTGTAAGGAACTCAAAGGCACGCTAATTTAGGCCAAAAGTAGAGGTTTCCGATGTCAATTTTGATGCAGCACTTCTTTTTCATAAATGTATGTCAGTATGTGGTGTCCTAAAAGAGATGTTCCAGAAGACCACCTTTGACAAGCATAAAGTATGACTGAAAACCGTCATAAATGGTTGAATTGAGGCAATTCAGGATATTATGTTGTGAGAAGCTAAGTGTAAAGAACTTAAAATCACATTTAAACACCATTTTCAAATTTTTTATCTGTATTCCGATGCCTTGTGCATGATCCTCAAGCGACTTCTGTTTACTAAATTGGACCATACATATGTAGGAGAATTGTTGGAATTGCTCATGTTGAGGATTTTGAGTCGATTGAGGATGCCAGCAAGAGAGCTTCGTGTGAGCGACGTGCCCTTAATTGTGCAAAGGCAATCCTGAAGGGAAGACGCCAGTTTGAAAGCATCGGGCAAGTGATTGTGCATGTACAATCGTTTGATCGGGACTGATAATGCCAACCATCTACACGACCTTTCTGATTGAGGAGACAAAAGTTTTCATCTGTTTACCATAAGCGATTATCTGTGCCTATTACAAAGCAGAATTGGCCAGTTATTTGTGCTTTTAGTACTTTGGATCATGAAAAGTGTGTGCACTCTGCAAGATCGATGTTTTTTTTCACCACTTGGCTAAGCCTTCCACCAGCTTCCGGGCTTCTTAGTTTATGAGCTGAATAATGGAAGTTCAGCACAAACGTTTGTCCATGGATATGGACGAGTGTGTTATTACAAATAAAGTTGATAGTTTTCGGCAAATAGATTGTTGTTGTTTTATTTCAAAGAGATGTAGTCCCCCTTTTGTTCCTTTTCATCACTTAGGCTGCGTTCAAGCGCAGGAGAAAGAGAGAAAGATAGTTTTGTTTTCCGCGTGCATGCTTCCCGAACTACTAAACGATGTGTTTTTTTGCAAAAAATTTCTATATGAAAGTTGCTTTAAATAATCATATTAATCCATTTTTGAAGTTTAAAATAATTAATACTCAATTAATCATGTGTTAATGGCTCACCTCGTTTTACGTATCTCTTCAATCCCCTCCTTCTCAAACACACCCTTAGACCTGATTACTTACAGCTTGTACAAGTTATGGTTGGAGGTTCAGTAATTTCAGCTGTACCTTTTCACTCTTCTTTTCCATCTTAACATAAACCAGGCAGGACCGCAGGAGTTGTTTTGTTGGCACAATTTGCGAGTTGGATGGGGAAGCTTGATATATGAAATTGTACAGGCCATCAAAGTCAAGCCGCTCTCATGTCTCATCATCAGTCAACAGCCACGGGAAGTCAGAAACCGATGGAAGAATGGATGTCAACTCATCAGCCACAATAATCGACCGATCGCCTCGCGCTCTTCTCCTCCTCCGGAATCTCGGATGGTCGGATGGAGCCCGCGACGAGCCGGGCGCCGCGCAGCCGCTTCGTGGTGTGGCTGCACGGCCTCGGCGACACCGGCCGCGCCAACGAGTTCCTCGCCGACAGCTTCCCCACCACGGCCGCCTTCGCCGACGCCCGCTGGGCCTTCCCCACCGCGCCCACCGCTCCGGTCACTTGCAACCGTACGTGAATCGCAACCCCTCCACCAATCAATTGGTCCTCTTGATTCATTGGCGATTCTACGTTCGATTATTCGATTCTAACTAATAAACATATTAATAAGTATATTAGTTAATAATTAGATAATTATATATATCGGATCTTGGTAATTTTTGTTATGTGTTCGTCGCTGGACTGATGCACTCTCTCCATCTCCGTTTCTTCTCAGGCGGCATGCTCATGCCCTCGTGGTTCGACATCCACGACGCGCCCATCACTTCCGTTAGATATCTCTGCCACAACGAAAATTCCCCTGTTTATGCCATGCTTGCAGAAGCCAGAAAAGGAACAATTGTGATGTTCACTTGAGTCTGGATGTGTGCAGGTATCTGTAAGGGACGAGGAGGATGTACTGAGAGCTGTCCAAAGCGTGCACGCGATGATCGACAGAGAGATCGCAGCCGGGACGAATCCACAAGACGTATTCGTTTTTGGACTTAGCCAAGGAGGTAGAACTAACATTGTCATACGACGATTAATATATGTTCATCTGAAGAAAGTTTGATAACTAAACATCTGCACATTTTAGGTGCATTGGGCATAGCAAGCGTGCTGCTTCACCCGAAAACATTAGGCGGATGTGCGGTCTTCAGTGGCTTCCTTCCCTTCAATTCCTCTTTTGCTGTCAGAGTTACTGCACAAGCAAAGAAGGTAATGGTAGGATCACATCGTTGCTCATATTGCTTAATAAGCCAAAATGACTTATTAAAGAATAAAAAACTAATTTATAGATAAAGCTTATATATGTATGTGTTTCTTAGCGGTTTAAAAGCTAATGCTGAAAAAAAAACTACGTTAAAAAATAATTTTAAAATAAAGTTCAAAAATTTAAATTTGGCTTTAATTTTGATTTATTAGGGCAACCAATAATGCTCGTAGTATTTTAACGGAAAAGAAGAGCTAGAGCTAATGACCAGCTCATGCATGACTGCAATGGTAAATAATCATGCTACAGCTACAATGTGGCTTGCAGACACCCGTTTTGTGGATCCATGGGCAAGCAGGCTCTCTAATCCCAATCAAGGAAGGCAGAGATGGAATTAAATTTCTGCGAGGACTTGGCATGAGTTGCGAGTTCAAGGTAATCATACACATTTGCAACTGTTCGTTATGTGCTCCGCTACTAGTAGCTTGCTGATTTAACATTTCAGAATTCGATATAAACGTTTCTCTCACTTGTTGCCGTGTATGTGCGTAGGTATACGACAGGCTTGGGCATTCTTTGGAATACTACGAATTGGATTACTGTCAGCGGTGGGTTGAGAAAATTTTGCACAGGAGTGGAAGAGAAGGCCTGATCCGTAGAGTCTCAAGGAACATCTTCTTGTGCAGTAACCTCTTCAACAGTTCCTAAGAAGAGAAACCACAAGACACAAGTACATCAAAGTACTGAAGTACGAATTGCAGCTTCAAAACACAACTCAAGGCCTCGAGCAACCCGTTTGTTTCTACGGCTCCGTTTGTTTAGACTTATAAGCGTCGAAAAATCTAAACCTAAACAAATAAGTTTCTTCGTTTGACTTTTCTAAAGCTATAAGACACTCTTACACCGTTAAGTTAAAAACTAGGTTAAAAGAAGTTTTTTTAGGGCATGTGTGATTTATAAGCTAGTGAATTTAAATTTAAATTTAGAACTTTAAATTTACTGGCTTATAAATTATATAAAGAAAAAAAAACTAACTTAAAAACCTAAGCTTACAAAAAAGTCCTAAATGTATTCTTTCTCAGGAGATGGGTACACGTGCGTTGTTTGATCACACTATTTTCCTTCTAATAAAACTTCTATACGAGACTTTCAGTTCAAATCATGTGGAATTTTTAACTGTAGCTTTAAAACTTCCAATTTAAAATCTAAAAACTTTCACACTATTACTACCTACGTTTCAAAATGTAGTAGGATGAGACCCATTTAGAAATACGAATCTGGATATGAGACTGCCATATTTTGGGACGGAGGGAGTAATACTTTCGGTCTAGGACATCCCGCTTGCGTGCAAAAGGGGCCCAGGCCCAAAACTGGTGAATTCGTAGAAGGCCCGCACGAGCGGACGAAGCGCTAGGCCTAGGCCTGGGCGGACGGCGACAGGCGGGGACGGGGCCACCCACGCCGCGCGCTCTCTCGTCGCATCGGCAGCAGCGCAGCTCGCCTAGGACGGAGGCGACAGTTCGGACGCTACACGGCACGGGCACGGCAGGATGAGGATGGAGGCGGACGGCGCAAAGCGCACGCCCAAGGTGTGATCCGACCTGACCGGCCTCCGTTTCGCGTCTCCGTTGCCCACGAGGCGATTCCCCCCGCGGCCTAGCTCCTTCGCTGCCCCGATCGATCGCTGACGCTGAACCCCGCCGGCCGCATGGGCATGGCGGCGGCGGGCGGGTACGGGCGCGTGCTGTGGCTGCACGGCTCCGGCCAGACGGGCGAGGAGAGCCGCGCCCAGGTCGCCCCATACTTCGCCGCGCCGGAGCTCGCCTCCGTCCGCTTCTCCTTCCCCACCGCGCCCACCTCCTCCATCCCTTGCTACGGTACCCAAAACCAAACTTTTATATATACACAAAATCTGTTCCAAATCCAAGGCGCATAAAAAATTTCAGAGAGAAACAGGAACATATCTGAATGTCTGTTTCCACCATTGCTGTAGGTGGCGAGGTGATCACGGCTTGGTTCGCCATCCCGGAAGTTCCTATTACTGCTGTAATTCGTACTCCTAACTATTAAAATTCCAAAATGCTGTTCAACTTCATTCAAAAAGAAAATACTTGTGCTTGGTGAATACTGACTTCTCTTGCTAGCATGGCATCGTTTATTGGTTCAAAAGTAACAACATTCTTTTGTCCTTCTTAGAGAACTGCCAGAGATGAAAAGGAAGTGCTCAAAGCTGTGGAGCGTGTGCACGAAATGTTAGACGGAGAAGTAGCTGCTGGGACGAGTCCTTCAAATATATTCGTTTGTGGGTTAAGCCAAGGAGGTAGTAATCTGCATGCTTCTGGTAATGGCATTAGTTAGGACTCACAAGACTATGATTTTAATTGCCTTTTCACAGGTGCTCTAGCCATAGCAAGTGTTCTACTCTACCCAATGACTTTAGGTGGCTGTGTTGTGTTCAGTGGATCACTTCCTCTAAGCAAAACATTTGCTGAGAGTATACCATCTGAAGCTAGAAAGGTAACAGAGCTGCAGATATATTTGCAACGAGCATTTGGTGATCACATCCTCCTGCAAATGGGTTGATTTGTTTGTCTTCATACTGAATCTTCAAAATTTGCAGACACCAGTTTTGTGGTTTCATGGCATGGCTGACGGGGTGGTACTGTTTGAAGCTGGGCATGCTGGGTGTGCATTTTTACAAGAAATTGGCATGCACTGCGAATTCAAGGTGGTAATGAAGCATATTTGACAAAATAACAGTTTTTCTGAAGAATCTGTCTGTTTGCTGACTACAATGTTCTGTTTTTCTTTCACTAATAAAAATGACCAGGCTTATCCTGCACTTGGGCATACATTGGTGGATGAAGAGCTCCAGTATTTTCGACAATGGATCAAGGATCGTTTATCTCAAGGAACTGGAGTTCCAGTGCCATCCTTATCTGACAAGATGGATCTCCAGTAGCTGCTTGTTTTTTTAGAACCAAAGGGCAGGAATCCTAGGCCCCAATTTTTATAGCTCCTTCTTGTTCTTGATGTGGATATTCTAGTCCAATTTATGGCTACCATTCATTGTTGGTACATTGGTGCTACATTTGATGTACTGCGAAATGCCTTTTTATGTTGTGGAATTATGATCTGATAAAGGTTTATGATCCTTGCAATTTCTGCCATTCCATCTTAGAATTTGCATTGCGATTCATTCGATCCTTCAATCAACACATACAATTTGGCAAAACTTACAAAATCAAACCCCCAAAAACAGTTCAAACCTTTTTAATCCCACCAATTGCAGTTTGGTCAACTACCATACCGGCTCATAGCCTGTCGCACCGACCAAGCTGAGTGACGCGTCACGGCCCAGTTGACTTCGGCCCATGACCCAATGAGTAGCCGCCTCCGCTTCCTCTTCTCCCTCGCCGCCGCCATCGCCGCAGCCTCCCTCCTCGCCGCCGCCCTCCGCCGCCGCGCGCCGCCCTCCGGCCTCGCCGCCCGCCTCGTCCCCGCGCCCATGGCGGCGGCGGCGGCCCGCAACCGGAGCTTCGTGCTGTGGCTGCACGGACTCGGCGACTCCGGCCCGGCCAACGAGCCCATCCGCAACTTCTTCTCCGCGCCGGAGTTCCGCCTCACCAAGTGGGCGTTCCCCTCCGCCCCGAACTCCCCCGTCTCCTGCAACCGTACGCCTCGTTGCCCCCCCGCGCCATCTCGTCTTCTCTGCTTCGGATTTGCTCCTGATTCAGTAACGAGATTTTCTTCCTCCTTGCAGATGGCGCTGTGATGCCTTCATGGTTCGACATCCACGAGCTACCCATGAGCTCTGTGAGTTCACTGATTCCACTTATCTAAGCTGATAATTTACTGTACCAGTAGGTATTGATCTTGTTCAAATCTTCAACGAGTAGGGTTCTCCACAAGATGACAGTGGGGTTCTTAAGGCTGTTGAAAATGTGCACGCCATGATTGATAAGGAGGTAGCTGATGGCATCCCTCCAGAGAACATATTTGTTTGTGGATTCAGTCAAGGAGGTAGGACTAGTGCTTTGCATTGTAAGTTTCTGAAGTGGTAAGAAATTTTGTACTGTGAACTAAGTATTGGAGTGCATGTTCGTTGGCAGGTGCTCTCACATTAGCAAGTGTTTTGCTTTATCCCAAGACTCTAGGTGGTGGCGCAGTGTTCAGTGGGTGGCTGCCTTTTGGTTCGTCAGTTACTGAGAGGATTTCACCTGAAGCAAGGAAGGTATGCAATCAATCGCTTTATTCATCAAGTTTAGTTTAATGAAGTTTCATAAGGTGCAAGCGAGCAGTTTAGTTCAATCGCTTCTGGAATATATGCCTGCATTGATATGATCATAAATTCATACCCAGGATTTGTCTCTGAATTAAATATATCTCATAAACACAAGTTGGGTTGCAGATTCATTTGGAAAAATCCATGTGCTGTCTATCGCAGCAGTTACTGATCAACACTGTTCAGTTGTCATTGAGCAAACTTAAGAAATATGGATGTACTAAACGGTAGCAATTCTGTCAAACTGGTTGAATGTAAAGATCTGACTTACCTGAATGATATCAAATGAATGTAAAGATCTACTGTGGCCCAAACTTGCATATCAATTGTATGTCAGTTGGGTGTCAGTATAATCAAATTCACTAGAAATAAGAGCTTACCTTCACCTTAGTGCTTCGGTGGTAGGGTAGGATGAAATGAACCAACGCTGGATCTTTTTTTTTTTAATGTTCACCCGGGGGGGGGGGGGGGATTTTCCCCACCTAAATTTTCATTTAGATGGACAAAGTGGGAGGTAAAGGGTGATAAAAAGGATCCAGCATTACATCAGGGAGAGAGCAGAAGAGAAGCAGTGTTTCCACTGTGTCGCTACAGGGTGTTCTCTATAGTTCATTATTTCCGCCCTCAAAGTTGCATCCTCTACGCATCAGCGTAGGAGTTGTTGAATTGACGGCGCTTCCCCTCGGAAGACCACATCGTGACGATGGTTCCAAAGGCGCCAGAAGCAAAGCAGGTTGAAGGCTCGATACTCGACGACCAGAATGATCGCCGGAGGTTGTAGCTGCCCCATAAGTAGGGCGGAGGTGACTGAGGGTTGAATCCTGATTGCAGACCAGAATGCCGCTGCAAATTTAGTAGTGTTTATTCCATTGTAATTGAACTTCCATAAATGTGTGAATGATAACTTTGACTTTCATAAATGTTAGGTCAACCCTTCTCTGTATGGATAGAAATTTGATGTGAAATTAACTATTTATATGTATGATTTATTAAGCTTAGATTCTTTTTTTGGGTCTGTTTTCAACTTTTCAGACTCCAATTCTGTGGTCACATGGAATAGCTGACAATGTAGTATTGTTTGAAGCTGGTCAAGCTGGTCCACCTTTTTTGCAAAATGCTGGTTTCAGTTGTGAATTTAAGGTAATTATGTATCTTCTTTTTTTCTTGCACATAAGAGGACCTTTGATTTACAAGCTGGTTCTAATTGTATCAAGTTATCATCTGTGTTTGTTTAATCAGGCATATCCAGGTCTTGGTCACTCGATTTCCAAGGAAGAGCTATATTCTCTTGAGTCTTGGATCAAGAATCATCTAAAGGCCTCTCAGGAGAAGGAAAATTAACATTGCTTTGGCCTGCCGTCACTCTGTGGTACATAAAATTTGGTGAGAATATGTTGACCTTTACGGACACTCATTTGGAAGTTTTTATTTGGGATTGATCAATGTGTCAACAGATATTTGACTCGTAACGGCCATAGCCGCACATGTACAATCGCTGGAGTTTGTATGTTCCTGGCATGACCAACTGCACCTTAGAATTTACTATATAGTGACAAAGTATTGAATAAATACCCCGTGTTCCAGTTAACTGTCCAAGTGTCCAACATTCCGGTCCCTTTTGCTTTTCCTATAGTTCAATTCTAAACTCTCAAATTGAATACGTTGCCACACTTTGTGAGACAGAACATCCCTTTTGCCTTCCCTATTTAGTTCAATTCTAAACTCTCAAATTGAATGCATTGCCACACTTTGTGAGACAGGACATAGGCTGTGGGTGTCTTTAGTTCATGCTAAAATTGGAAGTTTGGTTGAAATTGGAACGATGTGACGGAAAAGTTGGAAATTTGTGTGTGTGGGAAAGTTTTGATGTGATGGAAAAGTTGGAAGTTTGAAGAAAAATTTTAGAACTAAACTCGGCCTGTGTTTAGTACCACGCCAAAATTGAAAGTTTGAAGAAATTAGAACGATGTGACGGAAAAGTTAAAAGTTGAAGAAAAAAGTTGGAATCTAAACAGGGCCAAATGCAAGGAAAAAAGATATGCACTACTGTCCTTTGACTTTGAGTGGAAGAGACTCATAGGCTGGCGGTGGATGCATAGGAGGATGACTACAGGACTGTTGTTTGGTTGGCAAGCAAGCATTTGGTCTGTCATGTGTTATGTTCCTCAACGATGTCAATTTCAAAGTTTTAATGCACAAATTCAAACTTAAGTGACTGAACTGTCGTGTTCCTTTCGGAGGTTTTAAACTTGTCATCACTTTTAAACCCCAATGTCAAGTTGATCGTTTCCGTGTGCAGACCACTGACCATTTCAGCGATGTGTGATCGCGAGACACTTGACTTTGCTGCTGCTGCCAATGATTTTGTGAAGAGTGGTGAACGAATAGTGCCTTTTTCGAACTTTAGCTTTCAAAACAGAGGATGTTATACGTACATGAAAATTCGTAGTCTACTCCGCTTGACCTATTTGGCCTGATCGTAGATGTCTACTTAAAGAATTTCGGAATAACTTAAGTCATTACCGTTTGGAATAAAATGTATTTCGGGCCCCCAGTTTGTTTGGAATAAAATGCAATTCTGCCCAAGTTGCATTAGAAATACGTATACACAACTTGCAAAATTAACATGTAGTACATATAAATACTAGAATAATTCAAGTTTTACTGCAAGAGACCCGATAAATTGAGCTAAGCACACTTCGGGCCTTATCTTTTCGCTTATGCCTATACTTATCAGCTAAATTTTAAATTTTCAACTTTAAACTTAAAGTTGATTTTGAGATTTTTTTCATCGATGTTTATTTTTCAGCCTTTACTTTTAGATCACTAAAAGCATGTATATAAAAAAAATTTTCACAAATTACTTTTTATTTGTAAATATGTCGTTTGTCTTATTCCGCGAATAAACGAAACGATGGGTGTTCGTCTCTAGATCAATCCTTCCTTCCAGAACAGCATGTATCAAATGTCTCTCGAGATCCAAGCTGACGCCCAATTAGGCCAACCGTTCCACCAGCTAACGATATTTTTGTACCCCCAACCTATTGCGATTTAGGGAAGAAAATCTTAAACGAGAAGAAGCATCGGAGGACGAGAACGGCAACGGCAGCACGGGGAACAGGCGACGGGGAGGACGCTATATGTTGCAGTAGAAAAACGCGACCACCACGACGGCGACGCGTTCTCCCAACCGGTCAGCAAGCCTCCCCTTTCGACAATACCAACGCGTACAAAAGCCCAAGTCGCCATTCCCGCTCCTCGTGCTCACCGCCACCATCTCACCTCGCCTCCCCACCGCTCCCCTTTGTCTCATCTTCACCGCCTCTACTTTACTCTACAAACTGTATGATACTCCATAATTTTGGAGTATGTATGTAGTGCTAGTCAGGTACAGCCAAGAACGCATCCTCGTCGTCGAGACCACCTTCGTATCCTAGGCAAAAATGCTTCCTGCTGCAATCCAACAAGACGAACATTTTTGGAGGTTTAGATGTACTTTAGTCTTCTTTGTTTAAAACATAAGATTAAACAAACCATCCCCGCAAAAAAAAGATTAAATAAACCACATGAATAGAAAAAAAAACATGAAATGTTGATAGAAAAATTACGGAGTACTGTAAAACATGATTGTTTAGTTAGATAGCAAGAAAAAGATATGAATTGGCTGAGAGAGATAAACTCAACTTTTCAGAAAGTTTTAAGCTCTCGTTAACTTTTCTTCGAAATTTGTATAGCATTGTCCATTTCATAAAATTTTTTTAAGGAAAATAAGAATTCAATCTTTTATTTCAAATATCTTTGTAGGATTTTTTTAGAACTAAAATCCTCTAAAATTTTTGTGTTTTTCATACAACCAGGGTTTTAAATTTTGAAATCAGCATTTCTGCCGCAGCTGAGCAATAGAACCGAAATTTCAGAAAAAAAATCGTACGAAATTTTTTGAATTTTGACGGATTTTGTATAAATCTGAATAAAATTTGATCAAATTCACCAAAAAATTACAAAAAACCGAAATTTTCGGGCGAGATGTTAGCATTTCGGTGGGGGCGAAATTTCCGAAATTTCAAACACTGCATACAACTCACGGGGCCTAATTTGAGAAGATTTTCGTAAGAAATTCATAGGAAACAGTGCGTTTGAAAATGATGGACGCATATGCTGCTGACTGCAATTCAGGGCTCCGGCGCCGCTGACCATTGGCCTCTCCACGGAGCGCACTGTCCCTGTCGCTGGCGACTGTGCTGAACGAGAGTGAGAGCGACCGATCAAAATTTAACCCGAGTTTGGCCCACACACACTTGCAGTGCAGACGTACTCCCCCAAAATTGAATGACATTTAGGACGGGAGAATTCAATTCAAGCTACTCCAAAATTGAATGAGCTATGATAACCATCCTCCAAAATCGAAATCGAATTTGAGATCAAATCTCGCAGGAGCAAATGGAGCCCAATAATGGAGGAGGTATACTGATGCCTCCGTCATACAAGGGTCCCCTGCCTCTGCATCCGCACTGCGGCGTCGTCATGGCTCTCGTTTTCTTTTTGCCTTTGCATCTTCGCAGAGCAGCGCCCGCCTGCCAAACTGCCGATCGAAAACATCAGTAGTAGCCATCAAATGCAGCATTTCTTCTTGTACGTCTCGTTTCTTTTTCCAACCGGCCTCTGCCTCTGCCTCTCCGTGCTGCAGCTTGTTGATCTCTCTACAGAGAGAGGTGCAGTGCAGAGCCCATAAATTGTCAGCAACCTGCTTCCTGTCCTTCATCTCGTACTGTAGTACTACGATAACAGTGACAGTCAGGCTGTGTTTATTCAGCGCAAAGTTTGGATTTTAGTTAAAATTAGAGATGATTGTGACTGAAAAATTATGTGTGTATGACAGGTTGATGTGATAGAAAAGGACTGAAGTTTGGATCCAAACTTTGGATCTAAACACGGGCTCCCTTTGCATTTGGTACTCAGCTTGTGCTTAATAGTAGCACATCAATGTGTCACTGATGAGATGGAGGAAGAACTAAAGAAGTCGTAAAATCTCAGCAGTGGTGGCAAGGAGTATTAAAGTTCAATAAAGCTTTGCACTGATTGTACTAAAGGAAATACTAACAAATTTTGTGGAGTACACGTCCTTGGGTGAAAACTATAGCTCGTTCACGGCTAACTTTCGTTTTGCAATTTGCACATTGCAAGTAGCACTAATTTCTATTCACATTCTTTTCAAGAGTACCAGTGCAGTGCAAGAGGAAAGCTCTAATGCTTCTTTTTCGAGCCGTCCAACAGGGTAGCTGAAAAGAAAAAGGGTACAAATGTACTAAAATTCAAAAAGGAGAAGTAAAAAATTTAACATGAAAAAACATGCCTTTTTTTGGCTGGAAAAAAACCCAGGTGGTGTTTGGGAAGGAGGGACTAACACCACTGCAGTACTTGATTACTTATCCATGAAGGAGTCTGAACCAAATTTGATGTTCCTTTACCACATTTACAATTGTGACAACAACATTGCCTTCTTTCAAAAAGATGCTGAAGACATGTTGGTCAAATTTGCTGTTCTTTTACCACATTCAAGATTGTGATCAAGCCTTGCTTCAAAAAGATGGTGAAAACATGTTGCTTAGCAGATACTATTACACTGCCTGTGGAACTGTTAGAATTGACTACATCAAGGATGCTGCTGTGATTCCATTATTCAGGGAGATGAACCCCAACTAGTGCATGGAACACGCTTAACGATCATGGAAAAAACAATTGGCTTTGCACATATGCTTTTCCTTAATAGAGGAGGAATGTACAACCAGGCAAGCATAACTTGATACTGCCTCCATTTGCAGATATCCCATAAAAGAGGATTTCTTGCCCACTCAAGCTTTACAAAAGTTTAATTAACTAAAAACATTCCTCTCCATTGCAGTAGGAATCACTCAACAGTTCCATCCATACACATGATGCAGCCATCAGAACCAGATGCTATGCTAGTACCATGAAGTCAATGCAAAAACAGCTACTCCTAAATTACAAGGAGAAGAAATGGAAATGATATTGTTCTCTTGCAAAAGAAGTTCATTGTTGAACCAAAGGAGCAAAAATATGGTACAGTGAGGTTGATTGAAGGGAAGAACTGTAATTTGGATTGGATTACACTACACCATCTTGATTTTCCCTCCAAACCTCAGTGCTCATCAGAGTGCAAGAAATCAAAAGAAAGAACAGCAAAAGGAGCATAGAGCTGAGGTGCTCTTGATCAAAACAACTACTGATACTGACCTTGACCTGACCTTCTTGGTCGTCTTCTTCCTTCTCCTAATCTACAAGAACATGGGGAGCAGCAGCTGCAGGAGGAGGAGGAGCTCAGTTCCAAGCTCCCCACACCTTCTCCCCGATGAAGCGCACCAGCCTCCCCACCGTGCTCTTCTCGGCGTTGCTGCTGCTGCTGCTGCTGCAATCGCCCTCGCTCAACGTCGTCTCGTCGTCCGCATCGCCGTCCATGCTGTCGCCCTCTTCCTCCTCCTCCTCGTCGTCGCCATCGCCCTCGTAGTCGCCGTCCTCCTCGCCATCGAAGCCACAGGCGTGGTGGTGGTGTTCCACGCTGGCATCCGCCTCCTTGGTGGCACTTGCATCCTCCTCGCAGTCGCCGCCTCCGCGTTTGCCGCCGCGGCGGCGGCGGGGAGGGCGGCGCGGCGGGCCAGCTCCGCCGCCGCCGCCGCCGCCGCTGCCCTCCTCCACGGCGTCGATGATGCGGTGGATGACGTGGCGGTTGGGGGACGCGTCCCAACGCGCCCAGAAGCTCTTGTAGCAGCCGAAGCACCCGCACCCCATCTCCGGCGGGTGAGCCCCGCGGCGGCGGCGGCGTCCCCCGGCCGCCCCACCTCCAGACAGCAGGTAGGCGAGCACCTCCTGCTCCTCCGCCGTGAGCGCCGACGCCAGGGCCAGCACAGCGGCCGGCAGCACAACCGCTGCCGCCGCAGCAGCATCCGCCTGCGCCTGCTGCGCCGGCGCCGGGTGCACCCTCCGTCCCTTCCCCTGGTACAACTTCTTCATCCTCCTCACCCCCAACTACTACTACTCACTCGCACTTACTTCAGCCGGAGTTCGCCGGGTTAGGTGCCCACCAACTGCTCGACCAAAAGCCAACCTCGGGGACGGGTTGGTGCGGGTAGGTGGCGGGCTCCCGTCGGCTACGACGTTGCTGTTCGCAGCCGCTGCTGGATGGCGCCCGCGCAGCTCGTCCTCCTCTCTCCTTCGTTCTCCGCAGCAGCAGCAGCGAGAGGGAGGAGCGCGTCGTGTGGTGTTTGGTTTGGTGGGTGCGAACTCTTTAGCCGAGGAGACGGGGGAATCTGACGGGTGGTGTACGGGAATCTCTTGCAGTCGTGCACTTGCTCTCTCCTCCCTCCGGTCCAATCGGGGGTTGGGTGCGGTGCGACCGCGCGTGTGTGGCGCCGTATCGGTCGCGACGGCGAACGCGAGTCCATGCTACGACCTACGACCACGTAAACGGTCCTCCTCACGGCTCTTCTCGGTCTTCCCCGAGCGCCGTGTCGCATCGCAACACGCCCGTACATTACATATGCGACTCGTGCTGCTGTACCCCACACACACCTGGTCTCATGGGCCGAGCACATTGCAAATTCTGATCTCGCAAGCCCAAGCCCAGTTTAACGCTGTTCCAAACTTTCCAATCGGCTTCACTTTGCACATTCCTGTCACACTGCCTTCTTCAGAGATCACTGCAGAAGACTGAAGAAAATCGCCAACAAAAAGCCATATATCGCGCCTTCGTGGAGCACAAAAGAGATGGATTGACGATTCACGGATCACATTCTTTTTTTGTGAACAAGAAAGATCCATGCTTGTATTGTGGTCGAACACGCCTTCTCTGACTGCTGCTGCTTGCTCATTCATTCGTAGGGGTTCCTGAAGCTCTTGAGGAGATCGGGGATGTCGTAGGCGAGCATGTCGTCGACGCCCTGCACCAGCTTGGGCTTCAGCCTCTCGAACTTGTCGAAGTTGTAGGCGCTCAGTGTCTCCCTGTACTCATCCACGCTGGGGAAGTCGCCGGCCGGCAAGTGCAGCTCCTTCTGAACCTTGGCGAACTGCTCGTCGAGGGTGTCGAGCAGCCGCTGCTGCGCCTTGGCCTTGCCCATCAGCGCCGGCATCTCCTTCTTCAGGTGGCTGATTATGTGAGCATGGACCTTGGCTGACCTCGAACGCTTCACGAATTCGTTGATCTGAAAACACCAAACAGTTTTTCAGTGACAGAATGAATGGTTAGCATGAGTGAGCATATATATGTAATCTTGCAAGAAAAGGTGTTTCTGATGATGATGATGATGAGCTTCTCACTCGACGGTCACAGGCTTTCTTTGGAATGTCATTCAGGTCGGAGAGCAGGTCTTCTTGTTCTTTCTCAAACAGTTCTTTACCCAGTGGCCCAGCTACTGTCTCCCTAATGGGCTTGTCGTTAAATGAACTGTCACATGTTAATTTGGAATTGTCAGTGGTAAGGTTGTGTGATCTTTGCAAAACCATCAGATTGATCGATGCATTGCCATATGTGAAGGTGAAGCTTCTGGGGAAGATGACATCATACCCTATGTACACACGCATGACTTCTGGTGTGTTCAGAACTTTCCCAAGCGACCATAGCAGTGCTCCATAGACTCTCATGAGCTGAGGATAAATTTGTCAGAAGCAAAGTCGTTATTTGCTTTCAATCAACATAGCTACTCTTTTTTGTCTCCACTTGAAATGTAAAAAACAAATCAATGTTTCTTATCACACTCCATGATTTTTTTTCCTATGCATAAAGAGGATGAAAATGGAATATGTTATCACACTATAAAGGGATAGCAATAACACTCACTTGTTGTGCATCAACTTGGTCTGCTTTGTTCAGAACTATACGTATTTTATCATCATGCCCTTTGAGTGACCCAATTACACGCTTGAACTCATCACTGATGTCAAGCTTATGTGGATCAAATAGGAGAAGAATTAGGTCACACTTGGCTGCAAACCATGATGTAACTCCAGTGAAGTCATAGCTACGCTGTGTTCGCTGCTTTTCCCCTGATAAAACTCCAGGAGTGTCCACAAAGGTTATATGATCCAGTAGCTTGGCAATGTAAAAGATGCTAACAATTAGCTTCTTTCTGAGTGCAACATAATGAAAAATATGAAGTAGAATAATCAGTGCAAGAGAAGGAATATACTGGATGAGGCATCTGAGAACATTCAAACTTTGATAGAAATGCTGTCCCAAAAGATGACAAGCCACTATATGGCATGTCTGCTTGCACGGCAATTGTGTTTCCAGGGATGCATCTTTCATCAGGTCCAGACTGCAGTAGTGAGAGGATGTATCATTGGGAAGTGAAGATCAGTGGAGATATGTTAGGTAGAACAAACAAAAGTTAGGCAAAGCAAATTGACACATCTCCATATAGAACCTACAGTAATAACAACAAATCTGTCAGTTGTAGGCTCTGGACCAATATGAGCACCTGCAAGAGAAACAACTCAGATATTGTTACATTTTTTTCAAGGGAAAATGTGTAGAAAGAGAATGGAAAATATAATTCTCAATAAGAAGGAAAAGGAACACAATATTTCATCCTGTTTACCTGGATAATTTGTCTTCAGTAAATGCTTTATGAATGTGGTTTTTCCTGTGGAATACTGACCCAGCAACATGACCATTGGCTTCGCATCGAAATCACTGCTAGTCTACAAAATGGAAAAACATGACGTAGAAAGCTCCATTAGGAAGTCATGCATGCCAACTGAGAGGAATAGAGGCCTTGTTTAGTTCCAAACTTTTTCTTCAAACTTCCAACTTTTCCATCACATCAAAACTTTCCTACACACATAAACTTCCAACTTTTCCATCACATCGTTCCAATTTCAACCAAACTTCCAATTTTGACGTGAACTAAACACACCCAGAATAGATAAGATGTATCAAGCATTATTTCACCAACAAGCGATGGAATAGTATATGTGAAATTTGAAGTTCATAAGGGAGGTGACACACCAGCAAAGGTGAAACAAAGTCATCGAACTGATATGTTTTTTCTAGTGGCCTCAACTTCTCAATGTAAGATTTCTTTAACCCATCGATGATCGAAGTAACTGATCTTAAAGGAATCTGCGCAGAGAATAATTAGCATCATGTAAAACTATTTGTAATAATATGTACTCATATTATCAGCACCTGCGTTATTGTTGTACCTTCTTTCCTGACTTGGAGTTAAACCAGTTGGCTGATGCAGGCAATTCTGACGGATGACGTACTGCATGATTGGCAAGATAAAAGTTGGAAACTATATATGGGCCAAATGAACCAAGAGAAAAAAAGGAACTCCCCCCTAGGTAAAGGTAACAATCCATACCGACAATATCAGAGTTGCTCTTGCTCATAGAATTATTTTTCTTTCAGGATCAAAAAAATGGAGAAATGGTTAGAGAAATTAAAATGTCCGTGTGCTGTAGCTGCAGCATTTTCCAACGCAAATGAAACTAAAAGATCGATGCAGACATACTAGTTTTTTGTCCAGACCTTCCATTGTCGGAGGTAGCAACGTCTCCAAATCTGATGTAAAAGGTGATGGTGAGTATGCCAATAGTTTCTTCAGAAATATAACTAGTGCTAAGTATATATAATTACTGCCTACGGGCAGAGGCCGGAGATGTAACCTATTTCCATTATCTAAAAAAAAGTATATATAATTACTAATTGCATCAGTTTTACCTGCATGTGCAAGGGTGTCCTGACTAATCTCATTCCCAGCTTGTGCAAGAGAAACCAGCTGCACATCGGCATGTGCTTTAATGTACCATATCAATTGCAGCATCAAATACAAATGCCCCACAAAAATAAATCAGTGTCACGAACATACCTGCATTGCGGTCATAAACTCCGAGAATCCAAGATAACCCTGACGCTTGGAATCAGCGATTGCCCAGACCTAAATGCCCCAAGGAAAAATGTAATGCTTGTGGATTGTGATCATAATTTCATAACAGAAGAAAATGTGCATCACCATAATTTCATAACCAAACGTTTGGCTTTCTCTCTCTTTTTTTATATATATCTACGAACAATCACGGTTGTCGTCCAGAATTGTGCACCTTTTTTCTACAATTCTGATTATGCCTAAAAGAGAATTTGCACCTGCTTCAGCTCGGGGCGGGAGAGATTCGACATGGCGAAGAACTTGAGCGCGTCTTTCCCCGTCACGCGCCCATCTCCATCTACCAACATACACCAACAGATTCAGAGACATTTTCACCGGCAAAGATCGAGGAAGACAAAAACATAAAGAGGGCGTCGTGCTCAGCGATGGGGGGCAAACCGTCGTCGGCGAGGGAGAACCACCGGAGGTAGGCTTCGCGCTGCTCCCTGAGGCCCCATTTCTTGGGCGGCGAGTCCGATCCCATCTCCCCCGGCTCCTCGCCTTCTCTCCTCTCCGTCGGGGGAGAGAGAAGAGGAGACAGAGAGAGAACGAGAGGATGGAGAGAGGTGTGGCTGGCGAATGCCCCGATTGCCGCGCGCGGGGGATCGGCTCCCGCGCGGGTTTTAAAGAGTAAACGGCTCGATCGCCGCGGCAAATGCGCCATGGACCTCGCGGTGTCTTGTTGGGCTTCTCGCGGTTTCAGGTTACTTTCAGCCCGCGAAAGGGTTAGGCGGCCCAGAGGAACAGCAGCGCACGCGGCGGGGGATGGGATGGAAGACTTGGCCTGGTCGCGGTGGCGACGCGGTCAAAAACGGGGCCCCGCGCGTGGCCTCAGTTCCCGAGTTGGGTCGGGCGAGTCACATCGCGTCGCATCAAAAGACGGTGCGCTTCTCGGGCGGCGCGAGCGACACCACCACGGCACCACGCGTCGACGTCCCTCTGGCCGCGCGCCCCGCGCAGCCGCGTGGGTTGGCGGGCGGGCGACCACCCGCTGCGCTCCCGCCACTGGCTTGTGGGGTCGAGGTCGACGTGTGTGGTGTGGGAGCCACTGCGTGAGGCGTGACTCCACCCACGGGGAGGTGTGCGTCGGGCGGTGCGTGGCAACCGCGCGGTGCGCGCAGCCAGCCAGCCACAGGATGGACGAGTCCTGGGCAGGAGGCAGCGCCGCAGCGAGCGGCTGATTGCTGCGAGCTGTGTGACCTGTCAGTAGATCCCCGTTTTCTTCCCGATCAATACAAGGGGTGTGTTTAGTTGGGGAAAAAAAATTTTTGTATTACGTTGAAAAAAACTAATTTTAGACATGAAAAAACTAATTTTAGAACTCGCCTAGAAACTACGAGACGAATCTTTTGAGACTAATTAAGCCGTCATTAGCACATGTAGGTTACTATAGCACTTATAGCTAATCACGGACTAATTAGGTTTAAAAGTTTCGTCTCGCGATTTCCTCCATGACTGTACAATTAGTTTTTTTTATCTATATTTAATGTTTCATGCATGTCTCTAAAGATTCGATGTGATGTTTTTGAGAAAAAAATTTGGAGAACTAAAGGGGCCCAAGGTGAAATCATATTTACACGGTGAAATGATATGGACGGAAGTTTTGCGGCAGCGTTGCGTGCCGCAGATTGAAATTAATGTACTAACTCCGTCCCTAAATAATGGATTTACTAAAACGTTTAACTGTTTATTTTATTTAAAAATTTTATTAAAAAAATTAAAAAAAACTAGTTGCACATAAAGTACTATTCATGTTTTATCATATAATAACAAAAACAATATTAATCGTAAAAATTTTTCAAATAAGACATGTCGTCAAACGTTGGACATAAACAGTATAAAACTGTACTCCCTCCGTCCCATAATATAAGGGATTTTGAGTTTTTGCTTACTTTGTTTGACCACTCGTCTTATTCAAAAAATTTGTGCAAATATAAAAAACGAAAAGTTGCACTTAAAGTACTTTGGATAATAAAGTAAGTCACAAAAAATTAAATAATAATTTCAATTTTTTTAATAAGATGAGTGGTCAAACGGTGCAAGCAAAAACTCAAAATCCCTTATATTATGGGACGGATGGAGTATTTATTTTGGGGCAGATAAGATAGCTTTTAGTGATTTTCAACAATAATAGCTACCGGACATTTTCTAAGAAAATATTTTCACACTTTTTATCATTGACGTATGGGGTATAATTTATTAGAAATGAATCTTTCCATACATATGACGCAACCAAATAGCTGCATATGCGTTAGTTAAATTTTTCAAAACTTAGACATGACTGGCAACTAAGGCAACATATTCTATACGCACAAGCTCTCACGTGTACACATGTGCACACCAATTAAAAAATATCATCAAAAAATTTAAAAAATTCATACATGTATTTTCAATAGTATTACACATAGGGTTAAAATCTTAACGCCAAATTCATTATATTTTAGCCATAAAAAATCTAACAGTTTTAAGTTTATAATTTTGTCAGAATTCTATCTTTTTTTGTTACTCTCTATGTAGAATGAATTTGAAGATGCCACTTTGCACGTAGATGTAATATTATTGGAAGTACATGTATGAATTTTTATAGAATTTTTTGTGATAATTTTTAGTTGGTGTGCACGGTATATATATATGCGAGAATATGTATACAAAAGATACGCTCCCGGCAACTAAATATCCTACAATTTATGTAAGCATGCCACATTTTTTTACTTTTTACTAGTACGCCTAACATTTGGCTAGCATATGAATGGCAATTTAGTTAGAGGAATCAACCATATACCACACTTTTATACGTTAATAACGTAAGAGACGTTCATGTATAGCATGAATCAAACGGATGTCTAACTCAATTGAATTTACACGAGATAAGCTGTACTCCCTTTGTTTCAAAATATAATGATTATTAGGTTATTACAAGTAAACTAAGGTTATATTAGAATTTTTCTTTTTGCTACTTTAGTCAAATTTGAATTGCTTGGGTTCTCTTTAAACATCTTATTAGTTTTGGAATAATTGAAATGGTGAACAGTACGGAAATCAGTGAAAAAAATATATTATATATAAAATTTCTTAAAATTCTTGTTTTTTTTTGGAAACTGGAACAAGTAGCTGCGAACCAAATAGCCCTTATCAATCGGTGTTTGTTTCTTTAGACATGTAGGTCTAAACATTGATTGAGGCCTAATGAGTAGGAGCAATTAGCAATGCTATGGAGACAAAGTTTGGTTTGCACAGATATATGGTTGAACTAATAGCTATAAGTTGGATGATGGCGCCATGTTAACAAACCCCGGCTAGAATGAAACGACATGACAGTGTGGGTAATTCCCTCATGCATGTTAATAGCATGCACTCCCTCCGTCCCAAAATAAATATAGTTTTACACTGTTCACGTTCAATGTTTGACCGTTCGTCTTATTTGAAAATTTTTTATGATTATTATTTTTATTGCTATTAGATGATAAAACATAAATAGTACTTTATGCGTAACTAAATATTTTTTAAATTTTTCACAAATATTTTAAATAAGACGGACAGTCAAACGTTGGACACGGATATCGCTGTATTTATTTTGGGACGGAGTTAGTACATACCGTGAGCTTAGCGCCGGTGTATTAAAGTGACCCACGACCTAAATGAACTACAGTACGTCTGACCAACAGTAATTACTAGCGACGGTAAACAAGACGACCAAATCAAAAACTCGCCCGGACACGGACAGTCAGCTGGAAGGTCATCATGATTCATCATTCGTTTTAAACTCCGCGGTACATGGAGTACTCCTACCTCTCGCTGTAATAACGATTTCACTCCAGACGCACGGAGCCACGGATTCGAATCCCGCGTCGTCAGTGTTTGGGTGTTTAATTCGAGCAAATCCTGGAGAAATCTTCGGGTTAGTGCGGCGGGAGTCCGTTCCACGTAGTAGTGGACAGCACAGCGACCTGTGCTGTGCGTGCGTGAGAGAGAGCGGCGGCAGCAGCTAACACCGAAAGAGGCAAAGCGAAACGTGTTATTGCTGCGCCACAACTCGACGCGGGAATACGAAGTAAACTCGGCAACGACACAGAAGAGAGAGAGAGAGAGAGAGAGAGAGAGAAATCGCGGACGAAAAGTAATGGACCGCGATGAAGAGAAGAGGACGACGAGAGAGAGGGGGAGGAGGCAGTGGGGAAGGTGGGAAGCGGCTGCCCAAAGCTATCCCCCTCCTCCCCCCCGCGTCGCCTCCCACCACGCGACGCCCTCCTCCTTCTTCTACCCCCTCCACCCCCTCTTCTCCCCGTAGCCAAATCCGCCGCGTCTCAGCTCAACCCAGCAGCGCAGCAGCTCAAGCCTTCTCGCGTTGCAGCGCCGCGCCGAGGAGGTGTTTGTTGATTTGTGGAGATGGTGGGGGGAGAGGTCATGTGCGAGGCGGCGGCGCCGAGGTACAGGGGGGTGAGGAAGCGGCCGTGGGGGAGGTTCGCGGCGGAGATCCGGGACCCGGCGAAGCGGGCGCGCGTGTGGCTCGGCACCTACGACTCCGCCGAGGCCGCGGCGCGGGCCTACGACGTCGCCGCGCGGAACCTCCGCGGCCCGCTCGCCAGAACCAACTTCCCGCTCGTCTCCTCCCTCCCGCTCCCGTCGCCCCACTACCACCTCCCCGGGAAGGCGGCGGCGGCGGCGCCGCCGGTGGCCGGCCCCGCGTGCAGCGCGAGCTCCACCGTCGAGTCCTCGAGCGGGCCTCGCGGGCCCAGACCGGCGGCCACGGCGGCGGCGGTGCCCCGGAGGCGGGTCCCGCGGCCCGCGCCACCGGCGCCCGACGCCGGCTGCCACAGCGACTGCGCCTCGTCGGCCTCCGTCGTGGACGACGCCGACGACGCCTCCACCGTTCGGTCCCGCGTGGCGGCGTTCGACCTCAACCTCCCGCCGCCGCTGGACCGGGACCACGTCGACCTGTGCACGGACCTGCGGCTCTGATAGGAATCCACACCGAATCGAAGCAACCGGAGAAGACGATTCTACTGCTCGTCATCTTTTCCCAATTAGATGCTTGTATTCGACTCGACAATAGTCTGTACCACTATTCTTTACGCGATAATTGACAAGGAATGGCCCTCTTGAGTTTCAAAATCAAACACCTAATTTTTCCTCGCTTTCTTGGATTACGATCTACTTTATTCCTACACATTTCTATACGAAATTCATGAGTACACGCCTACGATTTCTACACGCGCTAGCTATTTAGCATTGCTTCCACGCATATGTTCGTCGGCATCAATCTCGATCAACTTTTTTTCCCCTTTCTTTGTAAATCATTGCACAAATTTTCAAACTTACCAAATTTTGGTAAATGTGCTAAAAAAATAGCTACATTTAATTTGTTGTCAAATTTTGGTAACTATATAATAAATCCTGCCAAAATTTTGACAACTATATCAACAAAATTTTTGGCATCAAAGTGAACATGCATTGAGCACTTGCATGCATTATCACTTATCATCTCATATGCATTTTATTTATTTTTTGATCCTTTTTTCCTCTAGCCACGCATATCTCCTTTGTGATCCACCTCCCATAACTTTCTGTCCCTTACAAAATCTTATTTCACGTGCCGATCAGTTTGCTTGGTAGGGAGTAGGGACTAGGTGTGGCATCGCCGCATTGGCAACAATCAACAAGGGGAATGAACTCTATCGTGGCAAGCAAATGATCATGAAAGTGATTTTTAAATAATTTTATGGGTTAAATCATCAGTTATCCAGCAAATGGTACTCTGTGCCCAACTCGCCAAGTAGGCCTTAAACGAATGGAGTACACTTAAAACCTTTTTTCTACGGCAAAAATTGACGTATCGCACTTCGAAATAGTTCATTGATGAAAAAGACACCTTTAAATAAAGCAAATTAATTTTTATCTTTGAAGAAAAATGCTATTTGGCTGCGAACTGAGCTCTGCCATTGGGTTTCTTACAATAGAACATGCAAACTTGACTTTAAATCCTAACTTATGGTTATCAACGTACCATCGACGGCGAGATGCTTATGTCCAATCTTATCAATCTCGAGATATACTATCGTATTTTTTCGAATGTGCTCGTATGAATAACGTGTGCGTCCGCGTATATACGAGTATTTGCGTTTGCACCATGTTTTGAAAGAAAATGATATTAGCTTTTTCATGACTTACAAACACAAAGTGAACGTGAATTTATAAACAAACTAAAGGTAATGAATCGTATGTAACAAGTGAACCAAAAAAAAACGGAGCACAATATAGCCACACAAGATCCTTAATCCTAACTCATCAAGTCATCATCGATCACTGGAGCTATGTCCGAGTTGGAGAAAAAGGAGCTAGGTGATTGGAGCACGAATCACAAAGAAAATTCTAAGGTTAAAAATTTGCAAGATTTTGGTCCTATTTTTAAAATGATATTTAGCAAATTCAAAAAGGAAAAAATCTAGAGATTTTCTAACTTATGTCATGATGTTCTTGATAGAACAAATATCCCAATCTTTAAGGGCGAATACGGTCTGATCCATCTTTTGTTTGTTCATCTCGCAATGTATCAAAACAGCAAAATATCAAAATTATTGTTTTTATTTATTGGGTTTGCAAGCGACTGTCCAGAGAAAAGTAATGTATAGGAGAACTGGATAAGCCACAAGTAGCGGGTTGGTGTACGACAACCAGCAAATTGATCAATTGAACGGAACAATTTGACGAGCAAATCAATTCTAGTAGAGTAGTAGTACATAGTTTGAATACGAGCAATCCGGTGAAAACTGTGCTTGGTTTGCTGAGAATTCAAGATTACAAGCCTTGCCACAGATTATGGGCTGATGGGCACATCTCATCATCATGTATATACTCCATGAGAAATTTTATGATACTTAAAGAAAATATATAAAATATATTTATATTACAAATAGTACCTCGGGATACCCAGAGATATATAGTACTTGAAGATATCAAACTTACAATTAAAAATATGATAACTCTCAATATCTTTTTAAAAATAGTAAAATTATAAACTCCTAGCTTTGATAGCGAGGATGAAAACAGTAGAGATAATCCTGACATTACGTTTATATAGAAGTGGTATCGTCTATCGTCTTTGGCAATTTCTGATCCCAAGTAATATAGAAAACGATATCATTTCTACAAATTATCAGTTGATGAGAGTATATATGATCCAAGTATAACTTATATTCTACCTCCAAAAATTTATAAACTCCTTGTACCACAAACAATACCAAATAACCCAATTATTAATGGTTATACATATACCGATATACGGGCAGTGCAGTAAGAATGTCTAAGAATTAATTAGAAATACGCGATTTCCCTCCCGTATGCCATCGGAATACAATATTCCTTCTGTTTCAAAATATTTGACACCGTTGACTTTTTTAAGTACATATTTGACCATTTATTTTATTAAAAAACTTGTAAAATATATAAAATTATATGTGTACATGAAAGTATATTTAACAATGAATCAAATGATATGAAAAGAATAATTTACTTAATTTTTTTAAATAAGACGAATGATTAAACACGTACTTAAAAAAACAAAGTGTCAAATATTTTGATTTCCTCGCCCGGTGCAGTATTAAAAAAATCGTACTCCCTTATTCAAACATTTTTAAATAAGGGAGTACGATTCTAGTGGAGTATTATTCGGCGCCCGGTGCATCTGCGCGATGGATTACGAGTGGTAACTCCGATTTCCTCGCCGGCGCAGCGCCGCAGGTTGGGTTTCTTCCTGCGCAAGTTGGTGTCGCCGCGAGCTGAAGCCGAGCCGTCCGCTCGTTCTCTCGCTTCGCTCGCTCGCTCGCGTCCCTCCCAAATTCCCCCAAAATAATTGGAACCCCACTCCGCCACCGGTGCGGCCGCGGCGGCGCCGAGATCGGAGAGAGAGAGAGATGGTGGTGCGGCGGCTGGGCGGCGCCGGCCGCGCGCTGCTGTCCCGCCAGGCGCTCTCGCTGCCCAACCTCCGCCGCCGCGCGTCCAACTCCTGGGCCGCCGTGCGCGACACCTTCTTCTCCACCAAGGTAGGCGACCCCCTAGCCCTAGGTCAATCAATCCCCAATCCCGTATTGGCTGATGCGTGATGCTCCCGCCCCGCAGGAAGTGTTCGAGAGCCACCGCGTCGTGTTCACCGTCGGCACATCCATCGCCTCCGTCCTCACCGCATGGGCCGGTACGCTACTGCTTTACCTGCCTCCCTCGGCTGCGTATTGCTATTCTCGATCTTAGCGTTTCGGTCATTTGGTAGTGGGTGATGCGTGGAAGCAAGTGCGCCAAGTTGTATGCCGATTGATTTGGACAGACTTTTCTATATCTTTAGCTGATGTAGCGAGTGCTGCGATCGATTGTGCAACTGCTGAGCTGATAAACTATATTATATAGTTGGTTCAGCAATAATACTTTAGGGAATACCTGAATTAGAAACCGGAGCTGAACTGTACCAATATTTCTCACATTATGGCTGCAGTTGGACTCTGTTCTCTTTCCCACTTTCTGATTGTTGATTAGGTTTATGGAAATTAGGAAGGTAGTTGCTCATTTTTCTTTTGTTTAGTTCCTTGATGGACCTCACTTCATTTGGCATGAACTGCTTTCTGCCCTGCTATATGTTATGTTAAAAGACCCCAGCATTCTCCCACGCCATTCCAACTGATAGTTTCTCTTTCATGATTGAATCTGACAACCATTTTATGCTTCAGTTCTCATTTGCTCCCTAATCCCTGTGGAATTTCGGTTATACTTTTACTTAAGTTTGCTGGATTTACAATTTTCTAATATAAACTGTGAATTTTCTTTTATAGGTTATTCTTTGCGGCACATGCAACAATCAAGGATTGATAAGAGACTTAACTCAATTGAACAATCTGTAAGTCATTTATTGGATAGTCTGTTAGCATGCTTACTTATTTGTGAATGTATCACTGGGTTTCTTTCTCTGTGTTCGGTATTGCAAATTCCAATCTGACATGCTTGCTGCCATGTTAATGACAATACTGAAATACCTTTTTTTAGTTGCAATTGCATTATGTTTTTCTTTTATTAGTTTCTCAAATGAGTCATGGTGAGTGTGACATTGGATCTATACACTATGATGATGCTTAAATATGTTTCCATGAAATGATGATGGTCAGATTTTTGTTACCACCTAATAGTCAACTTGCCCTGGTCCATGGCAATGGTTGGAGTTGGACCATCTGCTTTCCTTCTTTCATCCTTGATTTCCTTTTGTCCTTCAGTGCTTTCTTGTAATTTTTTTCCGGATATTTACCATGGATAATGTTTGAGATGTTTTTCCTCAGTCTTTTTCTTTCTTTCTTTGTTGTCACAGCTGAAGGATACTCACAAAGTCGAACATGAAGAGATTAAAAAGATTGTCACTTCCAGTAATATCAGCACTCCAGCCTGTGTAGCCACTGCATTGACAACTTCAGTTGTCGGGTATGTTCTTTCTGTTGATATGTAAATTCAATTTTCACAAACATTGATCAACTCTAGAAATCGCTACTACCAAATGGTTTTAATTTTATGCAATTGTTGTAACACTAGGCCTGCTACTTGCTTTCTACATAAGGTTCTAACGCATCCTCTGCTGAAGCAAACTCTAAACATTGGTCTGTTACATTAAATTTCTGACGTAGGATATGAAAATGTTGGATTGGGAGGCTGTATACTGTTGGTTAGTTATTTTGCTAGTTTGAGTTTGATTTTTTTTTCCAGACTCAGTAGAACTAGCATTAAGTGGTACAATTTTTTTTAAAAAATTTCGTTGGTATATCCTGCTGACTTGTTCCAACTATAAAACCGCTGAGGTAGGCACTACACTGACCATATTTTAACTGTTATCTTTTCATGTATTTAGTCTGAACTGGAAAATGCACTGTCTGGTGTTAAACCTCATATGCCATGCATCAATTCCCTACTTTAGTATGGATTTTCCTTCTTTTCTTGCTTGCATAAAAGGCCTCAGAGTGTGCTACTAACCAAACAGTGGAAAAAAGACGGCAAACTTGTCTGATAAAGTTTGGGAATGATTTCAAGACACTGATGACAATAGTGCTAGTAACAAATTGTATTTATGCTGACTATTTGTTTACATAATAAACTTAGATGCGCTCTTCTTTTGCAACTTGCTAGGTATGCGCTAGGGTGGCGGGGTGGAGCCTGGTACGCTCGGAGAGGCTTCCGAAGAGAGCAACAGAAGCTGATGGGCCAAATCAATTCACACCACAGATGGCACTGGCGGCCTTTCAGTAAACTCAAAAACAGACTCAGAAGGAACCGACCAGCGGCCAAGACTGTCGAGGCCCCTCGGTTGACAGGCGAAAGCACCATCTGAAAATGTTAACAGTAACTCTCAGGCAGCAGGATGTGCATGATTCCTCTGAAATACAGATGAACATCGATGCCCATGTGCCTGAGAATAGAAACCAAAGAAGCCTGTTCATATGACTGGCAGACGTTCCAAATTTTGCAGGATTGGAACATCCTTTTCAATAAGATTAGGATCGGAACTAGGGAGATTATCTTCCTAATTCTCATAGGAAAATGCCTTGCGCTGATGTTACCGTTTACTACTAGCCAGGCTGATATTTGTCATTTTTGTCATGCTGTTTTCCCTTTCAAAATGTGCCTGCCTCGTCGAGGCATTGCACCTGTAATTCGTCGATGGACACATGAGAATGCACAAGCATTTGTTGGTGACCGGAACCGATGAGCTGGGAATAATCAGGGATCCCATATTATCTCGTGGGGCAGTTCATTCTAATGGGCTTTGCCATCTGTTAATGTCAACCTACAGATAAAAAAAAGGTTGAGAAGAATCATTTGACGCATTGAAAAATCTGTTGGCCTAAACCTTGGGCTTGTATCTTCGCCGCAAGATTGGCGACCACTCGCGCGGTCGTGCAGTCGTGCTCGGCCACACTGCTCGTGCTGCCTGCCCCGTGTTCCGCGGCGGTCTTTGCGTCCTCACGCGTGGTCGCACGGCAAGCGGCATCCACTGGCCCACTGCACCGGCCTCGCCCGAGCGCCCACGGCAAAGCAGCATCAGCAGCAATCACATGCCCAACAGCCCAAGACAGCAAAACCCAGCAAGCAACTTCCACATAACGAACAATGGTTCAGAGCACACAACCTCGGCGATAATTCCACAATAGAAGAGTTCAATGTTCATAGGATTTCCCAAAAAGAAAGAAAAAAATTTGCATAAAAAGCAGGCTTGCCTCAAGATTTGCACGGTGTGCCACGACCAAGATTTACTAAACCGTTTAGAATGGGTTATCGCTATCTACAGTTTGACGGTTACCATGATAATCATGTAGGTACTACGAGATATACCGTGGTTTTAAAAAGGAAAAAACACGAATTGCCCCCCCGAACTATCGCGGTCGTCTGAATTACCCCCCTCAACTCGAAAAACAGACATTTTGCATCCTCAACTACTAAAACCGGACAAATAACCCCCCTTCTCAATCTCTGGAGTGGTTTTGATCTACGTGACATACACGTGGCAGGCAAGTCAGCAGTCCTTTAAAAAAATTTGGTGGGGCCCACCCGTCAGATATCTCACCTCTTCTCTCTCTCCTCCCGGGTTCATCCCCTCCCCTCGCTAAAGCAAGCAGCGGCGGGGCGAGTGGCGGCGGCGGCTAGCTGGGCAAGCGCCGCCGTCGCCCTCGCGCACCACCGGGAGCAGCAGTACGGTGCCGAGGCCCTCGCGCCCTCACTCTCCCTCTTCAGCTGGACGACGGAGGGGTGCCGAGGCAAGGCTGCGGTAGCGAGGTGAGGCGGCGGCGGCGGAGGGGAGCTGAGCACTCCGACGGCTGGGGCGGAGCTAGCTAGGTGGAGGAATCCGACTCCGGCGACTCGTTGATGCGATTGGTGAGGTCGTCGTAGTGGTCGGCCGGGCCGCCGCCGCCTCGCCTCCTCCGAGACACGACGGCAGCAGCACGCGGGACACGCGGGCGCAAGGTGACGACGACGGATGACGGCGCGCGGGCGGGGCTCGAGGCGACGGGGGACGGACAACGGCGCGCGACGCGAGCGGAGCTCGAGGGGAGATGGCGACGGCGACGGCGAGCGTGGGCACGCGGGCGCGGGGTGACGGCGATGGATGACGGCGCGCGGGCGGGGCTCGAGGCGACGATGGCGGCGGACGACGGCGCGTGGCGCGGGCGGGGTTTGAGGGGAGATGGCGATGGCAATGGCGATGGCGCGAGCAATGGCGATGGCGACGGCGATGGAGACGACGAGCTGCCGAGCGTGCGTGCGCGTGAGAGAGAGAGAGAGAGGGGGGGAAGAGTGAAACAAAGAGTGAGAGAGAGGAATAGTGGAAGAGTATATGACAGGTGGGTCCCACATTTTTTTATAAATAGAATGATGACTGGACTGCCACACGTACACCACGTAGACCAAAACCACCGCGGATTGGGTCCGGGGGGGTAATTCGTCCGGTTTGCATAGTTGGGGGTGAAGAATGTCCGGTTTTGTGGTTCAGGGGGTAATTTGGACGACCACGATAGTTGCGGGGGATAATTCGTACTTTTTCATTTTAAAAACAAGTAAAAAGATTACTGTACGATTTTCTAAACCCTAATTACACCACGACGCGATTGTCCCACCCAACTAACGAGCGATGAATCAGCGAGCGACGACGAGATCCTGCGCCTTTGCCGGCACCGGCCCACCGATTCGGTGATTCCTCCGCGCTTCACTCCACCACCACCGCTGTACCACCGTGCGTTCCACTCTTCTCTGGTACTACTATCAAACGGCCGTTCCGCTCCAAAACCCCGCGAGTCCGCGACAAACACCGTAGCTACACCGTGCAGCCGGCCGCGCGCGAATATACTCCAATCCCAAGTCTCCAAGTACAGGTACAGTACACCACTCCAACTTCGGTTCTTCCCTCTTCCCATTTCCGCGCGGCGCAACACCTTCTGGACGTCGGCATGGCGGCGGTCGCCTCCGCCTCCCCGCTCCCCGCCGCGGCGGCGCCCTCCACCCGCTGCTCGCCGCCGCCCGCCTTCCTCCCTCTCCGTGCGCACCGCCCCCGCGTCGGCACCGTCGCCACCAGGTAGGCCGTCTCGCCCCTCCCCCTCCTTGATCCCGTCTCCTCCACGCGCGCTGACACGTGCGTCTCTGCTGCTGCTTGTGGCAGGAGGGTTTTCCGCGCGGAGGCGATGAGGACGCAGCGGGAGAAGGAGCAGACCGAGGTGGCCGTCGAGGAGTCCTTCCCCTTCAGGGAGACGGCTCCTCCTGACGAGCCACTGGTCACCGCCGAGGAGAGCTGGGTGGTTAAGCTCGAGCAGTCCGTGAACATTTTCCTCACGGTAATTTCCACCAGTCAAATCGGATCAACATCAAATTCCATGCAGATTGGGTAATTTTACAATCTGTTCGATCCGCAGGAGTCAGTCATCACGATACTTGATGGATTGTACCGTGACCGCAACTACGCTAGATTTTTCGTATTGGAGACGATTGCTAGGGTGCCGTATTTTGGTGAGGATCTCGTCTTACATGCTCGCTATAACCTGCAGGTCTCTGAATTTCGCAATATGCAAGTATGGTTCCTACACAGTACTGTACTGTTTCAGTTACTGTTTCACTGACTGCCTGACTATTGAACAGCGTTTATCTCGGTGCTTCACATGTATGAAACCTTTGGCTGGTGGAGGAGAGCCGATTATATAAAGGTGCACTTTGCTGAGAGCTGGAATGAGTTCCATCACCTCTTAATCATGGAAGTATGTCTCTAGCTCTTTCTGTCTGCACATCAGTGCATTCATATATGCTGTTTCTTCCTGTTTAGATGTCCTTTTAGATTATGTTAACTGTTAGCATATCCCGTTTTCTTTACCTTAATATAATCTTTAAAGGAATTCAACCTACTGCTTATTGACACATTAGCTGATTTTTTAATATCTTGGTTATGGTCTTTGATGTTCTGACTTTATTCCTCATCTTGGTTCATATCAGGAATTGGGTGGCAACTCTTTATGGGTTGATCGTTTTCTTGCACGGTTTGCTGCATTTTTTTACTACTTCATGACTGTTGCGATGTACATGGTGAGCCCAAGAATGGCATGTAAGTGTGCACCTATGCCAATTATGAAGTAAAACAATTTATCATTTTTATTCCATGCCTTTTCTATAATGAATTAATGATAGTGCTTGGAATCATTTATCTTATATACAGACCATTTTTCTGAATGTGTTGAGAGGCATGCGTACTCAACCTATGACAAGTTTATTAAGCTCCATGAAGGTAATAAAACGTAGATGGATTTAACATCTCTCCTGTCGTGCAAAATTTTATCATGACAACTAGTAAAATTCTACTTCTGAGTGATATTTGTTAGAGTAAATTTTATGACTCTTTGATTTTGGTGGATTTGTAATACCTTGGCTCTTATTGGCTTTTTGGCTTGCACCATCAAGTTGGCAATGTTGAGGTGACACCGAATTCGTTGAACTTAATTATCAATCTGCCATTTCTGTAATAAATCTGAAAGACTAAAGTCATTATGAACCATTTTATTAGTTCGTTTTTTACTCGGTCTTTCTTGAACAATTTTGGTATCACACTGGGCGTTGCAAAGTTTTTTGGTCCCAACTGGTTTCCAGTTCCATGATTTCAGATGTTTCTTTCTTTCTAACAGATGAGTTGAAAAAGCTACCAGCTCCCGAGGCGGCTTTAAACTATTACCTGAATGAGGATCTTTACTTATTCGGTTAGCTCTTGCTTTGGCTTTATTTACACTTGAAGCGTTTATGCTCAGTATTAAGCATTACCATCTGTTCCCTTTGCTTACATGGTTGTTTTCCCAGATGAATTTCAAACAGCAAGAGTCCCATGTTCTAGGAGACCTAAAATTGGTACGGATGTCCTTCTCTCTTTCCTCCTTTATTAGTTTCCTTGAGTTAATCTTTTCAGAAACTTTGGATTCTTGCATGTTATCTGTAGCATGTGAGTTCAGTTTCACTGATCCATCTGATCAAGTCATTAAAGTCATCAGAAAGTTCCTAACAAACAGTTCTAATTTAAGATCCATCGAACCAACATTTTGATTCACTTTCAGCTGATCATTAGCTGAGTTTCTGGATCCTGATTTTTTTTCAACAGTATATATGCTGTGTTGCCTATGAAGTTGGGTTCACTGTTTTTCATATCCCGTTGCAGATAACTTGTATGATGTATTTGTCAATATACGAGATGATGAGGCAGAACATTGCAAGACGATGAAGGCCTGTCAAACACATGGAAACCTTCGTTCTCCTCACTCTATGCAGAAATGCTTAGAAACTGACACCGAGTGTGTAATACCTGAAGATGACTGTGAAGGTATCGTGGATTGTGTCAAAAAATCTCTTGTGAGTAAAGAGTGACTGATCCTAATTGGAATGGAGTGCGTCATAGTCTCATAGAATAGAGTTTTGATAACAGTCGGTTTCCTTTTTTCTTTCAAAAGATAGGGACCACTATAATCTTAACATTCTTGATAATCCTTCAGAATAGGCTAGCTGTATCACAATAAAAATAATATATTCATGAGATAGATGTTACTGCAAGTTGTGAAGCCCTACAAAATTTGCAATCTTGATGTGCTGTGGTTCTATGGAAAGTTCGGTTGCTTGCTGCTTCTTAAGTTCACAAAGCTGCTCTGTAAGGGAAATGGAGATGGCTCATGATCAGGCAGCATACGGTGAATATGGTCAGCTCAAGGTGGAACTGACTCAAACCGTAGAATTTCGTGAAGATGAGAAGGAAGCTCACTGCAGTATCGAAGAAGTCAATGCGAAATGAAAAATCAATCATACTGCTGCTTTGTTTTTTCTGAAGATTTATTTGTCATTTATTCAGTGTACAGATGATACTATTACATCTCAGGCAAATTACTGTATCGTCGTTCTCATAATCTTATCTATAGCACTATGCATTATAATGATCTGTATGGTGAGATTAGCTTTGTATGTGTGATTGTGTGTCTACCTAAGCGTATGTGGGAATGGTAGCCACAGCAGACCGATGCTCCGTTGCTCACATCTTGCACACTTTATCATCTTTGCATTCGGCCTGCGGAAAAACAGCAGTCATTCACACGCAGACGGTGAATTTCCAGAGATGAGCCCGTGACTAAAAATTAAAAATTGCTTACTGCTAGTTTTCTGGATTCCATAATTTCCTCTAGTGGAGGTCGACCTGTCATACATCGCAGAAAAGAAATCACCGAAGTATTCAGAAAAAATATATGCATATTTCGTTTACATAAGTGCTTCATTTTCATCCGATGACAACCAAAATAAATGAAACGAGAACATTGTCAGAGCACCCGATGATAAATGTTTAGTCACTAAACCTGTAATTTGCATCCGGTATTTGGCCCACACACCATATATTGCATTTGCTACTTTAGCTACCTGCGGAATATCAGAATGAGACGAGTAAAAGTAAAAGGCATTAAAAGTTCAAACAAGAGGCTGGTTTTATAACAACAGATTGCACTCAACAACTCTTTAAGTTGATTTACTGATTATATAAGAACCATGCAGCTAAAAGTTAACATTGTGACATCCTGCTATTTGCTTTGTGTTAATACGCACTTACAGGCTCATACTTAGTAACTGCATAAATCCAACCAAGTCCCACTTCCTCATACAGCTTTCTAAATGCCTGCAATAACAACCACAGTTACTGTTATCAAATGGCATAAAACATAATACTACTATATACTAACATAAAACTTATGCATAGATTCATAAGAGCATCTGTTTTCCTTTTTAAACAGTGGCTTCCATTTCAGTTCATTCAGAGTAGCAGCATTACATGATGGACTAAAGATAATTCACATCCTATCATTCACCAAGCAGAGATAGATGACAAAAACACAGCCTGCCGAAATTACAAGGTAAGAGCATCTTGTTTATCTTGAAATTAAACGCTCATACGAGTTAGCCTGGCAGTGCAGTATGAGATTATTTGGTAGCTTTTGTCAAAGTCAACTAACATTGAAGTCCAGTTCTTTATCATCTCATTTCATCTCACAAAGTTAGCACAATTACTGCTAGGAATGTGATGACATACATGCCAATAAGCTCTATTGCAATACAGCTATACTTCTTGCATGTCATCAATAAATATAATGCTGAGTAACACTGCTATTTTTGCTTACTTAGTGTCAGTACAGACTCAATTTAGTCATCCATTACTTTCATGCTGAATTAGTGACCACATGGGAATTTCTTTCTTTCATTAGTTGCAAAATATGTTCAAACTATTTATATGTTACAACATAACCCTATGTGTTATTTCGTGACCCGATGTGTTTCAACATAACCCAATAGTTCACCTGGCAGTATCTTCTGATTTTCTTTAAAGAGAAATTCCTGAATTTTTTAGGAGACACTGAGACAGTGCCTCTGTCATACCTCAACATCTGTGACTATTGTTCCATCTGAAAGTATAGCATGTATCCTCCCCATGGCCTGAAAACAAAAAAAAAAAACTTCAGGGAAAAGAGAGGACAAACAAATACATACTATGCTTAAGGACCTTCTATATCTACAAAGTTAGCCACATAACAAAAGCATTATCCTTCAGCTTTCTGTAAAAGCTGGGCCTATGGCCTTCCATCTTTTATAACATAACGTTATGATGAAGTATGATTTCAGGAAACAACTAACTAATTCAGCGTAAAAATAGAAGTAGCTGGATTAACAGAAGTCAAAGAAATCCTCTGCCTCGTGCACCGATTCTAGATTATCTTTGTTGCAGTAGTATTTTCACATTAAAAAGACACGAGGACATGAAAGTACAATGTATGTCATAACCAAACAAGTCAATCTGTAGTTACAAGAAATACGTACAGTTTCATAATCAAGGTTCTGATTGTCTTGTGGAGAGTAATCTTTCGAGCTTATGTCAACAAATTTTATAGCTCCATAGGATTTGTTTCTTTCCCTCAGCATGTTTACCTGTAAATACATGAGCGGTAGGGCAAATTTAGTTTCTGCTGCAAAACCAATATTGGTCAGCATTGATGTGATGTTTTATCTGTAACTTAAAACAACATTGCACTTTATAAATATGAGTAAAATATGCAACTATTTTGAAGGTACTGCTTCATAGTATTTGTATTTCAGCTAATAGTGTCCGTCACTGTCTCACAGATAAGCTTCATGCATGGTCTCAGACGTCCCAACCAAAGTTTTTTATACCGATTTAACGTAAAATATACGGCTAGCAGCAATTCCCAAGGAAAGAATAAAGTATGATGGGGGGAAGAATAAGATGATGTCAGAAAAGTTCTAATTAGACTACATATTTAAAACAAGCCATATTTTGTTTATTTGAGAACATAAAAGTCACTGGGTAGTTCAACAAGAAATTTATCCACACTATGAAATTTGTACAGAATAAAGAGTCTAGACAATGATTTGTTCTCTCTATTTGAGTTAGGCAACTAGTTGCTCCATTCATGTACCATTCACATTTGCAGTTTTCACAAATCAGTTGTCCCTTGCCACACCAGTCAAGCAAGTGTAGAAAAACAAAATGCTGTATTTATTTTACGATCTTCTAAAGCATGCATTAGCTCAATACAACAAGTCCCAGCAATAATAAATTGTGCAACGAACCTCACGCATACAGAGTGGGCAATCGCCATCATAGAGCATCTTGATCCTCCAACTTCCAGATGAATTTTCCCCATCCTTTAACCCTGAACTAGGGCCTACTTTGACGTCAGAGTGAACTTGACATCTGAAACCTGAAGCAGACATCACAATTACTAGTTACATAAACTACAAAAAATTACAAAACCAAACAACAACAAAACATTAATGCCGTTGCGGCATCTGAAGGACACACAAGCATAATACCCCACTATCCAAGTATGCTTCCCGAATTACACACGCCTAAAACTTCATCAAATTTTACACGAAATGCAGCGGAGAACTCGGGGGCCTCAACCAAACCAACAGATGCAACTTTGCAGTTTCGTTGTTCTAATCTAGAGTATCCGGTTCGATTACCAGCAGGCAACAGAGCTGCGAGCGTGCATTGTGCAAATGGGCAAACGCATCAGAGAACACCAAGTTCCCCTCTAACAAAGCGAATCAAATGCCCTGAAACCATCAAGGCTAGCTCACCGTACACCGGAGCGCGGCGGAGCGCCGCCGCGGAGTCCCACCGCCCCGGTGGCGGCGGGAACCGCGCCGCGGCGCGCGGCCGCACCCGGGGCAGCGCCGCACCCATGCGTGCCAGCGAGCTCGCCATCGGTCGGATCGATCTCTCGCGACGTCTCCACGCGGCGTGCGTGCGTCGAGCGATCGAGGTGGGTTACTGGGTTACTTCGGGGCGCGCCGATTGAAATGCGGTTGCCTTTGCTTGCTGGTGGTCGGTCGGCGTTGCGCCACCGTGACCGTTTGTTCCTTGCTTCTCTCTCTTCTCTCCGCAACCGCCAGTTTCTCTTGAGTTTCTCCCATTTGCGACTCATGTTTTTGTGGAAGCTTCCTTGGGCTCCGTGGCCTGATCTTAACCGTTGGATTAGCCCGCACAACAAATCATACCCCCCATGTTGTGATGTTGGTATGTCTTGTTTCTAGTTTTGTATTACATGAACATAATAGTTAAGTTTTGGTGTGATATTTGATCATTCGTCTTATGAAAATAAATTACATAAATGTCATCTATTTTATTGTGATCTTAACTTCTATTTTTAGATATTATACTAAATTTTTAATAAAACAAATGATCAAATATTATAAAAAAATCATAAAAAACAAAGGTAATATTTTTTTTTCTAGATTATACAGAAGATGTATATGAATATATATAATTTTTTTCTGGTTACATGAAAGACGTATACGTGCACATACATGAATACCTATAGATAGTTACACACTCACAAATACACTTGCTAAAACATACTAAAGCGACGTCGACAAGTGACAAATCTCTAGCATAATTAATGTTCTATTGAAAAAAACACCCGCATGCATATCTTAATTTTGTAATATGTGACCTTTGGTTGAATGTCATGTAGCATCACATGTATATCGAAATCAAGCATCACAAGGCTATAAAGTTGAGAGCAAATGTACTCATTCAGTCATAAATATTTGAGTTAGACAGATTCTTGTCGAGATGTGTTTTCTCAATTCTTTTAAAAAGAAAGATGCACTTCTTGGTCCTTGCAAGTTTATATATATAAATATATATATATATATATATATATATATATATATATATATATATATATATATATATATATATATAGGACACTCATATGGGGCACCATGGTGCCCGGGCACCATGGTATCTAATGCACAAAATCACTCAAATTTTTCAAAATTTTTAAATTGTGAGTATATACCTAGTTATAATAATTTGATTCATACTTATACTTATCAACAAAACAACTCAAATTTAACTTTATTTCACAATACATTATTACATACCTAACTAATTATATGTATGGATGCTATATACCTAGAATCAAAATCTAACAAAAACAAGTTCAAATTCAGTTCAAACTTGCTTTAAACTAGTTAGTAAAGTAGTTAATGTTAATACCTAGGTAATTGAAAAAGTTTCATACTCATTTGAATTGGGTATATACTCAATTTCAACAATGGTACCCGGGCACCATGGAGCACCAAACAAATTTACTATATAATATATATATATATACATATATATATATATATATATATATATATATATATATATATATATATATATAATGTGTTTGATTTACCTTATTAGGTAATGCACGAATCCCTTTTTAATGTTAGAACATTGTTGTTGCATTTTAACTAAACTTAATACTCTGACGCAGAAGCGCGGAGTATCACTCATAAAACTAGCCTTTTGTGGTTAGGTGTGTGCTTATACCACACCAACTACCAATTGCTTTCAAAACCATAATATGCTGGTTGCTTAGACATGCCTCTCAAAACACTATCCGACTGGTCCAGATGTTTTTCAAGACTTTCCTGAAAGGCTGAAATCATATAAGCGAAAATAAGGTGCACATAAAAAAGTTGCAGAATTTACTCCCCCTACTTCTCTTTCTCACAAATCAGCTGACGCAAAAAATGTCTTGGAAACAGCAATACCGCATGGTAGCAAACTACTCCCTCCGTTCTATTTAAACGCAACCATAAGTTTTCGTGTCTAATTTTAATTGTCTGTCTTATTTAAATTTTTTTATAATTAGTATTTTTAATGTTATAAGATAATAAAATATGAATAGTGCTTTATAGATAACTTATATTTTATTTTTTTAAAAAATATATTTAAATAAAACGGAAGATCAAACTTGTGTAATGGGAGGGACGAGGGAGTAGCAATGGAGACGGCCGCAAAGGGGCCCCACACAACGACAAGGGCCCACGTCATCCGGCGTGCAGCAGCCAATCGCTCTTATCCAGATCGCCGTCGCCGAGAGGGCCATGTGGCCCATGGGCCTAGCGATTTCAACGGCTGGAGATTTAACATCACCCGCATCGGACGGCAGCCGCTGCTCCCTTCTAGAGCTTTCCTCCGGTCGGGGAAAAAACGTGACTGACCACGCGATCTTTACACCGCCCTAGACAAACCTCCGAGTCGATCTGGGCCGTCCACTGCGAGATCGACGGCCGCCGGACGTTGCGGGGACAGATTGGCCATCCGACGCATCGGTAGGGTGTACAAGCGCGATTGCGCACGAGCCATCGTGTCCGTTCGGCTTAACATTTTTCATATAACCCCTCGCAAAAACTCCCGTTTCAGATCTGCATCCTGCATATCCAACGATTTCATGGTGGGAGGATTCACATGTAAATAGTATTAAGTGTAGGGGTTTTTTTTGTGAGGATAAACATCGCCGGAATACCTCGCGTCGTTTGGATGAGGGAGGAGAAAAACCAAGCGAACCCAGCGGAATTCGTTGGGCAGCGGGTGCGGGAGCAGTAGAGGAGGAGAGGTAGATGGATTGAGCAATCAAGCCCTGCTCCGGCCGCCGCCGCCGCCGCCGCCGCTGCCGCCGGGCGATCCCCTTACCCTCGCTCTGTGCACCCGCACCCCGCACTTACCCCCTCCATGGTGAGAGCGGAGAGGATTTCGTTGTTTCACTCCCGCCGCTTCTTTGCATCTGGCGCTACAATTCTTGTTTGGTTCGGATGCTTGAGATTATCCGATTTATGGCGAATTCGTTGATGGGTTGGTGTTTTGGGGAGTGTGTAGTGGAGGAATTTGAGTGAGAATTCTGCGTTTTCGTTTGGTTTGCAGGCGTGATCCGATGATAGCAACGAGAGCGGTGCTTCCCCTCTCCCTGACGGCGTCGGCCTCCGGCCTGTACGGCGCGCGCACCAAGAAGAGGAGGAAGCTGCTGCTGCTGCCGCGGCTGCCATGTCGCCCAATCTGGAGAGCCACATCAAGAGCCAGGTGCCGGCGCTGCTGCTGAGGCGCTTCTTCGGCGGGGCGGGGCGGCGGCGGGTGTTCGTGCAGACGGAGACTGGGTGCGTGCTGGGCATGGACCTCGACCGCAGCGACAACGCGCACACGGTGAAGCGCCGGCTGCAGCTCGCGCTCAACGTGCCCACCGGCGAGACCTCGCTCACCTTCGGCGACCGCGTCCTGGAGAATGACCTCTCCTTCATCCGCCCGGACTCGCCGCTGCTGCTCACCCGCAACAGCATCAACCGGAGCTGCTCCACGCCCTGCCTCTGCCCGGTGTCCAAGGACTTCGAGCACAAGGATCGCAGCGGCCTGGTCGAGATGCTCGGCTGCTCGATCAGCTGCGCCCGCGTGAAGCGCCTCGTCGACGACGTGGTCACCGCCATCAGGAGCGGCGTGGATCCGGTCCCCATTGGCAGTGGGCTTGGTGGCTCCTACTACTTCAGGAACATCTCCGGCGACAGGGTTGCCATCGTGAAGCCGACGGATGAGGAGCCTTTTGCACCCAACAACCCGAAGGGGTTCGTCGGGAGAGCGCTTGGGCAGCCGGGACTGAAGAAATCTGTCAGGGTGGGAGAGACAGGGTTCAGGGAGGTGGCGGCGTACCTGTTGGATCATGATAACTTCGCAAATGTTCCTCCGACGGCGTTGGTGAAGATCACACACTCAATTTTCCATATCAATTGTCCGGTGAACGGCGGCAGTCCAGCTCATGATCAGAAGCAGCAGGTTTCCAGCAAGATCGCTTCGTTTCAGCAGTTCATCGCGCATGACTTCGATGCCAGTGATCATGGCACGTCGAGCTTCCCGGTTGCTGCTGTTCATAGGATCGGCATACTGGATATCAGAATTTTCAACACTGACAGGCATGCTGGTAATGTGCTGGTGAGGAAGCTTGATGGTGGCACCGGTCGCTTTGGTTGTCAGACGGAATTGTTTCCAATTGATCATGGCCTGTGCTTGCCAGAGAATTTGGAGGACCCTTATTTCGAGTGGATCCACTGGGCTCAGTCATCAATCCCATTCTCTGAAGAGGAGCTCGAGTACATTAAGAATCTTGATCCAATGAGGGATGTGGCAATGCTGCGTAGGGAGCTTCCTATAATCCGCGAGGCCTGCCTTCGTGTCCTGGTGCTGTGCACAATCTTCCTTAAGGAGGCTGCTGCTTCTGGTCTTTGCTTGGCAGAGATAGGTGAGATGATGACCAGGGAGTTCAGAGGGTTGGAGGAGGAACCGAGCAAGCTGGAGGTTGTCTGCATGGAAGCTAGGAGAAAATTAGCTGAGTGGGAACCATACTCACCTGTCATCGAACAAGGGGAGGACATGGATTTCCAATTCTCACTGGACATGTTAGGAGAGTACAATGATGTGATTAGGTCACCAAGATTCAATGGCTTAGGAGCAAAGGGGAATGGTTTCAGAAACCCTCTTTCAAAGCTTGTGGAGAGCATCGATGAGGACAATGATGATGATGATGGCCGAAGTGAATCTTCCAAGCGTTCATCGGAGCGTGTCCATTCTGGAGGGTTGAAGTTCCCCAGTGCTGATAAATCCAGCGGTTCTAACGGCAGTGTGCATGCTCTGAACAGGAGTGCAGACGAACAGCTTCCATCAAGTGTATACTTCGTCAGGCTGTCGGACATGAATGCAGAAGAGTGGAATATATTCCTTGAGAAGTTCCAGGAGCTGCTGAAAGAAGCTCTGCAGGAGCGTGCGGCGGCTGCAGGGCAGCGGATGAAGCAGCGGCTGGGCACTTCCTGCAAGTTTTGAGTAGGACCATAGAGCAGCAGAGAAGAAAAATAATGTAATGCTTGCTACTTGTGTTGCTTATTATGGAGTGAGTACAGGAAGGGATATATGCTCATGTGAGAAATGCCTACAGCTTTGTGCAATGTTGCCATGTAAACTTGTTATGTTCAGGTAGACAAGATCAGGATGGTGATGGGTGTGGAGAAGGGCTATTATGCATGTTGATTAACTATGTTAAACAGGTGCTTCTTAATAAATGCTTGTCAGCTTGTGTATATTGTGTTAGATGCCAAATATGTCAATGGTGTTTTTCATAGCTGTTGGTGAACATTCTTTGTGCTGTGAGATGTAAATATGCTCTCTTTTGATGTAAATGCTTGCCTAGTGTTCTTTTATGCAAGTGCTTTACCTCCCTGTTCAACAAAGAAAATTCTGTGGTATGAGCTGTAAACCTGCACTTCCGTAGTGAATGCAAATGCTTTTTACCTGCTGTTGAACCTTGAACGTATTGGATGTTCTTTGTTTTGACTAGGTTCTTGGTAGAGAGAAAATTCAGGTAACATAGGTCATGGACTCATGGTTCAAGCTTCCTCTCTACTCTAAACCGAAGATGGTAAATTCCCGTATTTCGTTTTTATAAATCCTACAGGTCAGATCAAAACGCCTCCATATCTGATCAGAATAAAACTGTCATTCTGGATTGCACAATTTAATACTCCAATCCTTGCTTGGGAGAGTACAAAGCAGAGCATCTGGCATGTTCACAGTTCAGTCAAGCCATCCTTATCTGCTAGAGGGAAAATGCTGCCTTAAAGCTGCTTCTGCTGAGGACAGACATAGCCAGGTACATCAATAAACCATTTCAATGATAAAGACATTTGAGGATAAGGCATTTGATCGATAAATACATATATAAAAATACCAAGAAAGAGTTTTCCTGTTCTAAAAAGACAGAGCCTACAGCATTTAGCAGTGGATGGCAATTCTGTCAAAGTAGGTTCATAGCAGTTCATACAAAATGCCCTCCCAACTCCCAAGTCTCCCACAAATCAGAGCATTTTTCTGTATGTATTTATTGGAGACGTTAGCCTCGGTGATTTTTATGCATGCTCATTCATAACATGTTGAAGCTAGTAACAAACAAAAAATAATGCATCCCAAGACCAACTCGGATTCTGTAATATGCATAGTTCACTAAAAGATGATCGGTACATATACATATAATTGATAACATGCTATGAATGAAAACATCTTGGTTTGCAGCATTCAGAGTAAAATAAGAGTACAAAAGTAAATGCTCCATCAATGTATAGGAAGCTGATCTGTTAAAACAATACCATTATCAACCGTCAAGCATAGTTTACCTATTGATAACAATAGAACTTAGCTAATCCATTTTAGCCAATTAACAGCACGACTACACAGGAAAAAAAAAACTATTTATGCCATGTCAGCTCAAAATCTCCACCGCAAATAATGTTGCTACCAAATGTTAGCTGCTTTTCCTAGAACAGTGAAAAACTGAAAATGGAACCAAGTTTTAGGGTGGACTATTCTATATAACATTTGCAGGATTGTAATAATGAGAAAAGCTGACAGCAGTGATCTGAACAGTGGCACCAGAGTTGACCTTATTTGAGGGTCACCATCCTCTGATAAATTAGTTAAGAAAAATAACTTGCTTTTTAAGCGCAACCAAGTGAAAAGGCAGATCTGCATTTGCACAATTGTGCATAATTCCATATGCAATCAGTCAATTACTACAGTCATTTTCTCACTCCAGCACACAACAACTGATAACATTTGACAATGCATATGGTTTGTTGTGGTCTGCCTCACTGAAGAAACAATATAAGATTAACTCCCACAGCACAATATTTTAAACACTACCAATCTGTGACATCAGAAACAGTCGGTTACCACTGGGTAAATGGAAAATGTATGCGGTTCCATCTTCTAGGTGTCACACATGTTCAGTTTTAGGAAATTTTTACATCTACAACACTAAGCTTGTGGTATTGTTCAGTATAGTTGTAGAGTCCTGGGTGAAATGCACAATCGAGAATTCCCTCATAGCTTCAATGAAGTATTGTGGGTTACTTAAATCATCATTGACCAATCAACACAGAAGAAGTTGTCATGCATATCTCAATATCTCGTATAACTATATTGTCAAACTTAATCAAGTTGACAAGTTTCCTCGCCCAAAAGAAAAATGAAGTGAACATAAACTAGAAAAAACACATATTGAAAAACATTATCGTTAGGAGGTTTAAAGTTATGGAATTCCTTTTTATCCCCGAACAAGAATCATGTATTCAAAGATATAGGTAATTGGATAGTATAAGAATGCAGTGCTATGATCAAGTATGAAAAATATTACCACTGATCTACATGAGTTCTGTTTTCCAGTAAAAGCAATGACAAACTGAAATTGTGCTATATTTCAGATAGAATTCCATGAATCGAGTGAACACAATCATTCCTTCTTATAGAACAAGATGCTAATGATTTTCATTTAAGAGATGAAAATGGAATATTTTACAAGTCACGGATTTGCTAACAAAATGGAATGGGAACAAGCGGACCTCTATTTCTGATGATACTTCCTTCCATATATCCTCATACAGCATTGTCATACAACATAACTTCTCAAGTAACAAAGGATCGATGGATCTCCAATGGCATGATTTGTCATTGTTGGCCACTCAACTCTTTGTTGAAATATCTCAACTTACAGTCTCGAGGAAGAAAACACTATCGATCCCAGCACTTGATATGGCTGGTAGCCTTGCTCCAATAGAAAAATGTACTGAATCCAGATACTGAACTGAGAAGCATTTGAGCTTGAGCCTTCGCAGGACATCTCTACCATTGTCAATAGATCAACGTGTCAAATCTTGGCTCATAAAAACAGATCTGGCTATTGCAAAGCTGGCTTGCACAACCAGCAATCCATGACCAAGCCTTCTTATCCACATCGTATAGAAGACCTTTTCCCTGGTTCCACGATGTGAAACATATCAAGTTGTCCTGCCCAAAGCACTCGAACCTTTCAGCAGACAACCTCAGCAAAGCCCTGAAGTACTTGGGCGGCATCCGGCTTATCTCTACCCAGACTGTCCTACCATGATCAAGCTCCCAGATCCTCATACTCTGCAGTGTGCTGTATAGCCCAATCCTTCCTACCAAGAACAACCGTGTGCGAGCTCCTGCAACTAGATATCCATCCAGCAGCGACCGTGGGAATTTGGCTGGTATATGCTCCCAATTGCCCGCATCCACTCTATACATCATCAGCCCCAGTGGCGAGAGCGTCTCCAAGTACAACCTGGAGTCACAGAACGCCATCTTCGACGAGCACAGATTCGCCGCAGGCATCATCTGATGCACTGACCACTTATTCTCCTTGGAGTCATAGACCTCGGTGGGGAGCGTCTTGTCCCCATAGACATCGCTCGCGGCGATTACCTTGAACGACCTGCGCTTCTTATCCACCGCGAGCACCAGCTGCCGCTGCTGGTTGTAATGCATGTCCGGGAGCACCCGCCAGGTCTGCGTGAGCGGATTGCAAACCACGGTGCGGAATCCGGCGCCGTCAAAGCCGGAGAAGCAGACGAGACCCCCCGAGGAGCCGACTAGCCAGAGGTCCCAGGCGGGGAGGAAGCCGAACGGGAGCTTGTAGCGGGCGCGGAGGGGCAGGCTGAGCACGCTGCACTGCGGCGGCGAGCTCGCGGCGCCCCTCCAGAAGGTGAGGAGGCAGGGCCCGTGGGAGGGGACCCCGGCGTGCGCGGCGAGGAAGGCCGGGTCGTGGAGGATGGAGTCCCAGCGGCGGGAGACGGGGCGGAGGCGGAAGAGCAGGAAGGGCGGGACGCGGGCGAGCACCTCGAGGAGGAGGTCGTCGGGGAGGGGCGCCCAGACGCGCGCCTCCATGGGGACGTCGGCGTGGAGGAGCGAGGCGGCGGCGGCGGAGGGGGCCTTGATGGAGGGGAACGTGGCGGCGGCGGGCGCGGCGGTCTCCTCGTCGAGCCCCCGCGGCTTGGTGCTGCGGATCGCCTTGGGCGGGCGCGACGGGCTCGTCGGCCGCGCCGCCCGCGCCGCCGCCGCCACCGCCGCCGGCGGCGCGGCCGCGTCACCCATCGCCGCGAGATCGGCGAGGGGGAATCGCAAATCTGGGGTGATTTGAAGAGGAGAAACAGGCAGGCTGCAGCGCCTGCCTGAGTCGCAGGCTGCTCCTCCGCTCTCTCTCCTCTTCTTTTTTTTTTCTTTTTTGGACGTAGTAGGCGTCCACTCTCTCTCTCTCCTGGAGGCGTGAAGCGCAGCTGCAGAAACGGGGGAGACGGAATGGAGTGGAAGGCCACAGGGCCTGTTCAGTTGGTGAAATAAAAATTTTGGACTGTAATATTGGACGTTTGATCGAATGTTAGAAGAGATTTTTGGATGAATGAAAAAAACTAATTTCATAACTCGTCTGAAAACTGCGAGACAATCTTTTGAGCCTAATTAATCCGACATTAGCACATGTAGATTACTGTAGCACTTATAGCTAATCATGGACTAATTAGGCTCAAAAAATTCGTCTCGCGATTTCTCCCCTAACTGTACAATTAGTTTTTTCTTTTAATCTACATTTAATGTTTCATACATGTGTTCAAAGATTCGATGTGATATTTTTAGAAAAAAAATTTAGGAACTAAACGGGGCCATATTTTGGCATATCGAAGGAAATCAAAATTAGAGATGTTTTCGCATGTAGTTTGGTAAGTAGGTTTTGAAGTTCCTTCGTTTACACAGACAGTCGTATAAAAGTCCTTTTATAAAACTTGTAAGCTAATTTGAGACGAGAGTTATACTCCTAATTGCTTAAGAATTTTTATCATACTATAATAAAGCAGCGTACAATATATGACCATCATCACAATAAAGATTCCGAATTAGATATCAATACTATCAAAATAAAATTCCCATATACATTTTAGACAAAAAAAATCTAACAATAATACAACTAAAATAGATTTCACCGGTTACAACGTACAGGCATTTTTTTTATCGAATGAACAAAACAAAACGACATATTTGTAAAATAAAAATCAACTTATGAATTAAACTTTTATACATGTGTTTTTAACGACCTAAAAGCAAATACGAAAAAATAAATTGTGATTGAAAAGTCTTAAAGTTAACTTCAAATTTAAAGTTGAAATTTTAAATTTTGGCTGATAAATATAAGCATAAGCGAAAGGATGATGCTGATCCTAAATCTACTCCAAATTTGATGTTTTTTGGCGTTTGGGGAGCAGATTCGGACGTTTTTGGGCGTTTGGCGTGTGCGGTTTCTCGTCAGCGGCGTGGTGCCGGCTTCTATCGGTTATCCTGCATCCGACAGAGGATCAGGCAGCACTGGCTGGCATCACTCCACTCGGTTCGCCTTTGAGTATACAGGAACAGATGAGATAGTTCAGGTAAGGCCTTCAACCCAATCAGCCGAACACTTCCGTTTTATGTGGTGTTTAAATGTTTAGGAGATGATGATGAAGATTAAGTGTTTCACGTAAAACGATATATTAATAACATGTGATTAATTGAGTTTTAATTATTACAAACTTGAAAAATAGATTAATATGATATTTTAGAACAACTTTCATATAGAAAGTTTTCCACCAAACGAACCGTTTAGCCGTCTGAAAAGCATACCATTTTAATCCAAAAGTTTATCCTGAGAATTTAGACTATTTACCATTCAATTCGCGCGCCCTAACTTTTTTACCACCAAATTCGCATGCCCTTTATAATATGTCATTGGGAGTGCTAATTAGTTTATTTGGTACCACTTTCTCTATTTTTACCGTGTTTCTCATTTCTTAATTCCATTTGTATTTTTTTTCAAGATTTGTGGACGTTTTTGCCCCTGGGCCCACCTGTCAGAACCAAAGAGAGAGATTTCTCTCTGGATCGAAATCGATCGATGCCTCCAGGCAACGCCCGAGACCGGCATCGGCACCGTCGACCCTAAGCTCCGCCGGTGAGCGCTGCCGCCCCGCCGCCGGACGCGACCCACCCCGCCGACGGGCACCAAATTCTCGTCGGGGACCGGGATCATGGCGGGAGGTGGAGGCGGAGAAGGTGGTGGCGGAGCTGCGGGAGAGGTGCGCAACGCCGACGTCGCTGCTGCTCTCTGCATCGACAAGCTCCCCACTGGGTCAGTCAGGATACCTGCAAATGCATCGCCTCCTCTGAATCCTGAATTTCTGATTTGTGTTCATAGCGTCAGAAACAGGAGTGACAGTAGATAGATATCTGAAAATGATGGGTTCACACTGATTAGTGGGAGGCGCTCGGCCTGGGCGGTGGCGCCAGGCTGCGGTGGTCGGAGCCGGTGCTCGGCAGTGGGGTGCCGGCGCTCGGCGGCGGGGTTACCGGCGCACGGGGCGGTGGGGGTGGTGGGGCGTCGAGTGCCGCGGCGGCGCCCGGCGGCGGGGTTGGTGGCGCCCGACGGCGGGGTTGGTCGCGTCCGGCGGCGGCGCTCACCGGTGGAGCTCGGGGTCGACGGCGCCAATGCCGGTCTCGGGCGCTGCCTGGAGGGATCGATCGATTTCGATCCAGATAGAAATCTCTCTTTGGTTCTGACAGGTGGGCCCAGGGGCAAAAACGTCTATAAATTTTAAAAAAATATACAAATGGAATTAAGAAATGAGAAACACAGTAAAAATAGAGAAAGTGGTACTAAATAGACTAATTAGCACTCCCAATGTCATATTATAGAGGGCATACGAATTTGGTGGTAAAAAGGTTGAGACGTGCGAATTGGATGGTAAATAGTCTAAATTCTTGTTTATCCTACACTTTCATAAGAACCGAACAGGAAGAGGTCCGCCATAAAATGAAAATTATATGGTTCCGAATATTCCGATTTGGCCGCCAAAAATACAAACAGGTAGGGCGTGTTTAACTGCCACTAATTATCTCATCATGTCACCAAGTTAAGTAGGTTTTGGCCGAGCTAGAAACCTACTTGGTTCATACCACACTTGTAATAAGATTTTTTTTCATGGTCATATGATTTCCACGTGTCATTAACCTATGAAAGTGTGACAAAATTGCTCTCTGCTAGTTAAAGTGTGGCTTTACCTTTTGTTAGCCACATAATCACGTAGCATGTTAGCTTAGAAAAGTATGGCAAGCTTTGACAATTTTGGAATGCCAACAAAACAGCCCCGAATGTTCATTTTCTATTGTGAGATCGTGTCGTATACCTCCACTCTGGCACAAACTAGACACATGCATTGTTTGACTGTTCAAATTCGAGAGACCACGATGATCGCGCCGGATCGAAGGGAACATTGGCCACACGTCGAATGTATTGGTCAGGCATCTAAAAATGGACACCGTCACAGTAGGGCTACCCAAAAATAGCCACCGCCTCACGTATAAATCCACCCCGCGTGAGCCTTCCCTCCCATCATCAAGTCACCCACCAAGCGAAGCAAACCCATCGCATCAACCACCAAATCGAAGGCACGTAGGTGAGCACCAACAGCTACATCGGCCATGGCTCGCGCGCTCGTTCTCGTCGTGATCCTCCTCGCCGCTATCGCAGTGGCACCGTTCGCGGAAGCCTCGACAGTCACCGGTGGCTCCAGGGTATTGTTGGCCTCCGACGCGCCCGCTGAGAGCCCGGCTGGGCCTGCGGCGGCCCCAGGCCCAGCGGAAGAGTCCAGCAGTGAATCTGCTCCATCTCCGAGCGCCGCTGATGCCTGATCGAGTAATAATGAAGTCCAAGTGAATAATTCTTCATCCCAAGAACATTGATCAAGCATATATGTCCTACCCTTCCTTCATAAAGGCTAACAGAGCCTCATTTTTATTTTTATTTTTATTTTTTATTGCTTTCTTCTGTTGATTGATCGTGTTAATCATGCAATATGATGAGTTAATATAAGTTCGATGAAGATATTTGTTTCCCATTGTTCAAATGGTATATTACATTGTTAATCGGAATCTTATTCGGAACAAATATAATGCTAATCAGAAGGAACATGCAAGCTAAACTTGCGACGGTAATATCAAATTAATGTACTCCCTCCGTCTCACAAACCCTGGTTTCCGTGTTCAACGTTTGACCGTTCGTCTTATTTGAAAAAATTATGAAAAAAATTAAAAAGATAAGTCACGCATAAAGTATTAATCATGTTTTATCATCTAACAACAATAAAAATACTAATTATAAAAAATTTCATATAAGACGGACAGTCAAACGTTGGCACGGAAATCCAGTGTTTGCTTTTTTTTTTTAAGGACGGATGGAGTAACTTGTAAAGGAGAAGATCGATTCAATACTCATGCAGGATGTTGAGTCAATCTAATATTCAAGGAGGATGCCGCGCCTCTAGCTTCCTAACACTGGCATTGGTTACACCCCAATTGAATACTCGTACTGAAGCCACCTCACTACGGGTGTGTTCGGCAGAGGAGGATGAGAACCCATCCCTCCTCCATGTTAAACGGAGCAGCCTTTTAACACGTGATTAATTAAGTATTAGTTAATTTTTTTAAAAAATAGATCAATATGATTTTTTAAAGCAACTTTCGTATAGAAAATTTTTGCAAAAAACACACCGTTTAGTAGTTTGAAAAGCGTGCGTGTGAAAAACGAGAGAGGTGGGTTGGGAAGAGGGAGTACCGAACTCAGCCATAGGGGGGTAAAGCTTTGCCCACGGTGCCACTGTTTAGTTGCTTTTAGTACCCAAGCACACGAACTCTGTGGTTGATCTACTAAGCGCCATGCCACAACTCAAGTTATGCAGGTTTGATCGAATTCGACATTCATTTGGTAAGGGCCACACTTGTGACATGACTTTTTCCTTATCACATGGGCTCTACATGCCATTGTCACATAAATATGCAACAGGATTACTCTCTTCTAGCTAAAGTATGGCTTTAATTTTGTTTGCCACATGTTAGACATGTTAGCTGAAAAAGTATAGCACACATTGGAAATTTCCCAATCAAACATACCCGAATATTCTTTTTCTATGGAAATGGGTTCTAATCCCTTAAGGGATTTTGCCTCTTGTACCTCCTTTTAAAAAAAGACAAATAGTTGTATTTTTTAATATAAAAAATGATAATATGGTGACATCTATCGCTTCAAAAAATCAATTTCTAAATTTGTCATATTGAGAGTCAAAAAGACAAATTCGAGCATAAACAATTCCACTACTATCCATACGGTGAATATCTTCTTTGTATCTCAACGTGTTAGTTGAGTTTATGCCTAAGATTTCGTTGAATGATATATGTATATTGCATAATTTTTTTCAAAATTGTTGAGAACATTTTATTACTATTTGAATATTTTCTTAAATGAACAAGGGAGCAACCCCTTAAGGAATCAAAACAGTTCTCCTTTTTCTATTGTAAGATCGTGGCGTATGCTCCGGCGCTCGCACAAAATAGATGCATGCATCATCTTATTGTCTAATTTTGAGAGAATTCACGATGACCATACCAGATCCAAGGTAACACGGGCCACACATCGAATCCATTGGCCGAGAGGCCAGAGCTCCTAAAAAAGGAACCAATGTCGTAGTGCCCCCCAAAAATAGTCACCGACTCACGTATAAATACACCTCGCCCGCGCCTTAACTCGCATCATCAAGTCACTCATCAAGCGAAGCAAATCCATCATCCACCAAATCAAAGGCACGTAAGTGAGCACCAACAGCTGCATCGGCCATGGCTCGCGCGCTCGTTCTCGTCGTGATCCTCCTCGCCGCCATCGCGGTGGCGCCGTTCGCAGAAGCCTCGACAGTGAGTGCCGCCTCCAGGGTATTGTTGGCCTCCGAAGCGCCCGCTGAGAGCCCGGCTGGGCCTGCGCCGGCCCCAGGCCCAACGGAAGAGTCCAGCAGCACATCTGCCGAGTCTCCAAGTGCTGATGCCTGAATGAGTAAGAGTGAAGCTCAAGTGAATGATTCCTAATACCTGGAATATTGACCAAACATATATATGCCAGACATCCTTTGTTAAGGCTAACATAGCCTCATTTTTTTTATTTTTTTTTGTTTATCACTACCTCTACCTATGTTGTTGATTGATCATGTTAATCATGCAACATTATGATTTAATATAAGTTGGATGAAGATCTTCGTTTCCCGTTGTTCAAAGGGTATGTTATATTGTTAATCAAAATTTTATTCAGAAAAAATATAATGTTATTGAGAAACCAGTTACAGAACTACAGAAGGAACTTACAAGGAAAATTTGCAACATAAATATCAAACTAATGTACCTTATAAAGGAGAAGGATCAATTCAATATTCAAGCAGGCTATTGCACCTCCAGCTCCTAACAATGGCATTGGTTTCACCCCAGTTGTACACTTATACCGAAGCCAACTCACTACGCGTGCACTACGATTCTCCCGCGAGGGGGGGGGGGGGGGAGGGGGCGGGGGGCTCAAGCTTTGCCCACACTGCAATTTTTAGTTGCCTTGGCAAAAAGATCCTTGATCGTGTCGAGTGAGTTTTTTCTTGTCTCCTTGATAGTTAGGTACCTAACACATGTCAACGTAATCTTAACAAATACAAAAATATAGGAATTGTTTCATTGTATTGTTTGGATGTTTCATGGAAAAACAATAAATGAATTTGAAGGATGGTACAAAGAAAATTTTTCAAGAGCTTGGAACATATGTTAGATTTCCTCTCACGTTCCTATGAACTTGGCCCTGATCTATTCTGTTTGTTCTAAAGGAGCATAATATAGGGAAGTATTTCAAAAGATTAATATCCTACAAAGTGAGCCTGGAGTATACAGAAACATATGAGATGGATTATGGTTAGGTGTCCAATCAACTGAACTCTCATGTTTTTTCTTCATAACATTGGAAGCAATTGACCACAAAATGAAACTACAGCCTGAATTCGGTCAAAACCAAAAAAAAAATTATCTATATAGGGTACTCCCTATCTTGTCATTATCACAATTCGTTTTCCCATGCCACAACTCAAGTTATGCAGGTTATTCGATGTCCATTTAGTAAGAGCCACACTTATCAAAAGACTTTTTTCTTTACCACATAGGTTCTACATATCATTGGCACATAAATGTGCGACAAGATTACTCTCTTCTAGCTAAAGTATGGCTTTAATTTTGTTTGCCACATGTTAGGCACGTTAGCTGAAAAAGTATAGCACACTTTGGCAATTTCCCAATCAAACAAACTTGAATATTCTTTTTCTATGGAAATGAGTTCTAATCCCTTAAGGGAGTTCGCCTCATGTACCTTTTCTCTACTACTTTAAAAGCCAGAGGTGGTGGTAGTAGAGTGGCAGTGAGTCTACCTCCACCACTACCAACTGACATGTGGGACCTAGCAATAGTATCAAATTATATTTTAATATAATATATGTTGGTATAGCAAATTATAGTTAAAAAAAGGAGAGTATAGGATAGTCGTAGAATATGTATAGTTTTGATCCATTATGTGTATATAATACTAGGCTTCACCGCTTTACAACATATAATTAAGTTATCTTTCTTAATTTCCGTCGCAATACACGAACATTTAGCTAGTTTTGAAAAACAAATCAATGCAAATAGTTGTATTTTTTTCTATAAAAAAATGAGAGTACAGTGACATCTATCACTTCACAAAAATCAATTTCTAAATTTTACCTACACACTGAGAAACAAAACGACAAATTCTAGTATAAATAGTACCATTATTATTCATGCGATGAATGTCTTCTTTGTATCTCAACATGTTAGTTGAGTTTAGGCCTAAGATTTTGTGGAATGGCACACATATATCGTATAAATGTTGGCAAAATTTTTGAGAATTTTTTATAACTATTTGAATATTTTTTTAAGCAAATAAGGGAGCATCCCCTCGACGGATCAAAATACTTTCTCTTTTTCTATTGTGAGATCGTGTCGCATGCTCCCTTGCTTACACAAACTTGATGGATGCATCATCTGATTATCTAATTTCGAGAGAAATCACGATGACCAGACCGAATCCAAGGTAACATGGGCCACACGTTAAATCCATTGACCGAGCAGCCAGAGCTCCTAAAAAAGGATACCAACGTCGAAGTGCCACACCAAAAATAGTCACCGACTCACGTATAAGTCCACCTTGTGTGCACCTTGCTGCATCATTAGCCACACGTCAAGCGAAGCAAATCCATCACATCAATCGCCAAACCAAAGGCAAGTACGTGAGCACAAGCAGCTCCATCGGCCATGGCTCGCGCGCTCGTTATCGCTGTGATCCTCCTCGCCGCGATTGCAGTGGCGCCATTTGCGGAAGCCTCCACAGTCACCACCACCTCCAGGGTGTTGTTGGCCTCCGAAGCACCTGCCGAGAGCCCGGCAGGCCCGGCGGAAGCCCCAGGTCCCGCGGAAGAGTCCAGCAGTGCATCTGCCCCGTCTCCAAGTGCCGCTGATGCCTGAACGAGTAAGAATGAAGCCCAAGTGAATGATTCTTAATCCCTAGAATATTGACCAAGCATATCTATGCCAAAAATCCTTTGTTAAGGCTAACAAAGCCTCATTTTTATTTTTTTTTGTTTATCATTACCTCTGTTGTTGATTGATCATGTTAATCATGCAACATGATGAGTTGATATAAGTTGGATGGAGCTTGACTACGGTGCTTTCTACTCGTAGTATTCTACTACCAGTAGAAATGATCTGAACCATCCGTTTGGAAGGGTATATTAGTACTTACTAATTATGTGCTTAAGGGTAATTTGGGTATTTGCGCTTTCCTTTTCTTTTAAGTCTCGTATTGCTCCGACCGTCTCGCCGCATCCATCCGCCGTCCGTTCCTGCACAGCTCGATTCCGGTGGTGGTGCCCATTTCGATCAGCCGGCGTTCATCCTGCCGCCGCCGTTTTATCTCCCCGTCGGTGACTTCGATTATCCTGCCATCCTCCACCCTGGTATTCCCGCCGTCGATGTCGCTGATCCCTGTCTAGCCACCACGGCCGTGCCAACCTCCGTTGCTGGCGACCACGCGCATCTGCACTGCACCGATCTCCTCCCTATCGACCACGGCCATGCCGATTTCTTCGGCCCTGACGACCGCGTTCACATCCGCGTTGATCTCCTCCTCCCACTGAACAAGCGAACAGCTAGTATTTATTTTCGATCATCATGGTACTTGTGCGTTTGCTCTCAATCGAATTTGATTTCTTCGTTGTTGATAAGAAGAGGAACCTGCTTTTTTGAAACGAACCGCATAAGAAGAGGAACATGCTAATGCTATTGCTACTAGTTGCATGTATAGCGTTGTATACAAAGTTCCAATTCGATTTATCGGATGTGACTTTGATATGGATGGATGCTGAATTTTGATTCGGGCTGGATGCAATATATTGGAGTATATATTAATTCTGAAGATGTAATGTGCTAGCTATTATAATATTATTTGAATAAAATACAATTCAACTGAATCTCTGAACTTGAGTATGTATAAAATACTATTTTGACTGTTAATTTCTGTTATGGTATATTTCTAAAAATCTAAAAGTATTGTTTGAAAAGAAAATACTCACAATTTTAGGATCGTTGACACAGTTCCTGAGTTTTTATCTGAGGGAACATTTCTGAATTAGAAACTCAGTTCCTGAGTTGTTTTTTTAGGGAGCAGTTCCATATAGTTTCTAACTTATAGTATTAATTACTAATTTGTCCATGTATGTCCACAAGAATTCTCATAAATCATCATGATATATATTCTTTAACTGCTAGAATATTTTCATTATGAGATGAGATTTTAAAGCAGCCGCGACTGTCAGATTCACTTGTATCACAGAATTATTCACTTTCCTGAACATGTTTGCAACTTGCGAAGTAATCCTCAAGCCGGAGCTATGAGAGGGAGCATGTGTAAGAAGCATCAACACAATTGAAGGTTGGGGATGGACCACTGACGTTTCTTCAGCGTTTTATTTTGTTGTATCAGAGACTTTGTTCAGATGATTATATACTTCTTAAGTGATATGCATGTAAATGTGGAGGTCAGGGGTGTAATTAGCAAAAAATAAAGCTCTATCAAGCCAAGTTTCAGGATATATTAACCGTGGTGATTGCAGATTAATTTCTGTTAGGTGAAGATAAAAAAGATAGTTGCAGTTATGTTAGATGATTGAAAAAAAGAAGTGGTGTGGTACTGGGATTGACCCCTCGCGACATGGACAAAATTAAAGCATCTTGCAGTAACCATCCATGGCAACTCCCAAGTGCAAATATATATCATCTTTGTCTATTCATTTGTTTTAAAACACGAACACTGTCTACCAAAGAAAACCACGTGGGATATATCGCAAGGGAGTATATTACTGCTTCTGTGATAGACATTAAATTATGGCGAGTACAATATATATATATATATATATTTCAATTCAGACATTGGTCGTTGTCCTTTATAAAATATCAGCCCCATACCATGCTGCTAGATCATACTCGCAGAACAGGATACAACTCTTGAATGCAAGAAGCATGACTTTTGCCAGTAATTCCAACGTGCAATCTCCAACAAGACAATGAAAGGCAAACTCACCATTGGAGCTCCACTGCATGGCTGAAAAAATGAAAAGAAAATTATACACATTGGAAAGCCTCCAAAATAAAATGATCTGCAGAGCCTTACAAATTATGGACCTTAACTGTTCCATGCTGGCCGTAACCACTATAAACTAGTAGTATCTTCTGAAATTTGACTTATGTGATGTAGCACAGGGAGTGGAACTATTTCTGCAAGCAACGAATCAAATAAAAATCGATCTGTGTGTAATTTACGAAGTATAGAGAACTCCAGAATTAGTACTAGAATTTTACTGAAGCAAAATCATAACCATTTAAACCGCTGTCAGCTGCTCATCAACTAAAATAGAATGAAGCACAAGCGCAAATCATCTCTCGCTAATGGTCACAGAAGAATTATCTATGTGGTGATTTGATAACATTTGTCAGACACATTTCAAATTTGTATAGTTGGGACAACAACCTCAGTAGAAATCTAGCAGGTTGTGCTTATGAAGTACTACTTGGTGTTAAAACTGAATTTTGCTCGCGTCAGGCTGCTACTTTTGGAGGATCTAATAGTGATCCTACAACATTACTGTATCATTTATCAGGAAGTGATGGGAGAAAATGGGACAGGACGTTACCTGTTCTCGAACCAGTAGCAGCCGAAGAGATGGGATGAACAATCAACGGCAACATCAAGATGAGGGCGACGTTGCATCATCAGCCTCTCCTCCGCCGGACTGCCATACAAGCAGCACATCGTGGATCCGCCGCCCTTGCCGAGGCGCCGAGCACGTACGCCGCAGCCGCCACAGGTCGCTGGAGGTAGAGAAGGTGGATGGGGCAGAGGGCCGCGAGGGCGCTGGAGGCGATGAACGCGGCGAGGGAGATGGACGGGCGACGGAGGCGACGATAGAGGTGAACGGGAGGCCCAGAATGGCGTCGAAGGAGGCGGCGAGGGCGGGGGAGGCGGACGGCGACGGAGGGGGCCGGAGAAGGCGACGCGGGCGGAGGAGACGGATGGTGAAAGAGGAGGCGGACAAGGCGGCGACGGCGAGGGATACGGACGGCGATGAAGGGGGCGGAGAAGGCGGTGAGGCCGGGGGAGGCGACGGTGCTGGAGGGGAAGGAGATGCCGATGGCGCTGGAGGCGACGGAGGCGGAGAGGGAGAAGGACCGGCGACGGAGGCGGCGAAGGAGATGGACGCCGACGGAGGCGGGGATGGAGGAGAATGGCATCGATTAGGATAGGATAGAGAGAGAGAGGGTGAAGAGTTAGATAAAAACAAATTACGATAATACCCTACGCGAATTATTACCTTTGGACAAATATATCCCTCCACATTTCTACTCCCATAAAATTTGGTGGGAGTAGAACTCAATCTCAACCATATAATTAAATACGATCAACGGTTCGGATTAATTTCTACTCCAAGTAGAAAGCACCGGAGCGGGACTCAAGTTGGATGAAGGTTTTCTTTTCCAATTGTTCAAATGGTATGTTATAGTGTTATCAAAAGCTTATTCGGAAAAAATATAATGTTAATCTAAAACCTGATACATAATTACAAAAGGAACATGCAAGCTAAACTTGCAATAACAAACTAATGTACCTAGCAAAGGAGAAGGATTAATACAATATTCAGGGAGGATGTTACATCAATTCAATATTCAGGGAGGATGTTGTGCCTCCAGCTTCCAAACAATGGCATTGGTTACACCCCAGTTGAACACTCGTACCGAAACCATCTCACTACGTGTGCGTGATGGTTCTCAAGGGGCAAGCTTTGCGCACGCTGCCACTGTTTAGTTGTCTTGACAAAACGATCCTTGATCATGTGAATGGGTTCGTTCTTGTCTCCTTGGTAGTTAGGTAGCTAACACATGTTAATGTAATCCTAACGAATACAAAAATTAGGAATTGTTTATTTGTATTGTTTGGATGTTTCATGGAAAAACAATACACAACTTTGGGGGATGACACAAAAAAATTCCAAGAGCTTGGAACACATGTTAGATTTCGACTAATGTTCCTACGAATTTGGTCATTCCATAGGAATTTCAACGATCCGCTCTTTTGTTCTAAAGGAGCATATAGAGAAGTATTCCAAAAGATTCATGTCCTACAAAGTCCCTGACAATACATGATCATATGATATGGTTTATAGTTAGGTATTAAACCCAATCAGCTGAACACTCACGTTTTCTTCTTCGTAACATAGGAAGCAACCAACCACAAAATGAATTACAACTCGAGTTAAGTTGCCTAAAAAGCAAACAAATACATAATCTACATAAGGTACTTCATGTGTTAGTCAATAATACAATTTGTTTCGTAATGCCACAACTCACACAACTCAAGTTATACAGGTTTGATCGATTCGACATCCATTTAGTTCGAGCCACACTTGTGACAAGACTTTTTCCTTATCACATGAGTTTTACATGTCATTGGCACGTAAAAGTGTGGCAAGATTACTCTCTTCTAACTAAAGTATGGCTTTGGCTATGTTCTTTTGGATGGGTTGGGAGCCCCTCCACTCCACACAGAAAACAGAGCGATAGATTAATATGTGATTAATTAAGTATTAGCTATAAAAAATTGAAAAATGGATTAATATGATTTTTTAAAGCAACTTTCCTATATAATCTTTTTGCAAAACGTATACCATTTAGCAGTTTGCAAAACGTATACCGTTTAGCAGTTTGAAAAGCGTGCATGCGGAAAACGAGAGAGATGGGTTGGGAACCCATGGAAAAGAACACATCTTTGGTAATTTCCCAACCAAATAGATCTAACGTTCTTTTTATATTGAAACAGGTTCTAACCCCTCAAGGGGATGTCCCGTCGTGTATCTTTTTTATAAAAAAAATCAATGCAAATAGTTATATTTTTTATATAAAAAAAAGGTAATGTAGAGTGCATTGCCATCTATCACTTCACCAAAAATCACTTTCTAAATTTGACCTACACGTTTTGAAAAAAAAAAGACAAATTCAAGTATAGGCATAAGATTTTATGGTATGGTACATACATATATTGTATAAATATTGTCAAAATTTTTAAGAATTTTTCATAACTAATTGAATTATTTTTATACAAACAAGGAAACATCCCCCGAGAGATCAAAACGATTTGTCCTTTTCTATTGTGAGATCATGTTGTATACTCCCACAGTCGTACAAACTAGACGCATGCATCATCTACTTGCCTAAATTAGAGAGAAATCACGATGACCAAAACGGATCCAAGGGAACAACAACCGCACGTCGAATTCATTGGCAGGGCACATAAAAAAGGACAACATTGTCAAAGCAGGTACAATAGCAGACTATAAGTCAGCTATAAACATATTTTATGAAGACAAAAGAGAAGAGAGAAGAGCAGCGGACTATAGATTTATAGCCAGCTACAGTACGGACTCCAAGATATATGTGTGTATGACAGGTAGGACCAGACAATAGATAACTATTGTATAAATTGGCTATTAAATTGGCTATAGGTGATTTGGAGCTAATAGTTAGCTATACTATTAAACTTGCTCTCATAGGGCCACCAAAAATGGTCACCATCTCACGTATAAATCCACCTCGTGCGCGCCTTCCCTTGCATCATCAAGCCACACGTAAGGTACGTGAGCACCAACGGCTGCAACGACTATGGCTCGCACGGTTGTTCTCGCCATGATCCTCCTTGCCGCTGTCACGGTGGAGGGGCGGAGCTACAGTGTTAGCATCGGTGTCAGGCGACACTGACGACTTTCGATTCGGTAAAAACTATGGTTAAACTGTTTATCCATATATTATAACACTATAGTCTAAGTATAATTAGCATACTATAACACCAATAAACACATTATGACACCAATGGATCATTTTTCTAGATCCGCCCCTATCGCGGTGGCGCCGTTCGCAAAGGCCACGACCGTTGCCGCCTCCATCGGGGAAGCGCAGCTGCGCCGTTCGTTCCGCATCCGACGGATAGAGCAAAATCAAGGTGGCCTATCGGACTCATTCCTCTCCATCCAACTCCTGATTCACCGTGGTCGTCGGCCGCTCGCTGCCGACGTCGTCTCCTCCGGCGCAGGCGGGGGTGGAGCTGATCCCCGAGGAAGCCCCTCCCCTCGCCGCCACCATCCCCACCAGGCCTCGCCCCTCGTCTCCATCCCCACCAGACCTCCATGCCGCATCCCGCATAGAGGTCAGGGCCTGCCGCCTGCCTCGACGACGTCGCCTTCACCGAGCCTTTCGCTAAACCCACTCGGGACTCTAGTACACCTTGCATACGAGTGTCGTCTTGCTCTCACCGACGATGGAGACGACAGACAAGGGCACCGCCGGTGACGGCGTCGGGCGTCGTTGAGGAGCTGCTCCTTGAGCATGTCGCTGTACTCCTTGAGCAGCAGGTTATATACACTTGCAGACTTGTAGTTCGAGGTTGCTGACTGATTCTAGTTTCAATGTTCATGAGGGCTTCTGAATTGGAAGGTGACTGCAAGTCAGCAACAGCATGAGAATCCTAGATCGAGATTGTAAATTGATAATGGAGATTATAAATTGATGTAAATTGGGATTGTGACTTGTGAATCAATACTAAATGCAATGATTGAATTTCTTTGTCAATTTCAGATTGATTGTTGTATCGATTTGAGAATTCGTAGATTGTAATTGCATCAAAAAAAAAATTCAATTCAGTATGGCTGAAGAGATTGAGACTTCAGTATAGCACAAGAATGTCTTTTGATGTGAAGTATTCACCATCCAAGCATCTTGCACTGAAAACACTTGTTTCTTATTTTGCAATCTCAATTTACACGATCGCAATGATCAGACTCAAAATTACATTTGAAGATCTCATTCAATATTGACTCAATCTCAATTCTTCAGAAATGCTCTCTTGCTGTGAACAAAGGATGCTCTCAAAAAAAAAAATCTCACAACAATGCACTGTTTGCTCTGTTCAAATTGCTTCATTCCTGTTGCGTCTCAATTTACGCCGGAGAGCAGCGGAGGCCTCCCGCATGACGGAGGACACGGAGGCGGCGTTGGGGACGAGGAGGAAGGTGGCGACAGAAGGGGCTTCGTCGGGGAGACGGGGGATGCGGCCGTGTGGCGGCGGCGGCAGAGGTCTCCCACTTGTCTCGTCCAGTCGTCCCCGGCGGCACGGCCGGCTGCGGCTCCGTGGTGGCGATGTGGACCGTATTTTTTTTTTGGGGGGCCGTGGGCGAGCCTGTCCGTCGGATGCGGAACGAACGGCGCAGCTGCGCCCGACGTCCCTCTGACGTAGCGAGGATCCGGTTCCCTCCATCGGCACCTCTGCGATATCCGTGTCATCCTCCGAGGCGCCGGCTGAGAGCCCGGCCAGACCAGCGGCAGCCCCCGATCCGGCAGAGGAGGCCAGGAGCGCATCCAGCCCGTCTCCGAGCGCCGCTGACGCCTGAACGAGTAAGAATAAAGCCCAAGTAAATGATTCTTCATCCCTAGAACATCGATCAAACATATATACATGCCACCCATCCATTATTAGGGCTAAAAGAACCTCATTTTTTTATTTTTTTTTTATTTTTCATTTTTCATTGTTTTCTTTTTGTTTTTTTGCTTCCTATGCGTTGATTGACCATGTTAATCATGCAATTGGATGAGTTAATGTAAGTTGGATGATGACCATGTTAATCATCGTTCCCCGTTGTTCAAAATGGCATGTTAATCAGAAACCAGATTCATAACTATAGAAGGAACCTGCAAGCTAAACTTGCGACAGAAATAGCAAACCATTGTAAATTGCAAAGTTGAAAAGCAGCAAAGGAGAAGGATCAATTCCATACTCAGGGAGGTTTCTGTGCTTCCAGCTTCCTAACAATGGCATTGGTTACAGCCCAGTTGAACCCTCGGTACTGAAGCCACCTCACTACGCGTGCACGGCGATTCTCAAGGGGCAAGCTTTGCCCCCGCTGCCACTGTTTAGCTGCCTGCTCAAAGAGATGATCCATTGAATCCTCGGAAATGCCATACATTGTCTGGTTTGAATGACCATCTTGGAATACTCTCCTTGTCGCCTGGTCTACTTCTGCATCTTGCACCCCTTTTTGGCGAAGTGCCTAATTCAGACAAAAATACATGTTTTTCAGTCAGTTACAGTTAAAATTAGACATGACATATATAATGAATTATTCATATTAGTTAAGTCATCTACACGAAATATACCACATAACTAGAATGTCAATGTGGACTTATGTCTTGACCAACTGCTAGAAAGATAAAGACATTTGTTTCTAAAGGCATCAGAATGTAATGTTGCTTCACAAAGCTACTCTTCCTTCATTGAATTTGAACTTTTGGACACGGAAATTATGCTAAACCCATTGCAATCTATAGTGAGTTTATATTCATGTGTTAACTGATAACAAAGGACTTCAGTGAATATAAGAGGGAAGGCTGTGCAAGATGTTTCATTGGAACAACTGAGTGCAGAAAGAGAGGAAAAGATACCACCAACCTGTTTTATACGCTTTGGGCCCCAAGTTGATGATAACCATCGAGATCGTGAAAAAGATTCCGCATAATAACCATCATTCAACAGACCCCTTCAGGAACAAAAAGAACAAATTTATTGTAACTAAGAAAGAGAAGAAGCTAGGCACATAAAACATAAATTGTCAGAGTGAATATGCTAGTGTATGGCATCCACAAGTATGACTTAATCTAATACCAAATATTATACCTTCAAATTATGAAGGCCATTTTTTTTGTGGATTCCACATTCAAGAGTATCTAGAAAACTGGGTGAGTCAAGTTGTAGGAACTTCCATATAATATAGACAAGTTCTAAAGACAGATGATCACCACCATTGGTGAGTATGAAGAATTTTGTGTATCTATGCTAGTTGATTCAACTGGGATGGCAATGTGGCGTACTAAGTTCCTTTACAGTTTATCGGTCAGTGCGCTCAACAATTCAACAGAAAGGTGTTTACCTTGACTTGAAATCAGCAATTACAGAATCAACTGCATTATCAGGAAACTTCTTAGCACGTAGTTTCTTCCTAAGATCTGAAACTGTGAATGCTCTGCTCAAGATAAACAAGGAGGTGCATTTCAGATTTCAATTTCAACAGTGGTAAACAACACACTAAAGATATACTTATGTGATAAGTGGGCAGAATTTATAGCGCAGAAATTTCCTTTGGACTATGTAAGCTACTTAAAACAAGACAAGACCATGATAGCAGAAATGAACTGTGAATGCTCTGCTCAAAATAAACAAGGATGTGCATTTCAGATTTCAATTTCAACAGTGGTAAACAACACACTAAAGATATACTTCTGTGATAAGTGAGCAGAATTTATAGCGCAGAAATTTCCTTTGGACTATGTAAGCTACTTAAAACAAGACAAGACCATGATAGCAGAAATGAGCAAATCAGCTAGCTGCATATGTTATGTTCTAGTTCTTTGGCTTCCTTACCATTGTGCATAAACCATGCTTGCCTGAAATAAAGGCTTGCATTTTTGCACAACAGAAAGGCGTGATTCTTTTCTTCAAGTACTTTTTTTACAGTGGCAAGGAAGATCTTCACATTGTTCGTGGCGACATGACACCTACAGAATCAAGTTCATGGGAATACACCAACTAGAAAACAACCACTTATATTAGAACAACAACCAATACCACCAAACGAGAAGGGCCAGTAACACTCAGAGAAAATGTTGGTTATAATTAGCGCTTTAGCAGTGCTTCAGTGATATTCCTCCAATATTTCTGGATGGATGTTGAGTTGAAAATCGCTTGCTAATTCTTACCTGCCAGCAAGCAACTCGACCGCAGCCTTCTCCACATCTTTCACCATGGTTTCGCTGATTCCGTGCACCTCATCGTCGCTTTCCTCCTCTTCCAAAGAAAGCTGTGCGAATTCATCGGGGAAATTCCTGCCCATGTACTTGGCTGTGCCATCGCCATCAGTCAGCTGCTCATTTGAACTCGACCTCCATGGCCGCTCATTCTTGGCTGCTGGAAAAGGAACAACAAGCAGTTCAGTTGCACATCTACATTGAACAATAACTGAAACGCTCACCCGCGTTCCCCTCTCCGTACGCACCTCGCCGGCAGCTCGAGAGCCTCCGCGGTGACGGCTCATACCGGCAACGACCCATCGCCTTCGTCCTGAAGAAGAGGCATTTTGAGGAGAGCGAATTAGGACAGCTGAGAGATCGAAAAGGGGATCGAGGGAGCGGGTGGAGACTGGAGAGGTACCAGGAAGGGTAGGGGATTAGGGCACGGGAGCGCAGGCGCAGCCCTAGCTCCGGCCGCAGATGGAGCAGGCGGCGACTCGCGGCCATGGCCGCCGCCGCCGCCATCCTGAGCGTCTGGTGCACTGACGCCGCCGCGGATGGTTTGAAGCACAGTTTTACTCCACATCCCGTTTATCTCACCATCTCGTTAATAACAGAGTAGAACAACTATCATCAGAACTTCAGAGGGACCTGTTTGGATAGTTGTCATTTGTTAATGGAAACCTCATTAAACAATAGGGAACCGTAATTTATCTATTTTTCTTAAAAACACAGTATATACACATACACACATACTCCCTTCGTCTCATAAAAAATCAACCTAATACTCCTCCATCTCATAAAAAATCAACATAGTACTAGATGTGACAGATCCCAGTACAACGAATCTGGACATCCCTAATGTGTCACATTCAATACTAAATTCACTTTCTTTTTAGAAACGGAGGGATTACGTTTATATGTTTATATAACATGCACACTCGCCAAACCACATGCATCCTATTATTTTGAAATTCATGAAGTCAAACTACACGCGCGTTTTGTTATCGATTGGTACATTGCTTATCATTGAAAGAAAAGTAAGTTCCACCACCATAAATCTAACCAATATAAATACTTTCACTGTGTGTAATTTATCTACTTTTATTAGATTAAGATATGCATCTATTCGCTTTCAAGATTTCCTGCAGTGGTCGAAAGGGGAAAACAAATCGATTCCTTGTGGTTTTAAATTATAATAATGCAGGTCAACTGATATAGTTGTATGTAAAACGGGTTCATATGTATGGATGCTACAAGTTATACATTATATTCAATTCTAACTTTCGGAAATATTATATAGTGGTGTAGATTGATTTATGTAGTACGGATTAATTGGCATTGATGTATACAAAATACAGTTGTATATGGAAAACCTAATAGTTGTATATTAAGAATTACTCCAATCCAATTTAAATCGAGCTCTGTATAGAATTGTAAGGGAAAAAACGCTAAGTTAAAAATAGATATAAACTCTGTAAAGATGCAGGTGTCCAGGCTAAACTTCCAAGATCATCCAATAAAAGGAACACTTCCTTTTACTTTTCTCCTTAGGAAAAAAAAGAAAAAAAAGAAAGCGAAGAGCACCGAAAGGCGAATCTAAGCGCGTCCAGCGTAAGCATCACGCGAGTCGTCGGCGCGCGCGGATCCCCGATCGGACGGTCCACGTTGCCCCGTCGCCCTATAAATTGGTCCCCCCGTCTCCCCCACCCAAATCCTCCCCGACTCCTCGCAGCTTCCTCTTGTTTTTCTTGGCCGAACCCCCCCTCGACACGCCGTCGCCGCCGAGGGGAGAGAGAGAGAGGCCGCCGGCCGCCGCTACCACTGACCCCCCCCCTCGCCGGAGCGCCCCGTCGCCGGTCGGTACGCGTCTCTAGGCCCCCCTCTCTCTCTCGATTTGATCGGTTTGATCTGTGGTGCCCTAGGTTTGATCTGTGGATTTATTTTTTTTCTTGTTTTGTGGGGGTGATTAGGGTTTGATCGATGGCGTCCAAGAGGATCCTGAAGGAGTTGAAGGACCTGCAGAAGGACCCTCCCACCTCATGCAGCGCAGGTGATTTGATCTCTATCGCCTTGGATTTCGCCCAGATCTTGCCGGATTCGATTGCGATGAACGTGTTGGTTTGTGTGGTTTCTGTTGCGTTTTAGATGCTTGATTTGCGGGACACGCGGATGTTAGACTGTTATTTGCGTTTAGCATATGGTGATTATGATGATGCGTAATGTCTTGTGAGGATGATGGTTACTAGTTGTGAGTTTCATCAGGGCAAGGCAATCAGTGATTATGATGATGCGTAATGTCTTCTGAGGATGATGGTTACTAGTTTGAGTTTCATCAGGGCAAGGCAATCAGGCTTAATAGTTGTAGATAATGTCTATTCTGTTTTTGAATTAAGATGTGAAACTGTTTACACAAGTAGATCACATTATGTGCTCTTCAACTGCATATAGACCAAAGCCATCATAATTACAACATTGATTGATTAGCACAGTTTATGAAGAAAGCTACAATAGGCTCATCATGGGAGTTACATTTGATGTGTCTGGCAAATCATGAATATTTAGAGTATCGATTTAAACAGTACCTACTTCATAATAGGCAGATCTGTCACTATGGAATGTCTCTCACCAGTTGAGCACTTCATTCGGTGGATATCTTTGTAATTTGTGTGCTGGTTGCCTGATGGTCTGTGTAAACTCCAGCAGATGTATTGGATGCTTTAGTACAATATGTGTAGTAATTTTGATTGCAAGATGCTTTTTGCCATATACATAGATGAATGACATCTTGCTTCATCTATAGTAATCCTATATATCCAACATGAATGCCACATGGACATTTCAGTTTGCATTTGTGATTTGTCTAAACTCTACTCAACTTGTTTGGATAACAACTGTTGTATAGCTCATGCAGTCAGGCTTAAGATAAACATTAATTGGCAGTATATAGCCTGCTTAATCTTGAATCACTTTCTACATTATTTAAACTGAACTCTATGTCCAAAATTTGTTTTACTCATCTCGTGCTGACTACTTTTGTCTGTTGTCAGGTCCTGTGGGTGAGGACATGTTCCATTGGCAAGCTACTATTATGGGACCCTCAGACAGCCCATTTGCTGGTGGGGTATTCTTGGTGAACATTCATTTCCCACCGGATTATCCTTTTAAACCACCGAAGGTAATTTCTTTGCTTATGTGATTCAACGCCATACCTTACAGTCATTTTCAATATCGTGGTGTTTAGAACTGCATTTACATGATAACATGAGTTCTTGGGGCCCTCAATAAAACATTATCTGCTATCTATTTTTTCCCTTGGATTCTAATGTTTAGGCGATGATCGAAATAAACATATCAGATTCAACATCCAAAAATAAGGTTTATTTCAATGTTATGATGTTTAGAGCTAATGTTATATGATAACATGAGTTCTTGGGGGTCCCCAAGGACAACATTTTTTGCTCTCTGTATTCTTCACTTGGACTCTGACTCTGTATATATATTATGATCTTATTTGCCAGGTCTCTTTCCGCACCAAGGTTTTCCACCCGAACATTAATAGCAATGGCAGCATTTGCCTCGACATCCTCAAGGAACAGTGGAGTCCTGCACTTACCATATCAAAGGTAATTATCAGCATGACCTGATTTCAACATTTTGGCCCTTCTGTGACACCTGATGAATTGTGTTATCATTAATTCTAACAGGTCCTCCTGTCAATTTGTTCACTGCTGACGGACCCGAACCCCGATGATCCGTTGGTGCCGGAGATTGCTCACATGTACAAGACTGATAGGGCCAAGTATGAATCCACCGCTCGCTCCTGGACACAGAAGTACGCCATGGGCTAAAGCCAGCCAAACTGGTGGACGTGTCGAAACCCAACGACGTTATCACCTAAATAACCATCAAGTCACCACTCTCCCCCCAACGAAGTATGAATGGACTTTTGAGGGCTGTTGTGCCCAGTTGAACTCATATGTACCCTACCTTGTGAAGTCCGTTTCAGTCTGGTAGTCTGTTCTACCTGACTGTTCTGTTATTTAAGTCGTTTCCTAAATCATATTTATTATTCGTGCTTTGTCGGTGCCATAGCTATGATTTATATGTGATCAACACGGCACGGATGAAGATTTTGCGTGTTGCTGAATGTACTTTAGGTTCAGCTTACACGTTTCTTAAGTGCAGTCACCTTATCATAATGATCGTTGCTAAGACCAGGCTATAAAAAGGGGTTACATTACGTCATTATACGTTAAAGAGGAAAGGTACAAGCACAGCATGGCCGACGCCTGAGAATTAATGTGTATGGGTACAGATGGGCTATCGGAGGCGATGTTGCCTTCTAGCATTAGGATGGAGAGTTCTATCAAGAGTGTATGTCAAAGAGATTTGAAGTCAGTCAATAAAATAAGATCTTCAATGTGTAATTTTATTTCGTGGTCTCATAGGTTGCTTGTGACAACGGATGGAATTGAATATAGTTAGATGAACTGAAACACTCAAGTCTTCCAATGCTAGTTTTAACCAGTTTTATAGTTTACTTTGTGCATCTAGTTTCATATGGTTGAAACTCGCTTGTATCGGTATTGGCCTTACCATGCTCGAGACTAACGCCTGTTGCTCCAAAACTGTTGTGCAATTTATCAAAAGAAAACCTGTTGTGCAATATCCAAATTTATTTTTATGACAGGGACCATAAGTTACACATTTCTCAACCATATATATAAGATATACTTTCACAACAAACAACAGCAGGTCTCTTTTGCCAATCGACAACAAAATTCACGTCCGTACATCGTGTTGGAGCATTTCCTTCTACAACATCCTATAATAAAAACAATAGTATATTATGTATTCACCTGTAGTCCATTTCTACACAATGTGGACTTCACTTTTGTTCTATACACCTGGGACTAGGCTATATTGCTATGTACCGTACTCTGGATATGGAGAAAAGCTAACAGACAGCCCCATGTTTATTTCCCCTCATCACGGACTCTTCCCGTGCAATCGTATTGCAATTATATGGCTCTATTACCACACATTCACAAAAGATGGACCATTGCGACGAGTCTTCTGGCGAAACTGCTTCTTCTTGATGCACCATGCCTCCGTGAAAGTGCTCACCTAAAATTTGATCAAGTCAGCAACTAGTAAAACTTAAGTGGCAAAAAATTGATGATAAGAATCAATGATCAAGGTGGGAGATGCTGTCCTTACGTTGCTAATCATTTTTGCACCAAACCAGGCAGAATCGGTGCCAAATGGGGGAGGAATAACCCTTATCCCTTCTGAAATATGTGCTGGAAGAAGTTCACGGAGCTCCTTTTCCAGTCTCTCTGTAATGTACAGAGATGACATCATTCACAAGATAGAAAACTTGCATCAGTTTTCCAGTTTATTTTCATATCAATTATTTCTGATATAGTCAGAATTAAAAAGGCACAAGGTAGCATACCTGATAAACCAGGTAAGCATGAAGATCCACCGGATAAAACTACTGTCTTGTACCAGTTGTCATCACCGAACACTTCTGAATTGTAGCAGTGATCCATACACAGAGATACTGCTTTATGCAAGCCCATAGCACGCCTGCAAGGTCAGCAGTGAGCAACCATAATTGAACCATATAAAATCACATAATAGGAAATATGACAGATAAGAGACATACACTCCTCCAATCTGGGGCTGGAAAAGGATTTCTGCAGTCTTGAACCTTTCTTCAGACAGAGTAAACCATCCTTCACCATCTACTTCACAGGAAGCTTGTGTATCTTTACGTTTTTCTGCTTCATAATCAGCCGCGACGTAACAAAGTTTCTTTACAATGACATAGAGGAAAAGTGTGTCAACTGTCACGTGAAATTCAGGTTAGCCCCGACTAATAGGCCCCCAGGCACAATTAGTTGGACTGTAGCTATTAGGTCAAATCCATCCAAATAACATTAGCTGTCTTGGCATAAATAAGATTTTACCTCTTTGATGGTTCGAACAGTGTACAGTGACTCAAATGTTATATTTCTCTGCTGCATTAGTTCCTTCAGAAATCCAGTAAGTTTGAGGGCACCTTGCCCCACAGTTTCAACACCTATCTCATGCATTACCCTACCTTGAAATACTGTTGAAAGAACATGTATAAGAATGGAAACAGTGAGTATTTTGGTATTTTGTAACACTATGCTGATACATTCACATTGAAAATATTCGGCAAGATATCCATGCTTAGCTTTTATATAAGCTAAGGTAGTCTATTGACATTAAAAAAAAATCTTCTCATTACTTTCTAAAGACAATTTGAAGCATGTAAGATTGTAAAAGACGCAATGGAATTTCCCAATTTTTAGAGATAATCTCAGTAAATGAACATAAGTGCAATCAACTGAATCATGGAAGGATTCATGAATTAAACTGATGTTAAGTACTTACTAGGAACAATAGATGTGGCATTAAATCCAATGTTGACAACAATACCAGAAGTTCGTTTAGCAGCATATAAAGCTAGAACTGCCTGCAGGCAAATGGCAATAAGTTAAAAGATATTATCATCAAAACAGAGACAGAAAATTAATGCAGTGTGAGTATACATGGGAGTATGAACATAAAAGGATATTAGCCTGAGAATGGTGTACTTCAACTACAATTCGAGAGATGTGTTTAGCTTGAGGACACAAGACCAAATATATACTCCATGCGAAGCAATCAATTGAAAAATCTTCAACTTGGGCTAAAACTCGTGATGGTGCAAGGCAATTAAACCAACAGTTCAATTTTCTAAAAGCTAAACCCAAAGAAGAAAATTTCTTCAAATCTTGACTCCCCAACAAAGTTCATTAAAATGATGATGATGAATAAGCATCTAATGAACTGCAAAGGATATCATGGTGTGCAACATGGATGCATATCACTGAGCAAACATCAAAAGAAAATAAATATAAGAATGCACACCTGATCAACAGAACAAACAGCAGGAACATTCATATCGAACAGAACCGAGTATAATGTGTCCCTGTATTGCTTTCTTGAAGCCCTAGCAGACTCAGTATCTGTGTAAATTTTGAATTAGACTTGGTGACTTGCAGCAAAAGAAGTTGGGATTAGTTTAGTGAAACAGGAATAACAAGAGAGTTGATGGGATGTGCAACACGAATACCCTCCTCCCTTCATTTTTATAAGGAGCAAATTGACTTGGTATGGTCTTACAAAATTAATTTGACCATAAATTTCTCTTGCAATATACTATTTTCAAATACAGAACTGCCATCTAGAAAATTGACCCAACTGAAAATACTACACACTAACCATCCGAGTGGCAGAGTGGAAGAACAACAATAATTGGTTGAGTAGAAGGCTTTACTTGCATCCTGTAGAAGTCAAGTTTTCATGGTACAATCGAATTGAATTAATCCAATACCGACACAAAAGAAAATCCTTTCAGGAACATAAAAGATCCATTCTGGACAAATATGTGGTAGCTAAGGCAAGATTAATCAGACGAAATAAGCAAGTTGTACTGTTGAAGTTTTAGAACCTGGTGTAGATTGTGGACAAGAAGTGACGAAGCCTTGCATACATAGGTGACTCGATGTTGCCAAATTCCTAAATGTTGATCCCAACATAAATAGCAATTGAGCAATCTCTCTTATTGATTCAATTAACACGAATACTCATGTTCATAGATCAGCCTTGGTCATCATGATGGTACAAAATAGTTGGGAATATGTCATTAAGATGTGGTAGCGGGTCTTGATAGCTTACCAAGAATGTCGCACAACGCCCAGATGGAGCAGCATACTTGCTCCATCCGTACTTACAATATCCCGATCCACCTTAATAAGAAAAACACCAGAGGATACATGAGTTCAAAGGGGAAGAACTAATACACAGCCCCCTTCTGTTGCAACCAACTAAACATGATTGAGCAAATCTAATACCGATATACTCCACAAACCACACAGCTGTTGTAATGTATAAATACCGAACTTTTGCAATTGAAAACTCAGACGAAGCAATCAATGTGCACTGTACTCGGTCACTCTACTATCCAGTGTCTACTATTATTAACCAAAGCATCGGTTAATGGTTATTTTAAAGCATACACAAAGATTCACAATATGAATGTCGAAGAGGATCATACCATCGACTATAATCGAACCAGGAACCACCGCTCGACGGGTGTAAACATGCTTGAACGAAAGCTGCGGCGAGCTATCGTAGTACAGCCTACAAGCGCACAACGATGGTGTTAGGTAAAGATACTATAAGTACTAACAACTGGAGTATGCGAGACAGCGGGAGAGGCGCCGCGGTACGGAGTACGGACCCGGGGTGCAAGGCCGGGCCAGCGCCGAGGTGGGTCTCGGCGAAGACGACGAGCTCCCACGGATCGGGGCCGAGGCGGAGGAAGAAGGCCCACAGGCCATTGTCGGAGGCGAGCAGGCGCCAGGCGCGGCACACGGCGGTGGACCGCGCGGCGTCGGCGGGGCCGAGCAGGCGCAGGATCTGCGCGAGCACGTCGATCGGGAGAACGTCGAGCGCGCCCAGCGAGCCGTACTCCCCGGCGGCCTGCGGGCGGCGCGGGGAGGCGGCGGCGGCGAAGGCCTCCGGCGGCGCCGCCCCCGCCGCCGCGCGGGCCAGCACGGAGCCCCACACCTTGCGGAGCAGCACCGCCATCGCCATGGAGGAGGTGGGAGAGCTCGCCGGGTGGGGCTAGCTCTACATGCGGCCGCGGGGGAATTGGGTTGGGATCGAGGAGGAGGAGGAGGAAGGCGAGGACGAGGATGACCAGAAGTTTGGAGCGGGTGAGTGGCCCGCGCGGGTCCAACGTGGCAGCCGTCTCGTTTTTCTCGGTGGGCTCGCGCCGGAAGCCTCGCGTTTTTGGATCACTGCTACAGGTCAAGCTGGAGTCAGCAGCACTCGCCGCATGGAATTTGTGGTGCTTTCAGCTTCGACACCGCAGTTGTTGACGAATTGGAAGTAATCCTGTTAGGACAAGTTGTTTTTTTTTAATAGATAGATAGATAGATTTTTTTTTCTCTTCTCGTTCTTTAAATGAGACAGTAGTTCAATTCAAGTTGCGTGCTGTACATGGCAAATTATTGTTTTTTAATGGCAGATTGATAGGTTATCCACTTAATCAGCCTAATCTGGTGGTCGATCGGAGCCTACCTTCAGCCGTTACGCGCTGGATTTTTTTTTTACATTTAGTCTTTTATGAAAAGTTATTTTATAAATAAATTTATAACATTTTAGAAATAGACTTTTTCTTGTCAGCATCAATTACTACCTTTGGTCCTAAAATGTAGTTATTTCTAGGATAGTCCCTTATTCTAAAATAAAGCTATTTTCTCCATGTACATCCTCCTCTCAACCAATTACAATAATCTCCTTCACATACTTTCTTTTTTTAACCAATCACACTTTCTTCAATTATTCTCACATATTCTTTTAAATACCCGTACCAACCTAAAAATTTTTATATTTTAGAACGGAGGAAGTACCTTGACATCAAGGTCCAACATCTCGACACCAACGGTATTAGCGTCGACACCCTCGTCCCTTATAAAAGCTAAATCACTAATGTGAAAGATTCAACCCTAATTAACTCTTTCAAACCCCAATAATACCAACACCAAAGACATACTGTATTTATAAAAAAAACTTACAAATAGATCCTTGACATCAACATTATTGATGTCGACTCCTTTCAAATCAGCGATTTAGCTTCTGATAGAGGGTGAGAGTGACGGCGCTAATGTCATTACCTCGAGAAAAGGGTCTATTATTAGAATATGCTTTTCTAGTGATTTATTTATAAAATAAGTTTTTTTTAGAAAAGATTAAAATGTAAAAAATCCAGCCGTTCAGGGTCTGGGTCTTGAGGCGCTCGGCCACTTAGCAAAACCGCAGCCACACAAGGCTGGAAGCCTCTGGTTAAGTTTGCCCCTTGTCTGAACTGACGAGGGTGTCTTCCGGTGACGAGAAATAATACTGTAATTAATAACGATGCGTAGGAGGTTAGCTTGATTAACGGATACTGCGTCACACCGTCACATGACCCATGAAAGGTACAGTATACTTTATGCAGTACGGAGTATAGTTATAACACCTCAAAATACGGTTCAGACAGCAACTTGCGTATAATTAACACATCTCAAATACGGTCCAGGCAGCGACGTTTTTAATTACCATTTCCTCTCGTACTGCTCTCTTTTTCGTCACCGTATCATCCACTTCCACTTCCAGATCGTTCTGGAGCAATGTACAGTACCCGAAAGTCACACGAACAGTTCGTTCGTGCACCGTGATGCAAATCAGACTATTTCAAAAGGCAGGAAAATTTATGAGATCGAATTATACGCTTCTTTTATAACAGTACGATTTCTCTTTAATCCCATGTCTCATCTCATCACCAAAAAAAAAGAAATGGCACAAAACTATCTGCACATAGCTAGCTTAGCTTCCCTGTCTCACCTGTTTGTCTAGTACTAGCAAGTAGCAACAAGCAAGCGCAGCAACCATATACACACAAAACCAAACGCATCATCACCGTCACCGAGCTGAGCCAGAGAACCAGCCAAATGATAGGGGAGGAGTGCAAGCGTGCGACACCCAACCACCGCCACGTCCGGGTCCCGATCAGTGACCACCGGTGAGTAGGTTGATCAGCTAGACGAACTGCAAAATGTACAAGCTAACGACGCCATGATCAGCAGATGACGCACGAGTTGGGGTCCTCCTCGGCGCTGTGGACGACGTACTGCGGCGGCGGGTAGCTGTACGACGGCGGCGCGGCGTGGGCGTGCCACGCCGGCGGCGGCGGGTAGAAGACGAGCTTGGGTTGCTCTGGCTTCTTGTCGTCCTTCTTCTCTTCCGGCTTCTTCTCCTCCTTCTTCTCCTCCTTCGCCGGCCCCACGGAGAGGAGGCTCGCCGACGGCCAGCCCTTCCGGAGCTTGCCGACGACGTCCACCGGGTCGACGTCGCCGACCACCGTCAGCTTTTGGCCCTTCATGTCCATGGAGATCATGTCGATCCCTGCGGTTACATAGTTGCTGTCAGATTACATCGTTGCTCTCAAACGAAGAACAGAGTTTTCATCGAATTATTGGGCGAATTCCTTTTCTTTTCAGAGCTCAATTTGGCGGTAAAGAAGCAGAGCACAAGCGGAAATCGAGAGGAAAGAATGGAAAATTTTGTCAGAAATGGAGTATATACCGTGGAGGGTGGAGACGGCTTTGATCGCCTTCTGCTTATCCTTGTCATCGTGCAGGTCCAGCTTCAGCACAAGCTTCTGCAGCCGTCAGTTAAACAGACAAACCAGTGAGCAATCATAAGCTAAAACAAACACGTCGCACACACAACACAAACACACAGCTGCAAATCGAACAAACATCTCTGAATTGTACAGTAACCAAGTACCTTCATGGCCATGGAAGTATCGGCTCCTCTCCGCTGTGGCGACTAGAAATTCAGAACCAGGCAGCCGCTCTTATGGACCGGTCTTTCTTTGTGCAGCTGGCGCACACGAAAGCTCATCAGCGGTGACAAATGGACGTGTGGAGGTGACAACAAGAGAGGCTTATTTTTTGTCGCGGTGATGTGTTCTATGAGCAACGAATAAGCCGAAAAATATTTGGGTTTTGACGAGAGGAGGTGGTGGAGGAGGCGGCTCGATTTATAGCCGGCGCCGCGCGTGGCATCGCGAGGCCGAGCCAGAGAACGCGTCATCCGAAATAAAAAAAAAAGGTAAATGCTCGCTCGCAGACCGACGACCCGGCGCTACCCGAGTCGCGCGTCGTACGCGAGAAAACACCAAAAGGGCCCATACTTTTGCCCAAAAATGGGGTCGCGACGTTGGCGGCAACGGGGCAAAGGAAGCCGCGGCGAAGGGGGCCGAGCCATCGTGCGACGCGCAGCGAAACACTACAGTATGCGAGCGACCACGTGGTGTGCGGCGTGATCGCAACCGGGAATTCCTTCTGTTCCGGCGCAGTTTGGATGGGGAGGCCCTGTGACCGGTGACGCGATCGGGTCAAGCTCGAGTCGTTGTCGACGTATGAATCTTGACTGACTTGGGGGAGCTGTCAGAAATGAATTACTATGAACTACTGTAAAAAAAATTGATCTAGAATAGAATTAGATATTTTTTTAGTATAACGAATCTAGATAAGGATTTTTTTTTCTTTTTATGGATGGAGTATATCGCGAGCTGTCAGTGCTCATCAGTGGGTGTGTGCATGCAGTTTGCAGTGGTATTTGATTAGTGAATGGTTTAGTCCAACTCCGACATTGACACTCGGTTACTACTGCTACTAGCCGCCAACCAGACACGACCAGTGACAGAATGAGAAAGTTTTGAATGCTGCTCCGTTGGGCTCGAAGACTTTCACCATTCAGAAAATGTTACAATCGCTACTGTTTCATCAAGGAGAGGGACGTGAGAGGACTTTGTATCTCCCAGCAATTATACCAACGTGCATGAAGATTAAGGGCGAAGGAACGATTATTGATCACATGTTCAAACAACCTTATGAATCTATCCATCGTGCCTGCGTGAGTGCGTCCATCCGTCAGCTTATGAAGAAATCAAACCAAACCATACAAAACTGCTTGCTCAGGGCGCGCCGCATGCCTGAAAAAATCGCGACAGAGGAAAAATAGTTGGATGCGGTGCGTTTTCCAAGCTGCACGTTCACTTCTTCCCCCTTTTGATCGAAAAGCCGTGATCTGGATGAAAAGCCATCGAGAACGTCCTCACAAACACCGGCGAAAAGAGCAGCTTTGGAGAATCCGATCCGATCTCGAACACCGTGCAACAGAAAGATTCTCGCCGCGTTGATCTGAATTCTGAAAGAAATGTACACGATTCTTTCTGTTCGTCCTTCCCAGCCTCCCAGGAATAGTAGTGCCTTGCAAAACAAGATCATATCGCCGTCAAAAAAGGTAGCACATGCCTTTAGTTCCGTCCAATTTGAAATTATTCAGACGTTCAGTGATCCATCTTCCACAGACAAAATAAAATTGGAACCGGTCAGTCTCAGAAATGAGCTAATCAGCACTACTAGATCGTGGAGTGGTCAAATTGTGACCCAACTCTGAAGCTGGAGTCCAACTTCCAGCTAGCCTCGCACGAATAGGATATCCAGTTGACCAGCTCTAAATTGGCGTGCTTAAGCACCCCTGCTACTGTGCTAGTAGTACTGATCTAGTGTTAGACCCCTGCTACTATACAGATTATTACTGATATAGTGATCTGCATGATGGTGATAGCTATTAGACGGTGGATTTGTAACCGCCGGAAAAATCAAAAGATTGGTTACCGAAAGCTCCCTGAAATCGGAGTAAAAAAATGCCGGTCACAGTCCGTAGCTTATAGTGGATCATGTCTTAATCCATTTTAGCGTCCATCAAGGACCACGCACTGGGATATTATTAGGAATTTTGTACAGTAAACCTGTAACTAACATAAACAAACTTGAGAGCGACAAGGTAATTGATGAGACCGCCATCATCCCAGGCTTCTATTTCCGGTCAATCTGATGCAAATAAGCTTAGCCCTTTGGCTCCTTGTCGAACAAAACAATCCCAAATCCAGATGGTCAAATTGTACATCTAGAAGTTGAATTTCGTGTTTTGCTGTGTTGAAACGATTACTTTCGTGCCATTGAACTATCGTATTGCATCGTTTCACACCTGTTGACACAGAACATTTATAAGATATTTTGAGAGAAAAATGTATGTGTATTTATTGATTATCCTTGCCCTGCACCTGCACGCTATAGACTATAGAATTTTGCACGGCTGAATAATTGAATTGACAAAACAAAATAAATAAAACGATTCAAACAACATGCAACTTGTCCTTAAAACTTTAGGGTTAGGCGAAAAGCAGATAGCTACAACCACGCAACTACCTCACCGTTGGAGTTTATCCACCTGAAAACATATAATTTTTTAGTGCAAAACCGGTCAAGCGTGTTCACAGTGCACAGCCTGTTTCAGCTTGTTAATTAAGCTCCTGCAGCCTGGAGGCTCTTTCACGTTGGCCAGAGCAAATGGAAATTTTATACTAGTAGTACGGAAGATAATTACACACTTGCCGCAGTGCCGCTGAATGGCGAGTGCAGGCCAGCGTGATCGAACTGATCCAACCTTTTCTTCGAGAGAAGAATTCAACCGGCTTTTACTGAGTTTATTCACATCGACAAAGTGGTGATTCTTTTTTGCCGTTTCTAAACCGGTGAACTGTATCTGACGACTTCTAACTAATCCTGAAGCGTGCTTTCAGATGTGAGAACCACAGTGATTGATTGCAGTAAACATTGGGAAAACACTGGCAACATGATTCATTGTTTCAGTAAAGAGCGCACACACTAGTTCTGCGGTAAATTTTGACATATGGATCTGGAGTTTCTTCTACAAAACAGAGATGCTTGGTTAGTTAAAATGAGTGGCAGTAAATTTGACATATGCTTGAGGACAATTAGAAAATCATTTCTTGAATGAATAAAATCAGTATTTTCTTGAACTACACAGTTCATACTCTGCTCCGGTGCAGGTCAGAGCTACAGCTACCCCCTCGTCTAGTCGTCTTCATCGGCGTTCTAGCCGAGCTCAAGCTCCGGCAGAGGCACCGGCGAGGTGCATGCTGGGAGGCTTCCGCGCTGTCTTGGTGCGGCGCCGTCTCCGGCAGAGGCGCCGGCGAGCATCGCCGCATCGGAGCCCCACCGTGTCGTTGCTCTGGATGCGCGATATCGGCGGCAGTGAGCTCGCGTCGTTGCGGCAACGCAGAGCGGCGTGATGGCGGCGTGTCGGGGCACAATTGGGCCGTACATAGGCCGGATTTTTCTTGGGCCGTACATGGACCGGAATCACAATCCGGGACAACTTTGTTGGGCCCATATAGCCCACGTAGAACGTGCGGCCCATACAGGATGGTGGAAGACCAGCCCTACTACTGGAGTACTGGCCCGAGGTTTCCAGGCCGACGGCGGCGAGGTTTCCCCGGCGAATCCCCCATGGCAGCGGTGCCCTCCGCCGCCGCGCCGCCGGTTCCGGTCTCCCCCGGCGAGAGATGGCCGCCGCTCGAGTCGAGCCCCGACGTATTCAACCAGGTTCCGCCTCCCCCCCCCCTTGGCCATCGCTTCGGTTCACTGCCTCTCTGACCTAGCGCCTCGCCCTCGCCGTGCCGGCGACGCGCTCGCACGGGGCGCGCAGCTCATGTGGTCGCTGGGTGTCCCGGAGGACGTGGCGGAGTTCCACGACGTGTACAGCCTCGACGCCGATGCGCTGGAGATGGTGCCCCAGCCTGTGCTCGCCGTCGTCTTCTGCTTCCCCGATCCAACCCAGGTGCATTCATCACTTTGCTCCAGAATTTGTTTTCTGTTTCGCGAGTTTTGAGAAAAATCAGGGGCTCGATCTCCGCTCACCCATACAAATGCATAATGTTTCCTGATTTGCCTTCTACAACCGTGTAACTCCAATATAAGTGGATGATCAATGATCATCTTGCGATGTGTCTTAACTGAAACTATGTATACTGCTGTGAGGGTCAAGTTGGAGCTTATATCTGTTCCTTCGCATAGCCGGTTAGGTCGCGTGTCTCAATTTTTTTGACTTGGCTTCCGTGTGCTCGACTAAATTCGATGCTACACCCACGTCAGTACTCTTAAATATCATTTTCAGGAGTTGTTCTTCTCAAAAAGGACCATTGAACACTATATCTCTTTGTCATCATTGAAATCTCTCCAGATTAATGTACAAGTTCCAGACTTCAGTGCTTCATATGCTGTATAGACATGAGATCACTGAGGTGCTTCAGTGATTGTTTTAATGTTGTTACTATACCCCCATTGCTTCACAAGAGTGCCCAAAAACTAGTTTTGTGGCATGTTTGACCTGTTGAGGAGAGATAAAATGGCCATGACCTTTGTTATGTATGTTTGACATCTCTAATAAGCTATAATTGGGGCAGAAGGTTCACTATTTAATATCTCCATTTATATATTCTGTCAGATATTCCCTGGTTGTTAGGTGCATAATCTTATATAAAAGGGTAATAGAACCTCTATGGCTCTATGCATTTATAGTTCAACTACTCTGTGATATACGCATCTCAACCAATAATTAAATGTGTTTTTTTATGATGATATATGGACATGTTGATTGTTTCTGTGAAATGTGTGTAAAGAATCTCTCTCTTTTTAATGTACATTTACTAGCTTAGTACTATTATGGGTTTCAGCCTTTACTTGATTTACACACTTAGCCCTACTTCGGTGCAGGATGCAAGTAATCCTTCACAGCATCTTTTAATTACTGGAGAGAAGGTGAGCAAATGTGTTTTTGGCATGATAGTGCCACCTGAAAGGGCTATAGCTTCACGTAAAGAGTGCTACATTTTGTTTCTTAATTATAACAGGGTCCTTAATCCTGATAGTTTTACACCAATCATCATGGTTGCCTTTAATCATACATGTTTCTTTCATGCCTTCTGCAACAGGAAACTTTGTTTTTCATAAAACAAATTGAATCACTAGGAAATGCTTGTGGAACTATTGCGCTACTTCATGCTGTTGGAAATGCATATTCAGAAATCAGTTTGTGTAAGGTCACTCCCGTACAATGATTTCACTCTCCATTGTCCCCCATTATTTTTAAAGGAATCTTATCTATTCTTTTGTAGCGGAGAATTCTTTCTTGGACATGTTTATCAAATCAACATCTGGCATGACTTCATACGAGGTTCCTATCACTCGACTAAAATGGTTCTATTTTCCTTTATCACTCTCACAGTATTTTCATGTCTATATTATTATCATATGCCATGCTTTTACAGCGTGCTGTGTTTCTTGAGAAGGATGATGACATGGCAAGAGCTCACTTATCGGCTGCCAGTGCCGGTGACACAAAGGTACTTGTTCTTTGCTTGTGTGAGCTGGGATTTTTATCTGAAAAACTAAGGCTCCATTCGTTTCCACTTAAAAAAGTGGATTAAGTTTTGGATATTCGTGGCACGCTTTTCAAACTGCTAAATTGTGCATTTCGTGTGAAAACTTTCTATAAGAAAGTTGTTCTAAAATATAAGATTAATCCATTTTTCAAGTTTGCAATAATTAAAACTCAATTAATCACACGTTATTACCACCTCGTTTTGCGTGAAACACTTAATCTTCATCTTCATGAGATTCAAACACCACCTAAAACGTCCCGCGGAGAATAGGATGGCACCTGTATTGCTGTATCATACTTACTGGTTTTTCATAACTACAAATACTGAATATAGAACATAAACATAATACTTTTGTAAATAATTCCTTTCCTCTTTTCATTGAGTATATAATTTAATACTTCTCTCATTTCTACCAGCTATCTGATGACGTTGAAGAGCATTATATATGTTTTGTCGAATGTGATGGTAAGTCTGTAATAGATATATCTGCTTCCATTCAATTGTCAGTTTTACTTGCATTTGTATATTAGTAAGGAATACCATTCGTTTGTAGGAACACTCTATGAGCTTGATGGTATGAAGCCTGGACCAATAAATCATGGCCCATCATCCTCTAAAAGCTTACTGCAGGTACTGCAATTTTGTGAATTGGGTGTTGCAGCTGTCATGTCTCAGAATAGAACATGATTCATATTTGGATGTAGCTTTTAATTATTAGAGATTCACACTGTCTGGCAGTACTATATACTAGTGCCTATTGGTTGTTTTGTTGCTTGTTTGCATTTGCAATTGCTTCCCTCCAGGCTCGTAAAATGCAGTGACCATTTTATTGAATTAGGATGCTGTGAATATCATTAAGGCCACCATGCACAACATTCCCAACTCGGTGAACTTCAACGTAATAGTGCTATCAAGAAAAGCAGAGTAAAGCAAAACAGAGCTTTTTCAGATAACTGATTGAGGCCATAAAGGTGAAGGGCTATCTAGTTCAGCAAATTACACAGACTTCACACTCGTTCTGTCTTCTACTTGAACTACCTTGAGCTGCCACGGTATGTTTTTACTCTCGAAGGGCATTCAGATTTGTCATTTTAGACATTTAAGTTATGCCTCAGTGGCCATCAGTTCTTGTTTGTTTTAGTGAGAGAAAACCTGAGCCTGTCATAATTTAATGCCAAATGAAAGTAAGGGCAAGTAGATTCCTAATGCACTGCTGTTGAACTAGCAATTCTCTTTTGGAAACTTACAATCAGGACATGTAGAAAACATGCTGAATTTCGATTACCAGCCAGGATTTAGCAAAAATATCCCGTTACTTTTAACTATAAAATATCCACAGGTCTACCAGGAAGAAAATTATCGTCGTGAGTCAGAGAATGTATACATCACAACTTTCCATGAATAATCGACTGATCCAACATGACTATTGGTAAACGTGCTGTCATGTCTACTATAATCTACTACAAAATTATGGATCTTGCTGAACCCACTAAAAATCTCTTGCCCAATTCATTCCCGCAGCAGATTCACTCAGCATCTGGACCTCAAATTTAATAAAGTTTCAGTTACCTAGGAGATGGGCTTGCCCATGCCCATCCAGGAGGGATGCACCAGCTGATCAACCAGCTGCGACATATTTCACCTGTTGGCCCTGTAGCTGCTCCCTTTCTCCCTTGATCGGCTGATCGCAATGCAACAAGACACCTTTCTATGTCTATTCTCTGGTCAGTTCTGACGTACTCCCTCCGTCCCTTAATATAAGGGATTTTGACATTTTACTCGCACTGTTTGACCATTCATCTTATCCACAAAATTTTGGAATTATTATTTTGTTTGTGACTTACTTTATTATCCAAAATACTTTAAGCACAACTTTCCGTTTTTTATATTTGCGCAAATTTTTTTGAATAAGACGAGTGGTCAAACAGTGCAAGAAAAATATCAAAATCCTTTATATTAAGGGACGGGAGTAGTAGTCTAGTCAGCATGAGCCCGTGGCCATATCTTGTCTTAAGAAAGATTAAAGTAATCGTACCATTTTTTTTCTTTCTCTTCTTCAGCTATTTCTCAAACCAGCATGGTGACTTGACATTTACACCGCCTAATATCGCTCACTCATTGCCACTTCTGATGCAACGTTATTCTGAATCTCTTCAATAATATATTGACCTCATTGTGAATTTATGATAAAAGGAAGTACGCTAAGAATGTTTGCTACACCATTCCCTTGCTATCAAATGTGAGCGCCTTCTTTCATTTTTATATGCCATTTCGTCCTAGCGCTTTTTGTTTCTACCTAGCTCTTTTATCAATCGCCATTATATATCATTTAGTATTTATTTGCCCAAGTGCAAGAACAATATTAGCTGTAAAACAACAACGGTACTATATATAAAAAATCAGTGTTCTCTTCTCATATACACCATTCATCTTTAAAAAAAATCAATTCTTGAGGATAAATCTGGATAAACCATGTTCATGTTCTTCATGGTGGCTGAATGAAGTGACTTTCTCACTACTCCCTCCGTCCCAGAATATAAGAAATTTTAGGGTTGGATACAGTTATTAAGAAAGTAGATATAAGTGAGTGGTGGGGGGTTGTGATTGGATTAGTGGTAGAGGTAGATAAGAAAAAAGTAGATATAAGTGAGTGGTGGGGGGTTGTGATTGGATTAGTAGTAGATGTAGGTAAGAAAAGTGAATGGTGGAGGGTTGTGATTGGTTGGAAGGAGAATGTTGGTGGAAAAATTGTTATATTTTGGGACAAATCTTGAGGGCTAAAAGTTGTTATATTTTGGGACGAAAGGAGTACTCACGTCGACCACTCATTTGCATCAACTTGACGTGTCTCCAGTTGTTATTTGTTGGTACTCCGTACATAGAAATATCAGAAGGCCCCCCATTCTTTATGCTTGAAAAATGCAAACCTTAGGCCAAGTTTAGTTCTAATTTTTTTTTTAAACTTCTAACTTTTCCATTACATCAAAATTTTCCTACACACACAAACTTTCAACTTTTCCGCCACATCGTTCCAATTTCAACCAAACTTCCAATTTTAACGTGAAAACAAACCCTTACAGTCTTACACACTCTGGTGCACATGCATATACCCAAATTCATGCATTCCGCGTCGCCGCCGCGGCGATTGTGTCCAGAGAAAAGAGCAATTTTGGCGCCTACCGGCAAATAAAGAAGTCCTGGAGACCATGCGGATGAGGCGATGGTGCCCTCCTGCCCAGGTTCATTCCCGTGGCAGATTCACTCGGCATCTTGGTCCTCAAATTTAATCAAGTTGCAGGAGAGAAGTGTGACCACGCCCAATGAATCAATTACTCACGGCTCATTGGTTCCGTCCTTCCAGGAGGGATGCATCAGATCAGCTGATCAACCAGCTGCGACAAATTTCACCTGTTGGCACTGTTGCTGTTGCTCATTTTCTCTCGTTTATGGCAATGCAACAAGACACCTTTCTACTACTATGTCTGTTCTTTGGGCTTTGTTAGTACTGACACAATATATTCTAGTTGATTGATACTCCTAAAATCCTCTATTACTAAGAGCATCCGCAATGGTAAAGTAAGGTGCTATCTATAAAATATGTACATCTCAGCAATATACTAGATTAATAGTAAATCATCTCAATAGTATGTCTACATGGGTATCTATAGCTCTTTAATACATTGCCTCGTTTTTCTCTATAGACTATCTCCAGGTTACTAGATAACTTTGTTCTCTCTCTCTCTTCATTTAATCTCTTCCAAGTAGGAAAATATGCTGACATGGATCTCTTATAGAGCCTATAGATAACCATTGTGGGTGCCCTAATCAACTCGAGCTCTTGGTAGTAGCTTATCCGATCAGGAATCAACTGAATCTGGTGAGGCACTGAAACTCAGTCGGCTAGAAAGCCGAACAGCCGTCTCCTAGCACCTGTGACCTTGTGGTTGTGGGTACCTTCCCTTGTTCTTGACACTTTTTATTTCTTTAGAAAGCCTTTCGATATTTCTTTGGCAGGGATGTTCCGGTCATGCTTATCCTAACATATGTTCCAGAAATGTGGTAAGACAATACTCCCTCCGTCCTATATGGTAAGACTTTCTAGCATTACCATATTCATATAGATGCTAATGAATCGAGACACATATGTATATTTAGATTCATTAGTATCTATATGAATGTAGCCAATGCTAGAAAGTCATACATTATGAAACGGAAGAAGTAGATCATATGGATTTAAGTTTGTTGCATACTCGGGGGAGGCATTAGCAGGGTGACGATGTTGTCGTGGGACGTGGGTATTGATTTCACCTATCAAAAGTTCAAATCCTAATACCCACAAATATTACAAATTAGCGAGGGCGCTTCCGGTTGGAATTTAGTAAGGTCAAGGATTTGTAATGGTTTTCATCTCTTTAAACGTGTGTGAAGAGGCACATTTCACAAGTGTATGAGTATGATGCATGTGTTTTCTGTGTAATAAAAAAAAGTTATTACACACTTCTGACAAGTTTTAGAATGGTCGGTTGAACACCCAAACTTTCTACGTCAAATGTAAGATTTACCAGTTTTTTTTTCATAAGGCATACAAACTTTTTTTTTTCATACGATCACCCCACGTATTGGACTTAATATCTTGTCTAGTTTAGTCCAGGGTGTAGTCACCATTTTGCTCGCACGAATTTTCTGTGGCTCTTATCTAATGTTAGACGTGGCAAGATTAGCCATCAACCAAACACCTCGTCAATAGCAGAGAGGGTGTGATGTCACCGTGTTAAATTTTGACAATAAACCAAACAATAGCCAAAAAGGTGATCAAATTTGGTTAAAAAGTGTGATAAACTACGCCAATGGGACCAAAAGGACCTCAGAAGTATCTTCCGCTGAAAAAGTATCAAAAAAATTCACAAAAAGGGAATTACCAGCGAAAAGAAAACTAAGAAAAGTTTAAAGCACCGTATCCTGTTTTATTTTCTCTTTCTTGGAGCACTTTTGTTTTTATCTAATAACGATGATTACCTGCTCGTTGAGAAAAGTTCTCTATTTGTTCTTTGCCACTCGCTACAACATGGGAAGTGTGCTACTATTCCAACACTTGGAGTACTATTTTTACGCAATAACGATGATTACCTGCTCGTTAAGAAAAGCTTTCTACTTGTTCTTTGCCACTCGCTACAACATGGGAAGTGCTAGCACTACTATTCTAACGTGGAAAAGCAAGGCTGTTGCTTTCCCCCCCTTGAAACTGAAAAAAAAAGGAGCCATTTTGTCATGTCCCAGAATCCAAAACCGGAAACCCCCCCTCTGCATCGGCAGGTCTCCTCCCCCCAACTTTGCCGCGGGATTCGTCGTCTCCATCACCACCGTGAGCAAAAGACCCACCACCACAAGTCACCCCCAACTCCGCCTGAAAAACAAGCATTATCCAGGGATAGACAGAGAGAGAAAGCAAAGCGGGATGCACCCAGCGGCAACTCGCAGGCTGAGGGAGGAATAACAAAATGTTCGGCAGGCAGCAGGGTCACTCATCACAGTCACAGATCGACGGCGACACAGCTGGTGGCCACTATCTTGGATCGAAATGGCCTGCACCTGTAGCTGCTCATCTGGACTTACTAAGCATGCACTACTACGAAGTAAGTAGTGGTAGTAGTAGTTGTGTTGTGTGTGCATACGCAAACGCAACGCAAGATGAGGAGGTGAGCCAATTGCCTGCTCCTGGACAGAATCGCCCTGAAAAGCCCCAATATTGATTTGGCCGATACAAGATGGTCTACGTGCAGGGGATTTACCCGCTGCCCAGTTGGCTCTATGCCATGCCGCTTTCAGTCTCTCTGATGCTGCAGATTCATCAGAGCTTATAAATACTTGGGCATCTGTGCTGTGCTGGAGGCATCCTGTGTTCTCAGGAGGTAGTAGTGCAGTGCAGTGCAGTGTAGAGACCTGTCCTCTGTGTTGTTTGCTCTCAAGCTCGCCGGAGAAGATAGAAGGGTGGCATGCCCGCCGTGGCCGGGAGCTTGTACATGGCGAGCCAGCACAAGGGAGTGCCTCCGCCGCTGCCGCCGCCGCCGCGGCCATTGCCGGTGATCAACCTGGGCCGGCTCACCATGGACAGTGCCTCGCGGGCGCTCGCCGTGCGGGATATCGTGCTGGCGTGCCGTGAACGTGGCTGCTTTGAGGTTAGTGCTGCTTACTTGTCACCACCCTGCATCCTCCTCTGCTTGTCCTGTCCTCCAACACCTGTCAGTTGTTATTACACATGCATGTGATACCAGACACAAGAATGTTTTGCTTACACGTACTCTCTCTTTCTCATAAAAAACGAATCTAGTACCGGATGTGACATGAATGTTTTGCTTACACGTAGTACGTGAAAAGGAAGCTGCTGCCAACTCATGAAAATGAGTAACAAAACTGCATCTGCATGCGAAACTGACGAACGCCAGATATACCAGAGACAGCTGATAGACCATTGTGCTCGACTTACCTGCAGGTGGTGAACCATGGCATCAGCAGGTCTTGCATGAATGGCGCCCTCGAAGCCGCCTCCGAGTTCTTCCAGCTATCGACGGAGCGCAAGGAGGAGTTCGCGTCGGACGACATCCGGCAGCCCATCAGGTACGACACGAGCTCGAGGGACGGGATCAGCATGTCCAGGTCATTTCTGAAGCACTATGCCAATCCCCTGGACGACTGGATCAAGTTCTGGCCGACGCAGCCACCAACTTACAGGTAACCTGCAACCGCAATGCAGAGATCATCCACATTAGCACAGTGGTGAGTGATCACTGGATGCATCTTGACAACCATCCTAACTTGTGTGACAAATGGCACACCAGGGAGAAAATGGGTGAGTACGCCGTGGAGACGCAGCGAGTGTCAATGCAGCTCATGGAAGCAATCCTGCAGGGCCTGGGATTAGGGCCATCGTACCTGCAAGAAAAGCTTGAAGGAGGGGTGCAGTTCGTGGCCTTGAACAACTACCCGCAGTCATCGGCGAAGAAAGCCGACAAGATCGGCTTGGCTCCTCACTCTGATTATGGCTTCCTCACCATCCTGTTGCAGAGCTCCCCAGGGCTTGAGGTGATGCACCATGAGGATGATGCCTGGACATCTGTCCCTGCTATCCCTGGGGCTCTCCATGTCCATGTAGGAGACCACCTGGAAGTGTTGAGCAATGGCCAGCTCAAGTCCCTTGTCCATCGAGCCGTTCTCAACCCAAACGAGTCAAGGATTTCTATTGCCAGCATCCATGGTCTCTCGATGGATGAAGAGGTCCACTGCGCCGAAGAGCTCGTCGATGAACACCACCCCAAAATGTACAGGGGAAGCAGCTTCCAGGACTTCCTGGACTTCCTGCCAGCAAACATGAACAGGTATAAGAGGTATGTCGAGAGCCTCAGGATCGACAAACCCTGAAGAGGAACAGTGGTAGTGCTGTATCAGAACATATATAGCAAGATGGCATTATTCGGATAAAGTATTTAAACCACCTAAAAACTCCTACTTCGGGAAGTTTGTTCGACTTTATGTTGGATTGTTGGTCAAAGAAAAAGTGATGTCAATCTGTACTGTGCAACACTGTAACACATGTAATCAATATTTAGTTATACATCCTTAGTAACTATAGCTACAAGAGTACGTACAGTTAGTTGTGCCTTGGTGCTCAGTACCTTCTTGCTTAGCATTCGATAAAAGTTTGGAGTGATTTTACACTAAATTTCTTGCCGAGGAGGTATTCAGAGAATTTGGTACATCTCAGAACCTCAGGTACCTCTCAAGAATCATAAATTTTATCTACAACAAAATAGTACTGACAGAGAACTTGACATAATCCTTGTATTGCATTTTTTTTAACCACATACTTTCAGTGACATAGTTCCTTTTTTTCTCAATCAAGGCAGCACAAGAAATAGGAAGGACAGGATCCCAAATACCCAACGCTCCTGAATTTCATGCTTTTCAATGGTACCCTGTTATTTTCAGCTCCTACTACTAGATTATCACCAGCACGCTTCCAAGCTTCTAAACAATGAGATTTTTTGGAAAAACATTATACACAGAGATTTCTTAGAATACTTTTTAAAATGCATTTGTCAACTTTTAAATATTTAATTCATTCATTCATTTGTGCCCTCGAAAAGTTGCTGAAAAATCAAAATAATCTATGATCTAGCTAGTGGGTAGTTCAAACAGCAACACTGAATTTCTATGCATCAGAACGAAAAAGGTGAGTCCCAGTTGTCAAAATGTCGTCAGGATTCTCCTGCAACGAACTCAGTGAGACGACGAAAATGGGAGATCACTCGCAGATAACGTTTTGCAAGCTCAATTTGCAGATGCCACCACTCTGACAACGACAGTGGCATGCGAAGGCAGCAGCCAGCAGGGAATGCAAAACGGCGGCGACGTTTGCAGCAGTTGAAAGGCAAAGCAGGACAAGGTTGACATTAGCATCGCCGTAGCACTAGTGTATGCAGCTATCAGCTATCTCATCCAATCCATCCACAGGTCAAGTAGTCGATGTGTTGGCCGACAAAAGCGAAAGTGTGAAAGGGTTGCTGTAGATGCAGTCTCAATCTTGTGAACGTCAAGATTTTGTTCTGATTCGGGCTTTGAGTTGGAGAAAATTCAAGGTTGCATATATGAGCACTGCCGCTCATATGTTCAATCTTGGGTGTATACAGGATGTCGGTTTTTTTTTTTTGTCAGGGGAAATTTCTCCGGTGTACAATGGACGATCAAAATGAAGGAAGGCGTCTAATTTAACACCGCCTTTCTTCAAAGAAGATATAACAAGGAAGCTGTCGGCATAAATATCAGGAGTACAATTAAGATTTATTTTTTATAAAAGTTATAATAGATTAAAACCCGATGTCTACGTTCAACACGGATGTAACGGCTAAAGGAATACAACATCAACATGAACTGTTTTGCTGAGGAGGATCGAGTACCGACTAGGACGATCTTAAGCCTGATTAGGCATAACAAAACAGTTTAATCAGACATGCCTAAAAATATCTGAATAGATTCAAGCGAAGAGATGGCTTTTTTGGCTACGAAGTAAGATTTTGCTTAAAGGCTTTGGAAAACAATAAACAAAGGGGTGCTGTCTTTTTTCGCAGATTTTTCACAAGATAATGGCTTCGACTGTCGCCTCAGAAAAAGAAAAACAAATGGCGGCTACTATATATTTAAGGAGAACACGTGGGATTCGCGTGTGGCGCAACGTGGTCTGATGGGATTGCACGTGTCGCCCCTTGAGCGGCCCAAGCACTGGTTGCTCACTGGAGTGCTGACCAGTGACCAGTGACCAGCGACCAAACTGACCATTGGCCGAATTCCCGCGAACAAGAGAGCGAAAAACTCAGAAAAGAATCGACAAGAGATGACTACCGGTATACTACCAAGAAGGAGAAGAAATCAACGAGAAAGCAGATTAGCAGACACATGGAACTAGATTGGAGCTGACCAGCATTACTAGCAGGGGAACCCATTGCAGCGAGAGACAGATCAGATAGAAGAGAAGTGATAGACAGATGATGGAAGAGGAGAGAAGCAGCCAGTGTGAGTGTGTGTGTGACTGTGCGAGAAAAATGGCTGACCTTTCACTCAGACGAGGCCTCTCCTCTGGCTGCCACTCTGCTGCTTCGAGCTGCTGGTGCGGCTTCGTTTTCTCTCGTCTCCTCTCCAATCCTGGCGCTCCTCCGGAGCTGGAAAGGGCAGCTCCACCTCCACGCCCTCTTTTATATGCCCCGGTGTCGCACAGTGCTACGCTGCTGCCGAACCGGTCAGACTCACAAGGGCGGAGGCTGAGGCAGGGCAGGGCCCCCGTAATCCGGGAGACGGGGGGCGAATGGGACGTGCGGCGCCAAAAAGACGCGAGCACAGGTCGCGCGGGTGGTATACGTGTTGCCTCCCCCGCGCGCCGCGTGACGTTGCTGAGACAGCGGGATATTTTGGTCGCCCGGGTCCTGATTGACCGAGCGGCGAGGCGTGGCTACTTGAAGGAGACGGGAAAGATGGATGCGTCGCACCCGTCGCGGGGGTCAGGTTCTGCTCCTCTGCAACCACTACAACTAGAAGAACCTGGTACTTCATGTAGGGTGTGTTTTAGACGGAGGGTTGTAAGATAGAACATGGCGACCTGTTTGGTTGGTGGGCGGTCTAGAGGGAAATATTCCCCAGATACCGGATAGAGGGATCCAACCAAAACCAATTTAACCGGATACAGCCGTCCGAGCGCTCAGGGCGGGCGGGGCGAGCGTCAAGGTGGGTCGCACCACCTATCTCACCATGCGACAACAGCGATGATGCAAGTGAGGCGGTGGCCACGGTGGGTGACGAGCGCGGCGACGGTGGGACGCGATGTAAAAGTTAAATTTTAACTATTCAAACTTAATTTTGATATTAACTTTAAGATATTTTAATTTACTAATACTTTTAAGTCACTAAGAATATATGTATAAAATTTTTATATAAAAATTTAATTTTTTATTTTTTAATAAGTTGTTTTGGTTTATTAGGGAACGTAGGTGACCGATGAGGTTGTTAGCTGTTACCTGTGCGGACAGCCGCTGCTGCAGATTTGCGTGGTGTGACATTCCTGACAAACCAGGCATTAGCTGGGTTTGTGGGTTTTCTCATAAGTTTAATCTCTATATAAAAAAAATCAGTGCATAAGCTATACTACTCATTCCGTCTTAAAATACAAATACTTTTAGCTATGAATTTAGGCACATGTATATATAAATTTACAGCCAAAAAATTGTTATGTTTTGCGAGAGGTAGTAGTAGAAATGAGCTCTTAATTTTAGGAGGTGGCCGTATACACACCCTTGTTGGTGTATAAGCCGGGTTTTATAAATTCTCATTATACGAAAGAAATAAGTTCTTAATAACTTAATATTGAAGGAAATAACTTTGAAATGGGTCCAATTTGCAAAATGTCCTTATAAATGGAAGTGAGTAGTTTGTTTTTTCAAAATCCTTTTAGGACGGAAGGAGTAGTTTTTAAGTTGCAGAAGGGAAACATGGAATACCTGCTGGTCTGATAATAGGCCGAAAGCCCAAGAAGAAATCAGATCCGTTATGCTTGGGAGTCCAAGCTCATCCACGCTGAGCCACAAACAATCCAGCCCAAAGCCCAAACAGCCTATCTCCTACGGCGGCAGCCGGCGCGGCGACCAGTCGTCGCCGCCGGCCCCCTTTCCTCTCCGGCGCAGGCGAGGGGGGAGCAGATCGGGTAGGCGGAAAGCTGTCGTCATTCCCCCGCCGCATCGCGGCGAACGGCGCGGGCGTGGCAGCCTTGGGGTTCGCGGGACGACGCGCCCCCGACGCGCGCCTGCTTTGAGATTGATGCCACTCGTGGGCTCGTGGCTCGACTGCATCGGTGGTGCCTGCGCACACGGCGCACCCCGTGAAGGCTTCGCGCCTTCGATCCGCTGCTGAGGTACGGCCGCTTCCTCTTCGACTCCCCTTTCGAATTCGTTCGTTTGGAATTTGAAATCCATCCATGGGGAGATTGCGGTTCATCCTTGTTCGGTCTTAGCTGTTTATGCAGATTATGTGCCCAAGCTTGCTTGGGAATCGTTTCCCTTCGATTTAAGTCGAGCAGCGGTAGTTTTTGGATTTGCTGTGCTAAGAACTTCCTTCTAATTGGATTTTGCTAGCGTTTTAGAAAGCATAAATTCAATCAAAATCCCGTTTACATAATGAGCTGTCTGTGCAAGACCCGTAGTTGTGAATTGTAAGTTAGTAACCTCATTTTTTTCTTTACAAAAGAGTAGATTGGAATAGCACAGCGGTCAACTCAAAAACCCAAATTTTGTAAATGGCATGCTTAATATATATAATGGAATTACACATTGGGACATGTAAACCACACATGCACTTTAAATTTTGAAATATATTCGATCCTAAAAGTTGTAGATGATGGCTAAAGATAATTACATGCGTTTCTCTGAAAGAAAAACCAACTGACTCTTATTAGACTGGAAATGGACACCTGGCAGCCAAGATATGGCTTGTATTGATGATGATGATGATGATGATGATGATGATGATGATGATGCTTAGGATTTCAACATGCCAAGATAAACTTTAGCTTGATCTGCTTCTCAATACCATAGAACCAATTGGCCTACATGATTGGGTGATGTTAAAATCTCATACCATAAAAACAAATTACATGACCATGTATATAACCACAAGGTATATAATTGAGCACTTCTGGTCTGGATTTGCTCCTTATAGATGGTTACATCATTTTTCTTAACAAAAAAGACGTGAATATTAGGGAAGGACCTAATATCAAATAATTAGAAGGGGTGAAACTTCGAATCCAGGTCGTCTAGCCCACCACCTTGTGGAGCTAGCCGGAAGACTCCTAGGCGTTTCTCACATCATTTTTCTTAACGTGATTACCTTCTGTACTTCACTCTTTTCATTGTTTCTCATTCATAAATCTTTATTCTTCCTTAATTCCTTGGCTCTTAAATGTAAAAATTTTATATGGATGACAGTGTCCACCAAGAAAAAATAAACAAAATGAATAAATGTGTCCCTTTCATACGGAGTAGTTAATACAAAGTCCTAGCTTAAATGGCTAACAGCAGGAGCCCTATTGTTATTGTATATTTTTTACACGGTTGGTTTTCCTTACCTTCTACAGACCCATATCAATACCGTATGATGGAAAGGAAAAACAACTTGACAGTAAACAAGTTAGTAAAACTAGATCAAAATGGTACAAAATAGACTAATTAAAGACGCAGCATTAGTCTGAAACAGATAGGGATAAACTGTTGGGAGACATATGCACATCGTACTACCTACTTTTGGACGTAAAGTGAAGACCGTACCGTGAATGTGCCCCTTACATTCTAAGGCTCTCAAGAAAGTTCCTTTGCCTGTTGTCCATATTGGCAGTGAGATGCTCTAGGAAGTCATTAAAGCTGTTTTCTTTGTACTTTTGTGGATTTTCCTCGTCGACCAGCTCTTTGGCACTGGAGACCTTCTCATGCAGTGCAAAACCATGAATGCTAGCGAGAGAAATCCTTGCTTCTTGAGGATTCAGAACAGCGCGGTGCACAACAGTCTTGATTCGGCCATTGCTTAGAACTTCCATGTGGTCTCCTACATGGACATGCAATGCATGTGGGAGTTGCTGGACCACTTTCCAGCTGTTGCTGCTGCGGTCAACAACCTCAAGGCCCTGACAACTTGTGAGCAAGATGGTTAGGAGCCCATAATCAGAATGTGCTGCCAGACCTATTGACGTATCACTTTGAGACACTTTAGGGTAGCAATTCACTGACAATAGCTGTAAGCCTTCCTCAAATTTCTCTTGCATGTATTCCTTGCCAATGCCTAGGCCTTCTAGAATTGCTTCCATCAGTTTCAGAGCCACCACCCTTACTTCTACGGCATATTTTGCCATGTATTCCCTGTTTTCAATAAACAAAAGGAGTCATTTTCATTCTTACTGTCATGCACTGTTATTTTGTTTGTTCAACAATGTAAAATGACTTTCTAAGAGAAGAAACTGCTTGCCTATATATTGGTGGTTGCTGTGGCCAGTATTGCAGCCAATCGCAGAGGGGATGGGCATAATGCTTCAGGAATGCCCGAGACATACTAATGCCATCCTTTGAGCTGGTATCGTATCTAACAGGTTGCCGGATATCATCTGATGCATACTCTTTCTTTATCTCATTTGGCAGTTTGAAGAATTCTGAAGCAGCTTCAATAGCACCATCCATGACTGATTGACTGATCCCATGACTTATAACCTGCAAAATGGCAGAATTAGTAGAGACTTGGGTGCACAAGTAAGCTTTCTTTGTTCCCTTACTGCCTGCTAGTTAGTGATGATGTAGGAAAAGAATGCTTTGGTACTTATCTTATGAAGTAGCAACTTAATCAGGAAAAATAGCATTTGAATGGTCCTTCTCTATATGCACAAATTGCACTTTTATATACATGGTCCGTTCTTGTCATTACTGAAAGGTTTATAAAACACCCCAGTGATAGTGCTGGCAGCCTTGATATGTCCACATGGACGGAAAAAGAAAAAAAAATTGCAGTGGTTTAGAACCCAAAGCTAAAATATCGATTAGGTGTAGAGTCAGTTTCAGACTTGTGAACTTGAAATGTTAACCAATCTTGTAAAAAGTAGATGATCATATAGAGGTTTTACATATGTCTTTTTTAACCTAGAAAGAGATACTTTGGCATATCTTTTCAAATTTTGTGAATACTAATTTACAGTTCATCATTGAAATATTTATTGTTACAAAGAACTAAGGTCTCAATTCAAAGTATCAAGTCATTCATTGCATTGCAATGATACGGTACTTTGCATATGTCATGTATTTGTGTACCTTCGGTTTGGCAAGCTAATCAAGTCTAGCATGCTCACAGCACAAGGTTTGCTTCCGCTTCATCATTTGTGGGTTTCCACATAACAAACTGATAAAGTTTAGTTGTTTTTTTTCCTTATCTAGTTTTTCCCATTTTCATGAAAGAGCTGTTTAGCCCATACATAGAGTTGGTGCAGTGAATTGTACTATATGTACAGTTTTCCTAGACTTGCACAGATCAAACTCTCCATTTTGGTGGGAGCAAAAATAGGATGCAGCTCATCAAACATGTAGTTCAGTAGATACAGACTGCCCATATCACCACTTCCAGAAAAAGGAGGCGCATACCATATTCTTCACCGTTAGCGAACAATATTATGCTGCCATTGCTACCTGCAGGATTTCAAAGAAGGGTCCCGATCTGATAGCTCCTAGGGTTCAATTACTTGCTCTTTGATTTGGAGTTTTCTGCCAGATAGAAATGTGGCTGGGACACAAGGATAAGCTTCCTTGGTTGACTACCCCATACCATTCTAGCACATGTCAAAATGGCGTCAACGTAAACTGTCTTCAGTGTTTGGACATAGGAAAAGACCAAGTCTAGAGAGTAAGAACATGACAAAAAGGCTGTGTCACTACGTTGCGTTAAAGGAAATTTACCTGGAAGTATCCCAGATCACGGCATGCTTTGGCGATATCGTTGACCACCCGGGACCGCACCGTGGGATCATCAAGACTGAGGTGGCCAAGGTTGATCACTGGCATTGGCGGCGGGTGGAGCTCCTGTGATGGCAGCTGCTCTTGAGGGATACCCTTCGACGTGTCAGACATTGTTGATCAGCGAAGAAGCCACACGCAGCTCAGGTACGCCAATTGGTTATGCAGAATTAGAACTGTACGCAGTGTGAGAGCTGTGGCTGCATCTCTTCTTATAGGAAGCCGAGGCTGATGGTTCATTCTCTCCTTCAGCTGCAGGTTGGTGCAAAAAAAAACCGCCGTTCTTCTCTGTTGTCTGTGCAGAAGCAGAACGCATACATGTGCATAATACACCTGATGGATCCTCCTCACCTGGACAGGGGGCTCCAAAGGAGAAGTCAAGTTAGGCGACGCATTTCCATCCATTCATGCACTTTGCAGCGTCTCGAAATGGACTACATGGATCCTGTATCTGGTCCAGGAGAGGAGAAGCCGCTGGGCATAGGCAGCGTACCTACCTACGTACGCTGGGAGCGCGTGGTGTGCGATGTTGCACCGCATCTGCATCATGCACAAGTAGCAATACTATATGAATCTTGAGTATGATGATGAATTGATGATGCTGAGCTACAGGCCAAGCTGCGCGACGCGTGCAACTGGGCGCTGGATTTTCTTAAGACCCAAGGAAATTAAGACGAGCAAGCGGATAATATTTGTGGGGAGGCAAGTTGGTTTGATTTGGCCATACATACTGTGTTTTTTGGCTGTCCAGGAGGGGCTCCCCCCGGGTCATGAAACCTGAACCGCTCGAAGGTTTCGGCACTTAAATGTCGCAGTGGCAGCATCCCAAAAAAGGCCGTTTTTGGCAGCTCTCGTAGGTCTGCAATTGTGAAAATTCTGTGGACAGCCACCCAGGTTTCGGTTTTGTCTCCTGTCTAGTCTTGGTGGTATCGCGGTGCAGCTGTTCCTGCAAAAGAGATGGACGGTCAGGATCAAGCGTGGACTTCTCCGTTTTTGTTCTCTCTGTGTGCGTTTGTTCCTTTTCTGCCTACGTGTTTGTATGTTTCGTTGTTTAGTTGTTTAGTTTGGTTCTCTGCTAGAGCAGTGTGATGAGATATGAAATCCTTGTGTAGAAGTCTAGAAGATACTGGAGTACCCTCTCCGTCCCACAATATAAGAGATTTTGAGTTTTTGATTGCAACGTTTGATCACTCGTCTTATTCAAATTCTTTTTGCAAATTAAAAAATAAAAAGTTGTGCTTAAAATACTGTAGATAATAAAGTAAATCATAAATAAAATAAATAATAATTTTAAAAATTTTTAAATAAGACGAGTGGTCAAATGTTACAAATAAAAACTCAAAATCCCTTATATTATGAGATTGGGGGAGTATACGGCAAGGGAGTGTGCTGTGTGTGGTCTGAGATGATGTGTACTGCTGCTAGCCTCTCGCCGTGTCGGCATTCGTTGGAACGGCGCGAGACTTGTTGTCATGGAAACAGAACTTGCATGATGCATTGTTCTACGTGAAGTTTGACTCCTTTTGATATATTATCGTTTTAAATATAATTAACAAACAAAATTCAGAATGATCAAACTGGCTAACCAGTAACCAGCATCTGCATCACCGAAGAAGGACATGAGCGTATGCAATTTCCGTTTGAAGTTGGCCTCAACAGGATCATTTCCAATACACGGCCCGCAGATTGCAAGAAGAATTCCGCTTCGGCCGCTTGGGAATCTGCAGCCCATGCCGCGATGGATCAGGCCGAATCTATTGCTTACCACAAGCCTATGGTTATCCGTACCATTAGTCCAGCCCATAATCCCCCTCTCACCATGGGCGGCCCACAGCACGAGGAGGAGCTCGCCGGCGTCCGGTGCGCGGTGGCCGGCGAAACACCGGCGACTCGCCGCCGCCGCCGCCTCCGGATCGCCCAAGTCAAGAAGGCGAGTTTTTTCCATACATATTTTACATTTACCAAAAAAAAATTAAAGAAAGCGACCGCTAATACGCGACTTCAGTAACTGACAGGGTGGCCCCACTGTCACAGTGTCCCTACCAACCAGAGGGACAGGGAGGCTGGGAAGAACGCGCGTCGAGAAAGGGAAGAGAGTGGGTGAGACCGTGAGAGAGGGGGATGGAGATGGAGGCGTCCGCCGCCGAGGGCGGAGCCGCGGCGGCGGCGCGGACGCTGCGGTGGGCGGGGCGCGCGGGGCACCTCGGGGGATTCCCGCGCGCCGCGGTGATCGCCGCCGTCGGGGCGGTCGCCAAGGCGTACGCGTCGCTGCTCAACACCACCACCGTCCACAACGCCGATGCCCTCCTCCGCCTCGTCTCCTCGCGGCCCCCCGGCACGCCGCTCCTCACCGTCAGCAACCACATGTCAACGTACGTTTTTCCCTAACATCCCCATTCCCTGGTCATATGTTACCCCCCATGTCCGATTGCTATTTCCCCTTGTTGATGTGAGACCTGAGAGGAGAGAGACTGGAGATTCCGTGTTGCTGAGTTGCGCTTGATCTGTCGCTGATCCGGTTCCTGTACGCAAAATCTCAGTGGTTTTTTTGGGTAACCCGCCTGATAACTAAATGGGATCACAGCCTGATAACATTTGACTCCATAATTGGTGCTAGCATGTTATATATAGTCAATTAGTCATACTTGCCTTGTGGATCAAAACAACTTGGAGAAGCCTTGCTCACGTTTTTTTTAAGCAGCCCTATTAGTTTTTTAGTGGATTAGGGGTAGATTTCGACTAAGTTTGTAGCTGTGAAAGATGACAATGCGAAGTCCTGGACCTCGCCACTCTGGTGCTTTTGTTGGAGAAAGCAAAAGGTGCAGAGAGAGTAACCATTTCTCAAGAACATAATAGAAAACACAATCATAGGGAAGATCACCGTTGTTGGGGAGATAGAGTAGAAGGTGCTCGGAAGGTAATGCGCAGCGATAAGAAGAGATATTAAGATACATTGGATTAATTCTTGCTTGCCTTTTGTCCATAACACGTAGGGTTACAACTAAAGATAGAGCCGGAGTGCAACTAGAGATTAAGTGTATTCCTAATTTATCCCAACGGACAAAGGACTAACTTGATGGGCAAGGTAAAGGGAACTGCCTACCCTTGGCTGCTCTAGCATCTTCACATGTCACCTGTGTTGGCCCTGGCCCCACAATGATGCCAATAGGGAACATGTTACATAACTGGTTTTCAATTTAAATTGTTGAAATTTTAGTTAGACTTAAGCATGTAACTAGATTGACACTGTACTTATGGAATTTGGATCTCTCATTTTTCATCTAACTTTGTTTAGTTGGATCATTCCTCTCTATGCCAACTTATTTGTAAGGAAACTGCATTTTGTATTTTTCTTTGCGACAAAATGCATGTGAAACAAACAGAAGATGAATATTTACATGTCCGGTTGACAAATTATCTTTTTATATACGTATGGAACATCTCGGTGCCACAATAATAGTGATGGATAGTTATGAATTGGATGTACAGTTCTCTGCTTAAAATTGGTCTGTGTTGGCCATTTCAATAACCTTGAGGTTATTCTATACTTGTTTGTACCAGGATGGATGACCCACTTATGTGGGGATTCAAGGGTTTTCCAACTACAGATGCCAAACTTCAAAGATGGGTGTTGACAGCAGAGGACATCTGCTTCAGGAATGTGTTCATGTCTTACATATTTCGACTTGGTGAGGCTTCTTATACGTCATTATATTCCTATTTCTTTCTTCTTTTCTTCTTTTTTTTTTTGCATTGATTTGACTGGCTGACTGATGACAACTCAGAATGGTAAACCATAAGAGAATACCTTGTAGAAAATTGGGCATTTTGCCTGATCTTCGCTTAAATTAGATTCTGGAATTGACAAAGTTCAGCTACAGCATGAAATGAAAAGAAAAGGCAACGAACACTGGCAGACCACACAACAAATGGTGCCATCCATTCTGTGTGATCCCTAGCGCATAGTTCATTTCAAAGATATGAACCATTTTCTTAGTGGTTTTCTGAAGTTTAGCAATGGAGATTTATATGTTTTAGAATGAAGTGACTGATTTGTCAACCATCCTTAATTGACATTCTCCCCTGTTGGAATATGTTATTGATTGTCAAACCATTCTCTGTTGGTAATATTTCCCTGTTGAACTATGGGACTGCTGGGCATAGTATTAATTCGTCTTGTACTTGCCATATAGATGGCATTAACCATTTAATTATCCCTCTGATTTTCAGTATCTCCCACCAAATGATATGTTCTGGTACTTTCCGTGCTATTTGTGCTGGTGCTAACACAACAGCAATATTATCGTGTCTAACACATGTGTTGTGTCTAGTTCATTTGCTATTTGAAATATTCTGTTCTGTTTTCAGCTTCTTTATTCTTTTGCTGCTCCTGACCTTACATTTTAGGGAAATTCAGTTCGTGCAACATTGGTGTTTTTGTGCACATCACAATTTGGCAATCTTTGTCTTAATAAATATTCTCTGCATCATGTGACAATCCTGCTGTTGACAAATAATTGTGTGCACAGGGAAATGTGTGCCGATCACACGAGGTGCTGGAATTTATCAGGATCATATGACTGAAGCCCTTGAAGTGCTTAGCACTGGAGACTGGGTATGCACATTTTCTTCATTTTATCACCGACCATTCTATCATTGACAGTTCTTGTATCTCTACTCATAATTTTGGCCTTTATTTAATTTCAAATCTCGTCATGACATATTCAAACAGTTGCATTCATTCCCTGAAGGAAAAATAGCTCAAGATGATCAGCCAATCAGACGTCTGAAGTGGGGAACTGCCAGTCTTATCGTCCGAGCACCAGTAACTCCAATTGTTTTGCCTATTGTGCATTCTGGCTTTGAAAAGGTTTGTATAAATCTATATATTTCCTGCATGTCAACATTTTTTGCCAGTAGCAGTTTCAGCTTCCAAATAAAAAGCTATCTTCCTCTTTCTGGAATATGAAAATTTTGCATGATGTACCGCCCATCCTTCTGTTATTCGATGAACTTAACATCTGAATTTTGGGTTTGATTCCCAAATCAATTGGATGAGATTAAAATATTGGGAAGAATTGACGCAAGAAGCTAAGTTGTGTGATAAGTGATCTGATAGGTTAAAATTTTGTCTTTTTTTATTTAATTACAACTAGGTCCAAGATATATGGATTGGAGGATTGCTTACTCTCCATTGATGAAACCTCAACTGAACCCAAGCAACTTGTGAATCTGTATTTGTTTTTTCCGGATAAAAACTATGATAATTTTGATAGAATATTGTCCATATATTCCCCACTTGGTTGTAGGTCATGCCAGAGAAATCATTTTTTGGGCGTCGACCGCCAGTGCCTCTTTGGAACAAGGAGATACATATCATCGTTGGAGAGCCAGTGGAGTTTGATCTGCCAAGCTTGAAGCAGGCAGCAAGAACAGTACCTCAGGATTCATCTTTTGAAAGGAAGGGTTGGCCAAGCATCATGCCAGACGGACTAGATGAAGCGGCTCAGAGATGGCTTTACCAGAAGATATCAGATAAGATCCAATCAGTTATGGAGACATTGCGGAAGAGACTTCTCGACCTGAAGCAACATTGATATTTGGCTGTTTACTTGCAATCCAAGGAGGCACCTCCTTTTTTTGAACAATACCTTCTTGAAATGGTAGAATATATAGCTTCATTGAACAGTTTCAGATGATGCAAAGACGATTGAGAGTAGGCAGTGGACGCTACATCTGTTGAGGTGAAAATTTGAGACGACGGTGAGAGATAGAACTCAGCATGTTAGATTACGAGGCATTCTTTTTCAGTAGGTCAAGAATATTTGTCAAGCGCCTACTTTTCTTTTTATTGTTTGGAATGGTTTGCCATGTTTACGAGGCATGAATAAAGTCATCGCCTATTCAACTTGTTAGATGTTCTATTCTTGGCTTGTTTGTTATTTCTGTCTTCCCCGGCACTATGTGCAGCTTTGGTTTAAAACCTCTTTGCACCCCAGAGAAGATAGGTGCCAAAAGGCCCAAAACCGTGGCTCGCACACATGATCTGTTAGTATAGACTGTAGTAGTGCTTCTGCATAGTGTGTTGCAAGCTGTGCCCTTTTTTATTCTGAACCTGTGGATGACCGTTTTACTTTCCAGATCCCAGTAGTGTTGGTGTTGGTTGTTGGATACTACCGGCTCAAGGACCAAAGATCCAGAAGGGACAAGTTCGAGCCCAGACGGACCCGATGTGCGATGGCTTTTTCTGAACATTATTCGGCTGAACCGCACGAATAACAGGTATGTACTACTAGTATATCGAGGACGAAAAATGCAATCCCACGGACCACTGGATCACATGACGCAACAACTGTGCGGGCGAGCACCGTTTGCTGTACGCATTCGCTGTTTTCTTTTCCTCTTTTCGAAAGTGACCCAACATGCCGCCGGCCAGCCAGCCAGCCATCCAGCCATGGTGGAAACCGTCATTTTTCTGTTATTCTGTATAGGCAGAAGCAGCTGTCTCCACGGGCAACAGCAGGAGCAGGCAGCCAGGCACTCGAGGCTTCAGCCTCAGCCGAGACGTATTCATTCGTTCACGGCTCAGGCCTCGCGGAAATACGTGACGCCCACTCAATGCCGTCCTCCGTCTCCGACACGGATCCTTGTCCTTGGAAAAAAAAAACGTTGATGGTGGTTGGATTGGATGCGTTTGCCGGGTGCGACGCGAGCAATCAAGATAGAAAACCGGTACATTACATATACGCGAGGCGGGCGGGGTCACGTCTTTTTTACTCGCCGCGGCCCGCGGCGTAGTACGTGACAGTGTCTCTCTCAACGCAAGTGCATTTCGAGTTTGGTGATCCGGGTCGGCGCCCTCGTTGAACGTACAGCAAGCGCCGCGTCGTTTTCGTGGCCGTCTGGTGCGGCAGTGGACGGTGCGACGGTGCGTACGTGCATTCCATCTGGGACTAGCTTGAGGGGTCCAATAGCTGCCAGAGCGGCTCAGCCGCTAATTCGGACCCCGCGCTAATTCCCACACGCATCTTTTAATTCTGTGCAAAATTTTCAACACTATCAACGTTTAAAGAGGAAGGTCAATAGTGCAGCCTACTACTAGCTTCAAATCATCTATAGACAATGTAATAACCAATTTATACAATAGTTGCTTATTATACTATTAATACCTGATCCCACCCTGCTATTGTACCTGCTTTAACCATGCGTGATGTGGCAAAATCGGGGCTGGAACATGTACATTCAACCGGGGTCTTTTTTGTACATCCCGAGACCAAACCGTCCTGTCAGCAGGGCGTTCCTTCCTCGTGGTAATGGTACGAGTTCATTAGCAATAATCGGCTTTCGTGATTACACATCAGTGTGTTAGAATTTTTTTTTTTAAAAAAAACTTGTTACTAGAGATTAAAACGATTGTATTTAGCCAAAAAGGAGAAAAGGCTGTCCAAACATTAAGAGGGGTACACTTATTTTAGTCTTTACACGATGGTGGGATCTCCTCGTTGATTCAACTGTATTATACTCTCTCCGTCCATGATAAGACAATTCATACTACAATAAAATCTGTACAGATTCATTGTACTATAAAATATCCCATCCACTTTTAAATTGCTATATTATAAGACGAAGTGAATAGTTTATATTCTCTGACTTTTATTCACCTCATACATGGTTCGTAGAAATGCACATCATTCGGTTGCCAAAAAGAAGAAGAAGAAGTTTTGAGAATTGAGATAGCTTTAGTACAAACCCTTGTTAAACCAATTAGATTTAAAAAATCGAACTAAAATTTAATTTTTGATAAATTTTGTCCGAATTTCACGAGTTTTCCAAATAAATTTGGACCTTTTTCTTCAATAAAAACTGAGAGATGTTTTCAATCCCGCAATGGCTTCGTGACCCCTGTGAAGAACAGATCCGTTTGGAGCATAGGAATTGTTTAATGGACCCTCTTTGGTTAGTTACCTGTACATTCCTTCATAAAACATCAGTACAGTAGCTGCTTAATTGGATATGTATAGATACAGTCAGATAATCAGTAGCATTATTCTAGACTCGTAGTGCGATTGTCGCTGGCTATCTGTTGGCTTGTCCAGCTAACAACCGGTCAGTAAATATACATGCATGATGCAGTGTCCTAGCTATCTAGCCGTAGCCACTAAATACCCTTTGGCAAAACTTGAAGGGAATTCCTGAGCTTTCTTGACTTTGATATCCAGACTACGACCAACAAAAAAGCTAGACACACTACAAACAATAGCTGTCGACGGCGACGTAGATGATGCCGAACTAATCCCAGCTTACGCTTTCAGGGGATCAGCATTCAGCAAGTGTCATGCTATGTACTACACATCGAGCGTTTGCTGCACGATTTCTTTCGTTATCAGCGTACGTGCGTACTCATGATACATCATTGGTGTTCTCACTTCTCTCCCTGGCATCTCACATGGTAGGCCTACGCTGCGTCCAACCGGGGCCCGAACAAAGGCGGATCGAAGTAAAACTAGCATAAAAATGGGGACGAGATCTCCCTCTCCTTTCTGTGTTGCAATTAATCTCTCGCCTCAGATACCGTGTACAGTACGTACTCGTGAGAAATCGACAAAAGGTACACGTCAAGCTCGCTCGCCGTCTCGCCGGCTCGCCATGGTCCGTGGCCGCCGCGGAAACCCCACGCACCACCGTGTATAACCACACCGCCGCCTGCTCGGTTGATTGGAATTTTTTGCTGCTTCTGCTGCGGGCGCGCGTGTGCACGGTGCGGCTAGCTAGCTAGCTCGTCGTCTCTCCCCTTATTGCCGCCGCGCGTGTTGGGCCGCGAGATGCCGTCGTTAGGTGGCGGTGCACGGCCACGCGAACAGTAGTCTGGCCAGTTGCTTCGCGCTCTACGGGGATGTTAGATTGACATTATTTTTAATCCTGTACTCCATCCATCGTTAAGAGTTAGACACAATTGTTAAGAAAGTATGTAGAAATGAATGGTGGAGGTTATGATTAGATGATTAGTGAGATAGGTGGAAAAAGTGAATGATGAAAGGTTGTGATTGGTTGAGAAGAGAATGTTGATGGAGAAGTTGTTATATTTTCAAACAAATTCTGAGAGATAAAAGTTGTTATTTTTGAGACGGAGGGAGCATTATTTTTAAGTTGTTAAAAAATACTTACATTTAGTTAATGCTAAAATTTAATAAAATTTATTTTCACTACCATCTATACACCCACTATATCAGCACAACTGCACAAGCGGCGCCAGCAAAATCGATAGTAGTATACCGGATGTTTCTCGGTTTTACTGCAAAACGAGTTCGAGGACACCACGTTCTGCCAAACTTAATGTTTTTTTTTCTTGTTTGCCGTTATACTAGGAGGAGTAGGCTGGATGCAACAACATTCCCAATATTGAAGGAATATATAGGCTTGCAAAATGCCAGGACAAATTAAGAATTTGAGATGGGAGGAACGGGACACGAAAGCGAGTGTCATATCCTATTTGCTCTCCCGTAGGACCCATAATCGCTACACGTGGAATCGCGGGGGGGGGGGGGGGGGGGACATCCGACATGGGATTCGTTCAATTCCAACTCATGCGGGGTAAATGAATGCATTTTGGTTTAGTACGCTTCACTTCATTGCACAAATAAATTGCGTGATTCAGTACGTACTATAAAATCCAAAAAAAAAAGAGTTACCAGTATTACCATTAGCATATCATTGCATACCAGATACGACTCTATGTTTATACTAATACGTGAAGCTGCAAATAGGCAAATGAAAATCAACTCATCTACTGCCTGGACTAGAGTACGAGAAGTAAAAATCTTCACGTCAGGATGCATGCTGTGTGTCACGTTGCTCATCGCGCGGTTCACGCTTGACGGCCATGTCATCACTGTAGAGTGGGCCCAACAGGACACCTCCCCCCTTGCTTCTTCTTTTTTTTTTTTTTTTTAAAAAAACAACGCAAACTGTTCTCCTCAAGCGCACCTCCCCCCCGAAAAATCAAAATCGAAGCGAGAGCGAGTAGTAATTCCCTCGCTGGCGCTGCTGCGTGATTTCTTTAATCCTCCGCCTCCGCCTCCTCGTCCTCGCCACCACTACTCCTCCCTCTCGTGAGCCCCTCGCCTCTCCCTGTCTCCCTCCCACCTCTCTCTCTCTCTCTCTCCTCTCTCTCTCTCTCTCTCTCTCTCTCTCTCTCTCTCTCTCTCCTCCTCCTCCTGCACCGCCCCGCGCCGCCCCTTGGCTTGGATCTCGTCCTGCCGGCCGCGGGCGGACGCGGCGGCGACCCGGTCCTCTCCCCACACCCCGACACGCCGTGCGAGTAGCTGTCTGTCTATACTTTCGAGGCCTGCATTGGCGGGATCTGCGTCCATTCGTCGAGCTGCACGGAGCGGGGAGGGGCGCGGAGCTCTGAGCTGGTGCTTCTGCTTGCGTTTTTTGGGTGTCGCTGGATCTGAGGGCCGCGCTGCTCGCCTGCTCCACGCCGGCTAACGGGGGCGGGGTTCAGGGGGTTCAGGGGGTTCTGGTGGTGGTTGGTAGCGATTGCTGCGTGGTGGATGGGAGTTGAGGCTTGAGGTCGAGGGGTTGGTCTCTGAGGAGCGGGGTGATAAGGGAGATGCGCCGGCGGCGTCGGTGGAAGCAACGGCGCGGCTACTGCCGCCACGCCGCTGCATGGCTCGGCGACCTCCAGCATGAACGGTGGCGGCGCCAGCGGCGGCGATGGGTACGACAGCGACGGCTACAGCTTCGCGCCACCGTGAGTGCTTGTCTCCTCCTCCTGGTGTTTCTGCTGTCGGTTTAGCGATTTTTGATTTCCTGCTGAAATTTCGGATAAGTTTTGTTCGTCTGAGGTTTTGAATTTTCTATTGTGTATGATTACCTAAAAGTTTCCCAGGCTGCTGGAAAGTAGAGGAAAAGTTGGGTTGAGAGAAGGATTTACTCATTTATTTTGGATTAGTGTCGCTATAATTGGGTGTGTTTGTTGTACTTGAATCCTGGCCTACCTTACTACTGCTTAAATGCTTCGGGTACCAAATTTTTTGTTATTCTGAACTTCGCCATTGGATCCCTATTTACCAAGCTGTGTTCCGTGCACATTCACATGCGATTTTTATTTGCTCTGTGAGGTAGAATGGATCCCTATTTACTCTCTGCATTACTGTTTTTGCAGTACCCCGACGACTTTGTCTATGTCCATACCTCCGGAACTTGCTGGAGCAATTCCACTTATTGATAGGTTCCAGGTATATGCTAGCATTCCCAATGGTGTGATACATCCCATGGCGATAGCAATATCTCATCCATGTTCAATTGTTTACATTACGATTGATGACCATGTTGTGCCTTTAGTGGTTTACAAGAGCGTACACTTTAGAGCTGAGGCATTGTTTTGCTGAACAATTGCAACAGTTGATTGTTTGAGACGGAAGATGCCCATCATAATTATCACCATGCAATAAATTTGACGAGATCCTGTAACAACTAAGAATTGATGTTTTCTCTATAAATGGATGGTGACATATTGAGAGAAAGGATAAGTATTCATATAGCTATGCATTTTGCACTATTCTAACTTGAATAAATAGGCTTGTCTACCTCGTTGTCATTAGTCCTTTTGTCCTTAACATTAGTATTTGCAAGTAGGAAACTTACCAGGCTGAAGAATTGGGAAAGGCTCCTCACAATCTTCTCATTGGTTGTAAACTGGATCATACTTGAATCTTGGATTTAACTTAGTTCGTTAGAGTTCTGTGTTTATTTGTAAATTTTGTCCCTGCGTTCAGTACCTGTAGACTGCAGTGATTCAATAGGAGCATGGAAATATTTCAATAGAATCGATTATTAGTGTCAGTACGCATGCATAATGAATTAATATGACTGCCATGTTAATCGTAGTACTGAAATATGAGTATATGACAGGTAGAGGGCTTTCTGAAGGCAATGCAAAAACAGATCCATTCAGCTGGAAAACGTGGTTTTTTTTCGAAGAAATCTGTGGGACCACATGTTCGTGAAAAGTTCACCTTGGAAGATATGTTGTGCTTCCAAAAGGTGATGCCATCAATCCCCACATTATCTGTTAGGTTGCATTTTGAGCAATTTGTTTATGTTTTCAAATCCTTTGCAAAAGTATAAGATTATGATAAAAATGGCGATGCTTCTATTATTCAGAGTTTCTTTGGTCTATTTTTGCAGGATCCTATTCCAACGTCATTGCTAAAAATAAGTAGTGACCTTGTAAGCCGTTCAATTAAGTTATTCCATGTCATACTGAAGTACATGGGCATCGATTCCCCAGCAATAATAAGTTTGGATGAAAGAATTGAACTTGTTGCAAAGCTTTACAAGCATACTTTGAAACGTTCTGAACTGAGAGATGAGCTCTTTGCACAGATTTCAAAACAAACACGTAACAATCCCGACAGGTATGAAGCAGATTTCTCATGGATAGCAATTCGATGGGATACAACCATCTTATGAATGTTATTATTTGTACTTACAGGGCTTGGTTAATAAGAGCTTGGGAGCTTATGTATTTATGTGCGTCATCCATGCCACCAAGCAAAGATATTGGAGCATACTTGTCTGAGTATGTTCACTACATTGCTCATGGCGCTACAACTGATTCTGATGTTCGAGTTCTAGCACTTAACACACTAAATGCACTGAAACGCTCAGTTAAGGCAGGCCCTAGGGTTACAATTCCTGCACGGGAGGAGATAGAGGCTCTTTTATCCAGCCGTAAGCTTACAACAATTGTTTTTTTCTTGGATGAAACTTTTGAAGAGATCACATATGACATGGCAACAACTGTTGCTGATGCTGTTGAGGTATTTACATTTCTCCTCTGCAAGTAGATTTGAAATTGATATATGCTAATGCTGTTGAGTTCTTCAGAATAATTCAGTCAGACACATATAATATTTTGTTGGTACGGGTGCAACTTTCATGTGATTAAGCTATTATTGGTCGGGTAGTTTAATAATAACCATATGAGCATGGCATGATTTTTAGCCAACTGATGGGCTTGTTAAATAGGTACTCCCTCCATCCCATAATATAAGGGATTTTGGAGGGATGTGACACATCGTAGGACAACGAATCTAGACAAGCTCCTGACTAGATTCGTTGTCCTAGGATGTGTCATATCCCTCTAAAATCCCTTATATTATGGGACGGAGGGAGTAAAAACTATGAATATATCTCTTTTATGTGCATGGGGACTGAGGACAGTTAATTGATTTCATGTTTTATGCCAAAATATATTTTCAATGTTTCCATACAAAAATAGTTCTACTTCAAATTATTAGGTACTTAGGTCTTGCTTCTGGTTGCCACAGAGCAGAGATTCCCAACATCACAACTCGGTTCGAATATCAGAAACACTATTGTATTATTCATCAGAACTTTTTGTATAGTTTTTACTGTTTCTGTACGGTGTATTTGAAGTTGTAAGATCTAAGGAAACATAACATTTTATAATGACAGGAACTTGCTGGCATTATCAAACTTTCAGTATATTCTAGTTTCAGCCTTTTTGAATGCCGAAAGGTTGTTAATGGATCCAAGTCTTCAGATGTTGGCAATGGTATTTCTTTCAGTACAAAGTCACAAGGCTACCTTTTCCTCCCTTTCTGTTGTTTTTAACAGCACTTTTGTTTCCTTACTTTTCATACACAGAGGAGTACATTGGTTTAGATGATAACAAATATATTGGTGACCTCCTATCTGAATTCAAGGCAGCCAAGGATCGGAACAAAGGAGAAATTTTACACTGCAAACTTGTATTTAAAAAACGCCTCTTCCGTGAGTCCGATGAGGCTATAACTGATCCAATGTTTGTTCAGCTATCTTATGTCCAGGTACTGGCCTGGGCAGCTGATTGAAGTGCTGCCAATTCTTACGTTACAGAAGTAATATTGTTTCCTTGGAAGTGCTGACTAATATAATTGCTATGCAGTTACAACATGATTATATTTTAGGAAACTATCCAGTAGGTAGGGATGATGCTGCACAGCTATCTGCTCTGCAAATATTGGTCGAAATTGGCTTTGTTGACAATCCTGAGTCTTGTGTGTAAGTATTTTGTAAGGCCCTGCCTGATCTCCCATTGCACTCTTGAATGTAGTCTCAGCGATTGTAACAATAAGATACATCCTTTTGTTTTATTGACATGAAATTTTCTTGTCTTCCTAGTGAATGGATATCTCTTTTAGAGAGATTTCTACCCAGACAAGTTGCAATTACAAGAGCAAAGCGAGACTGGGAGCTTGACATTGTCTCACGCTATCAGTTAATGGTATTTACCTATCTGTACAACTTTATGATACCACACAAACTCGATCTAATTATTTTATGTCTATTCAATTTGTAACATACTTTTCCTATTCAACTCCATGGCTTGCGTCCATCATATCAATGATTGACTAACCTCTAGTTGTAAGAAAGGGGAGGTTTTGCAAATCTAAATTAATTTATTATTCTCTCAAATGAATTATTTCAATGTAAGTTGTGATGAAATAGTAAATTTCTCAATTCGAACTTACATGCAAAATATGCTTGATACTTCTCAATTACCTAAGTGCTTTATTGTTGCATTCAGGAACATCTGTCAAAAGATGATGCAAGGCAACAGTTTCTCAGAATCTTAAGGACTCTTCCATATGGGAACTCAGTTTTCTTCAGTGTCCGGAAGATTGATGATCCAATAGGACTTTTACCTGGAAGAATCATTCTGGGAATAAACAAACGAGGGGTCTGATGCCTAACCACATGTTGAAATGCTATACGTTTTCTGCCAGTTTTAGCTAATTTCTTTTTCTGCGTTAATGCAGGTTCATTTTTTCCGTCCGGTTCCCAAGGAATATCTTCATTCTGCAGAACTGAGAGATATCATGCAATTTGGGAGCAGCAATACCGCTGTTTTCTTTAAAATGAGAGTCGCTGGTGTTCTTCATATCTTTCAGTTTGAAACTAAGCAGGTTAGTTTTAAATCTCTACCAGGAAATAATTCATACTATGTGTAGGCTGTGAAATAACCATCTGATATTTAGGGCGAGGAAATATGTGTAGCACTTCAGACGCATATCAATGATGTGATGCTCCGCAGATATTCAAAAGCACGCTCTGCTACTAGCGCGGTTTCTCAAAACGATGTTTCTCAAACATATAAACCACCGAATATTGAAATATATGAGAAACGTGTCCAAGAACTGTCAAAAGCAGTTGAGGAATCTGAAAGGAAAGCAGATCTGGTAAGTGGTTTTAGCCGTAAAATAATATTGATAATGAACACTGCTTATAGTTTATAATCTTGGGAGAACTGTCTTGTTATTGCCTCTATCTGAAATGTATGATCTAGTGTAATTTTCTGTGCTAGTTTAGATTCAATATCTAGATCATTTGATCGTTATTGGATTATTGTCTGCAAACGGTTATTTGATTAATGCTTCCTGGCCTATGCCAATTTATAACCCTCTGTGATAGATAAAAAGAAGGTGAATGGTATATTACTTAGTTTTTTTTTTTTGCAGCATCACATATAAAAAGAACATATTAGGTGAAAAGCTGAATTCATGCATATCAAAGGATTTCAATAGATGTTATAATTTCACTCATTTTTATGGTAGACAATGAACTAGACTAGTAGGTCAAACTCGAAAGGTCTAAAAGGCAGTTCTGTCTCATGTTATTGGTGGATTTTTGTACAGAGAATATGGCTTAAAATCATGATTTTTTTAGCGCCATATTTCTTTTAAGCATCTATTCATGGAGTGCTTGAGTACATCTGCCATTTTTAGTTAAAACGGTCTCTATACCTTGCCTCATAAATACTAAAAGTCTCAGTAACAGTAAGGTATATCTTTAAGATCCTACTTCGGTCTTGCAAGTTGCAACATATTGAAGATAATGGCATTGTATATTTAGCATGGAAGAAACCATTACTTACATAGCTCATTTGTCACTGGTTGTCTTTTTTTTTTTTATAGTTGAATGAGGAGTTACAGAAGAAGACAAAACAAGAAAGAGATATGCAAAAAGAATTAGAAGGTCTGAGGGATACCTTGCAATCTGAACGGCAAAGCATTAAAGAAGTAACAAATGATCTTGATAAACTAAAATCCCTTTGTGATGAAAAGGACTCCTCTTTGCAGGTATGGCGATAAACTGTCAGCTTGGTTAAATATTTTGTATAATCTAACTTGCAATTTTATCAGGCTTCACTGATGGAGAAAACTAGACTGGAGACCAGATTAAAAAGTGGTCAGGGCCAAGAAAGCAGTAATAGAACAGGAGTATCAGGAAATCATTTTGAGAGAGATACTCTCCCAACTGTAGGCACTGTCAATAATAGCATTGAGGTACCTTAGAACAATTAGATATCTCTAAGGCTGTGTTTTGTCTTAAATGATTTGCTCGTATCTTTTGTAGCCAACCCTAGGTTTGCAAATTGTTATTATACATTTGACCTTTTGGGGGTTCTGAACAGATGTTAGCAAAGCTTGAGGAGGAGTTAAAATCCTGTAAGAAGGAGCTTGATGCATCCAAGGAATTATCAAAGAAATTAACAATGGAAAATAATCTGCTTGACCAGAAGGTTCAAAGGCTTGAAAGAGCAAAAAGTGAAGAGGTTTTCTTTTGCTTATCCTGGATCCCCTAATTATAGTTCACTGTGAGCATTGCATAGTTTTTTTTGTTTCATATTTTTGAGTATATATGGTTTCTTCAACTATACAGAAAAGTAATATGGAAAGAGTTTATGAGGATGAATGTTGCAAGCTGAAATCTCGTATTGCTGAATTGGAGCAAAAACTGGAAAGCAGAACACGTTCCCTGAATGTTACTGAATCGACTCTTGCCTTAAGAAATGCTGAGGTGGATACATTGCAAAACAGTCTCAAAGAACTTGACGAGTTACGAGAGTTCAAAGCGGTACGTACAAGATATATGACAAGTACATTCAATATTCTTATAGGACCTTCAGAAATTTGTAAAATTCTATTTTTCGTATTTCAGGATGTGGACAGAAAAAACCAACAGACTGCTGAGATTCTTAAAAGGCAAGGAGCACAATTGATTGAGCTTGAAAATCTTTATAAGCAAGAGCAGGTTCTGAGAAAGCGTTATTATAACACAATTGAAGGTATGCTAGAAATAGAAGTTACTTTTCTTTAGTTCTTATAGTATTTTATGATATCTTGGTTTCTAATTGAATCATAATTGCTCACAGATATGAAGGGAAAAATAAGAGTTTTTTGTCGTCTGCGTCCTCTAAATGATAAGGAGCTCATTGAAAAGGACAAGAATATTGTTTGCAGCCCTGATGAGTTTACAGTTGCACATCCATGGAAAGATGACAAGTCAAAACAACATATATATGACCGTGTTTTTGATGCTAACACTACCCAAGAAGAAGTATTTGAGGACACGAAGGTGACCTTTTTTTTAACACTTCTTTTTAACATACATGTGCTCATTAGATTATTTGCAATTGGACTCCATGTGTTTATCATGAATTTTGTGATGCAGTATCTAGTTCAATCGGCCGTTGATGGATATAATGTTTGTATATTTGCTTATGGGCAAACTGGTTCTGGAAAAACTTTTACAATTTATGGATCTGAAAACAATCCTGGTCTTACCCCAAGGGCTACCTCTGAACTTTTTAGGGTGATAAAGCGTGATGGTCACAAATATTCATTTTCTTTGAAGGTAACAATTTTTTCGTGTGCATCCTTAAATACATTTATATGCATTGGATGATACCTATTTATTTGGCCTATGTAAACAACAGTTGTACTATTAACAAAGTGATTTATTTTGACTTTCATATGATACGCAGGCATATATGGTTGAGCTTTATCAGGATAATCTTGTGGACCTGTTGTTGGCCAAAAACGCAACACACCAAAAATTGGAAATAAAAAAGGATTCCAAGGTATAGGACCAAGACATGTTAACCTTCTTTGTTCTTGCTTCACACGTTGTCTGCTTTTGTTGAAGTCTGTTGATTAGAAGAACAAGTTATGTTCCCATTTGACTATATTTTGTGCCTCAAAAGTAACATCCTGTACTGTCATAAAATTAATGTTTGCTCATTTCAAGCAAGATAATATAATTTTCGCTAATTTGGTTTACATTTGTTGTTGCAAGTTTAGGCAATCAATTTTAGCACCTTTTAGGTAAAAGACGATGCATCGGTAACATTCATCTGTGTTCCTGTACCTCCATAATTGAACTACATAACACAAATAGCTACAGTTTGAGGGTAATAGTGGCCAGGGAGTAGAGACAAACCTCTGACCAATGCAAATTTCCTTCAGGACTTCCCTCTATTAAAATGTGTATATCTTTAATTGCTCATGAATTGTTGCTATTTTACAGTTTTATAGAGCTAATTAATTTATAATTTTCCTTTTAGGGGGTTGTTACTGTTGAAAATGTGACAGTTGTGAACATTTCAAGTTTTGAAGAACTGAGGGCTATAATTTTAAGAGGTTCCGAGAGAAGACACACCGCTGGAACAAATATGAATGTTGAGAGCTCAAGGTCTCATTTAATTCTTTCAATCATTATTGAAAGTACCAACCTCCAGACTCAATCTTATGCAAGAGGAAAGGTATGGTGGGTTGTAACTGGAAACCTCATGCTAGCCTTGCTGTGTCGCATAACCAATTTGTTTCACAATTTTTTTTATAAAAAAACTATATTTGAGTATTCTTATTGTCTCCATTTAACCGTCTCTATCACTTACCTGTATATTGTTTAAATTTGCCGCTTTTACAAAATACCTATTTACATATACCTTTGCATGGTACGTTCCTCAGATATCAAACTAAACATCTACCATATATGTCCATATTTCAGTGGACGTATTATGAAGATTGATTACCATACCTTACCTCAAGTTGATAAGTTTTGCCTTCTTATGTATGACACTTGTTTGCCCATAATAACTCTTTGCATCTAGTTATTTTCGTAATTTGACAGCCTTTTGTTTTGAGTTTTGACTGGGAGTATCTATCGCAGAATGCTTGTCGGAATATATATTTCATAAAACCGACGCATTGCTGTAGCACTTGCATATTTGATTTAGGCATCTACATCAAACTATGTTCTAAGTTTTATTTTTCTTGTGTTGTTTATTTGCTATAATTAATTAAGAATAAATAAACTCTGCACAGAACACACTATATGTTAAGCTAGGCTGTGAGATGCTATTCTAAGCTGTCAAAATTTTCCGTGTGAACAGCTAAGTTTCGTGGACCTTGCTGGTTCTGAGAGGGTGAAAAAGTCCGGCTCAGCAGGAAAACAACTGAAAGAAGCTCAAAGCATCAATAAGTCTCTTTCTGCATTGGCTGATGTGATTGGGGCTTTATCTTCTGATGGACAACATATACCTTATCGGAACCATAAGTTGACAATGCTGATGAGTGATTCTCTTGGAGGCAATGCGAAAACCTTGATGTTTGTGAATGTCTCACCAGCAGAGTCCAACCTGGAGGAGACTTACAATTCACTCATGTATGAATTTCTATTGCTCCAGTATACAAGTCTTTTTGTGTTATGCCCCTGGTGCTCGTGTACACCTGTTGAGTATTGACTGGCATTTTTTTTCCTCCATCTTGCAGGTATGCTTCACGAGTGCGTTGCATTGTCAATGATACGAGCAAGCATGTTGCCCCAAAGGAAATCATGAGGTTGAAGAAGTTAATTGCTTATTGGAAGGAGCAAGCTGGCAAGCGTAGTGAAGACGACGACCTGGAGGAAATACAGGAAGAGAGGACACCAAAGGAGAAAGCAGATAATCGCTTGACTAGCTGAGAACAAGGTACCATCAGAATTCTATGCCCCTGGTTGCATCCTTGCACCGTCTGCAGAGGTGACTGATGTTGATGATCATTTTCGACTCGCCGACGCCGACGTGTTCACCAATCACCCGCTAACAGAACCTTCCGGTATGACCTAACAATGTTGTACACCAATTGTATAGTAACAGATTATATTATGGCAATGATGCCTCTTGTACAAAGGGAACCGTAGCACACATTCATAGGAGAATCAGATGGTGGAAGAGTTATTAGAACTAAGCTCCTTTTTGTCCCCTGAACATTGGTGTGCCACGACTACTGCTTCTGCTCACTTCTATAGCAGTGTAGCAAATGTTTGTGGCATCAGATGGACTAGCGGATGGTGATTTCCACGTTATCGTTCGATAAAATGTTCCTATCAGTTGCTAATTATTAGTGTGACATCAATCCTTTCAAGTTGACCTAGGATATAGTAGAAATTACGTGAGCTAGCCTCTGCGTTCTGAACTCATTTCTCAGCTTCTGCTCTCGTTTATAGTATGTTTTTTTGAATTGCTAAACAATACTTTTTTTAAAAGAAATATATAAAAAGGTTGTAAAACATTATATTAATCTATTTTTAAATTCTTTAAACTTAATTATAAATGTGCTAATGAACTATCTAGTTTTCATACGGAGGGAAAAAATTTCCAAACTATCACTAACGAACACAGGCGTCTTATTCTAAATAAGATGCGTGTTACTTGAAATAAATAAAGTACAACTGTTCCATGCAACAACCTTGCGGCTACATCAGATTGGGACTATCCAACGTTTGGCAGCGGAAGAATACACTAGTTCCTCTCGCGCGAGGTGCGGAAGTCACGCAACCAAACAAGACGAGGCGCATCGAAGGGTCATTTTTGTGAGTACAATGTAATAGACCACACAGCCTCTTATTCCTATTTCCTCACCATAAAATTGGCTCAGCAATCACTGACACCACGCACAGATCGAGGAGATAATTAGCTCACTCCATGGCCGCTGCTCGGTTTCCTCTCCTTGTCCTCTGCCTCCTGCCGATCATCGTCTGCAGCGTCGTGGACGCGGAGCTGACCCATCTCCACTTCTACTTCCACGAGGTCGACGCCGGCACGCCCAACGCCACCGTCGTCAACGTCGCCAGCCTTCACCGGTACGTACCTGACCATGAGTCCATGGAAGCTTAATTAGGGCGTGTTCAGATTAATGCTATTTTCAACCGTATCTTTTTTTTTATAAAATTGTTAAAAAGTACCTGTATTTAGTTTGTTGTCAAATTTTACTAAATACATAAAAGATCATGTTAAAATTTTAATAATATTATAAGCTTGTTAAAATTTTGACATTTGTAAGGGTTATTTTGGCTATAATCTGAATAGCTCTTAATTAGAGTATGTACCACCTGCGTGATGGCGTACGTACAACATGTACTGCAGGAACTCGTCGACGTTCGGCGACGTGAACGTGTTGGACAACGCGCTGCGGGAGGGGCCGGACCCGGCGTCGCGGCTGATCGGGAGGGCGCACGGCCTCGCGGTGCACGCGTCGCTGGACGAGACGGGCGGCCTCACGGCCATCAACTTCGTCTTCTCCGACTACGGCGCGTACAGCGGCAGCACGCTGGCCACGCAGGGCCACTTCATCACGACGGGCCCGTCGGAGCGGAGCATCGTCGGCGGCACGGGCAAGCTCCGGTTCGCGCGCGGGTACATGACCAGCAAGCTTCTCAGCTCCACGGACACCGCCATCGTCGTCGTCTTCGACATGTACTTCACCCTCGACCATTGAATACTACTCCGTGGTGTGTTATATATCGTGCAGTGCTTGCTTTGGTGTTCGGTTGAACATATGTATGCACGGCGATCGTGACGAATACTGGGGTTCGGAGAATTCTTTTCCGACCCATCGTCTCATAGGCCCAATTCACCACTCCTACGCTGTACTGACACACTCATGTAAAAATAAACTCGGTGTTATAATTGCTCAGGGCAAAGCATCCTTATAAATAACATTTCGCCTCAAATTCTCGAGGTAGGATCATTCTTTCCCTACAGACTTGCAAACTGCTGCTGCTGCTTGCTCTCGTACTCGTTGGATGGGCCAAAGCCCAAGGTTGCTGCTAGTGCTGCACGCCTAGCACAATTAGCCCACAAGCCCAACAGTCATCGGTCATCTTGAGGCTGATGTGCCAACAGCTTGCTAATTCTAGCGTTATTTTTTGGCAAATTTTGCTATAAGACATCACGACTTCGTGGTTTTAGCTGTAGGACACTGCACGAAGTGACTTTTGTGAGACACACTATGTAAATGTGGTTATTTGCTAGGGAACACTCCATCCATTAAATTAATATTTTCATGCTGACTGGATGAGAGGGGATCCACTTTTTTACATGATTTGACCAAATTGCTCCTCCTTTATCTTTCTCTTCCTCTCTCTCCCTCCTTTCTCTCTTCTCCGGTGAGGTTGTCGGCATGTTGGCTGACCGGTGAGTGCTGTGGTTGTCGAGATGCTCCCATAAGCGCGCTTTGCGGCACTTTGCGGCAAGAACGCGGCAGGGTTGGCTGCTGAGGCATCGCGGCGTGGCTGGCAATGGTGTCGAATCTTTTGCAGGCACATGGCCTCTGCGGACAAGTGGTCACGGTAGAAGACAAGCTCGGCGGCGGTGGCGGCGCCCGGAGCACGCGCGGCCTGCTCGGCGGCATGATTAGGACTTTGTACATGCAAGCTAGACAAACGTCTTTGATATTCAAACATGCATCTAAGAGCAAGTTTAATAGTATAGCCAACTACTAGCTCTAATTCATCTATAGCCATAGCTTATTCATACAATAGTTACATACTACACTATTAATACCTGGTCCAACCTGTCATACACACACTGCGTCTTGGAGTCTGTGCTACAGCTGGCTATAAATCTGTAGTCCGCTACTCTTCTCTCTCCTTATTTATCCACTTAAAATATATTTGCAGTTGGCTTATAGCCTGCTATTGTACCTGCTCTAAATAGTAAAAAGAACAGATCAACTTGGGATTAGAAATTTAGGATTGATTATCCGTTGCAAGCCACTCTCCGCGTGCTCGGAATGGGACGCCCTGAGCCTTTTGGATTTGGAGCCAATTTGTAACTGGCGTCCACTACAGCAAGCTGCTGGCAGGCTGCACGCGACCAGCTCGGCCTTGCCCAGCGGCATGGAGGAGAGCCACGCCTCCACCTCCGGCCCTGCAGGAGCTTCGCCACCGCCGCCGCCGAGCAGGCCGTGCGCATCCGGACGGCGCCGCCATCGCCGAGCAGGCCGCACATGCTCCGGGCGCCGCCGCCAATGCCGCCAAGCCGCGCACGCTCCGGGCACAGGCGTCGGTCGACGCCGCCCACCACGCTGCCCACAGGGAAAAGAGATAAGGAAGGAGAGAGGGGGGGGGGGGAAGAGATAAGGAAGAAGAGAGGAAGAGAAGGAGAAAGGAGGGGTAATTTGGTCAAGGAGCGTAAAAAAGTGGGCCTCTTCTCGTCTAGTCAGCACGAAAATATTAATTTAATGGATGGAGTGTCCCATGACAAATAATCATATTTATAGAGTGTGTTTCCCCAAAAGTGATTTCGTGCGGTGTAAAAAATTTATGTTTTTTTTCTCCATCAATTATTCCGGGACGCCACAGTACATATTGCTTACGATATTACAAGGTAGATATTTTGTTGGGTTATTCCGGTGAGAACATTTTTTTTTCGAACACAGAGATCTAATTTCTATGCTCTTCAATTCTTCAATTTAGTCAAACTTCAATTCTTCTAGCACGAAGAGGAAAATAATTGTTATTACATATTAGTTCCCATCCTTATATTCTAAAAATTTTAGAGAGAACACGGCTTGGTCAGAATATTAGAGCATCAATATAAGTTCCACAACGACCCGCATAGAAAAGCTTGGAACAGAGGCAACCAACACTGTTATGTTGTTTTTTTCTATAGTCATTACCTAACTAGTTGGCTCCACTCATGTTAAAAATAATTTTAGCTTCGACACTGATCTATTCGAGACTATTAGGATAGATGGATATGAATAAAGCAGACAGGCCCTACGTCTGAAGGGTAGCATACTGAATGGAATATATGCTCGGGTTTCCTAATCGAGCCAACCAAATTAAGCTTGCAAACAATGCTAGCTAGCTACCCCCTCTCATAAGACGCAGTAAATTTAGTCTAAGTCAAACTACCACGTGTCTATACTACAATATGAAAATTGCATATTGGTTAGTTTGATAAGTTAGAATATAATTTAAAATTATGTTTCCATTTTAATATAATTTAATAATAAAATGTGAAAATGTATATGTTATTTATGTGAAAATATAACGGTGTTAGCAACATAATTTGCGTGGACCACCGTGCTACTTTATATAAAAATATAACAACTCTTATAAAAAAATAATTTTATTAAATCTAACCTTCAATATATTTGATATTATGTTTGTCAGGGTTACGGGTAAGGTATACCCTCTACCCTTCGATATACGTCACGTATCGATATGGTATGCTCACGAGTATACGGACGTGCTCGGCATACGTTAAGGAAATTCATCATGGAGTTCACAGATGGAAGGAGTCCTATTCGGTCAGAACTGAGTCATCATTGTGTCGTGTTCGGTCCGGCTTCTCCGAGTCCTACTTGGAGACAGTTGACCTGCGATATAAAAGGGACCCCTCGGAAGGACCTAAGGCATCGAATCTCAGAGCCAACACATCCACCATAGCCTACGAAGCCGGAGCTTATCGGAGCCAAGTCGTCGGAGATTTAATCGGATCAACTCGATTACGATCTCGTCGGTACCATCGAGTTCCACTATTCCCTTTGTAATCTGTGGTTTCCATCATATAATCTCATATCAACTGGATTAGGGCTATTACCTACCAAGGGGCTTGAACCAGTATAATCTTTGTTTTATGCCTGCTTGATGTCGTATTACGTAGATCCTTGTACCAGCGTACCCCAATACCCTCTATATCCGGTCTACGGGTATCCCCCGTCGACAGTGGCGCGCCAGGTAGGGGGACTTGGTGCTCAAGGTTCTACTACTATGACATCCAGCTTCGTCGACAACAGCGTCAACACCAACCTCAACTAAGGAGTTCCTACTTCAACAACACTGGTGTGGACTCAAGTCGGCGAAATCGTCTTTCCGGTTTATACCACTATGCCGATCTCAGCTGGTCCGCCAATGACCGAAAATGAGAACGCAGTGGCTACAACCCGGGGCGACTCCATGTCGAAGGATCTACCCGCCGAAGCGGAGATCGGAACGTCGACGACGTCCGAACCCGAGAAGGATCCTAGTGCGGCCAAGCCTTGTCTTCCCGACAGGAATCACGAGCCGACAAGGATTACTTCCGAGGTGACAAGGTCCTGGTGTCTTATCCACAAAACCAGGAAACACACCCTGCAAGCATGCTGGGTCTTTCTCAACGTCCATGCTGAAATTCGTGCCTGTAAAGAGCGTGGAATTCAGCGTACCTCTCCAACTCGTGATGTCTATTGTCCTATTCACAAGACAAAGAATCACGATCTCTCGAGCTGCAAGGTCTTTCTCAGCGCCATGAAGACGCCACCTCCTAAGGTCCAGCAGTCACGCATCCCCATCAGGGATGAGGACAAGGAACAATGAGCGATGCCGATTTCAGATCGATTTGTTGGGATAATCGACATCGATCCCCATGAACCATCAGTCTTGCACCTACTCGAAGACTATGGATCATCGACAATGAGTACGCCGCGTGAGGTATTGGCTATCGACGATGTCGGCACGTCAGCGCGCACCGGTGCGGAAGCGGAGAATCAAGTGACTACTCCGGCCCAGCTCATCAGAGCCGTCAACGCAATACTGAGGGAAACCCCCTACGATCACGTTCTGAACGACGATCTCGCACGTTGGACAAAACGACTACGGGAATCAGTGACCAACCTCAGCAATGCGTTCGAAGAGACCGCTGCTGCAGCGCACCCGGAACAGCCACCAACTGGCGATGCTAATGGTGAAAACCCTGAACAGCGGGAATCGCCTCATCGAGCCACCCCTCCACCTCGCGGCACCGGTGATCTCCGAGATCACCTGAATGGCCGTCGAGAGGCGCGACGCACACGAGATAACGAGAACCATTCCCGGTGTCATATTTCTTCACGGCGTCACAATAACGAAGATCGAGGAGGCCGTTCAAGCGAAGACCGAGACCGTGATAACCGCCACAACCGCCACGATCACGACGATCGCGAACGGCGGGTGCTGGGCGATACTGGTCGAGGACGCCGCAATAATGACGACGATGATGGAGATCGGCGCCGAGACAACAGCGGGAGATGACGACAGGATTCTCGAGAACCCGGCCGACGTCCCCATAATCGTACGCCGGAAACAAGCGACCCATCGTCATCATCATCATCCTCGTCATCTTCATCATCAGATAGACATCCACGAAGAACGTATGATCGCCGACAACTCACCGCCCCTAGCGCTGGGTGTAGATCTTTCGGTCGTTCACTTCGGGATGTCCGATGGCCTGAAAGATTCCGACCTGTAGCAATAGAGAAATATGATGGGAGCACTGACCCGGAAGAGTTCCTTCAGGTTTACTCCACGGTACTCTACGCCGCCGGAGCGGACGACAACGCGTTGGCGAATTACTTGCCAACGCACTGAAAGGCTCTGCACGTTCATGGTTGATGCATCTCCCCCCTACTCGATCTCTTCATAGGCAAACTTATGGCAGCAGTTCGTAGCCAACTTCCAAGGAACTTACAAGCGCCACGCGATCGAAGACGACCTACATGCGTTGACACAGAACCCGGGCGAATCCTTGAGGGATTATGTTCGGCACTTTAACGAGTGCAGAAACACAATCCCTGAGATCACCGATGCTTCTGTAATTCGCGCTTTCAAATCCGGTGTCAGAGATCGCTACACTACTCAGGAGTTGACAACGAGGCGCATCACGACTACTCGGAGATTATTCGAAATTGTCGATCAATGTGCTCATGCGGATGACGCACTGAGA